CCAGATACACAGAGCGCATCCTGCGAGCTGTGAGGATGCTGATATTACTACACACCATATGTTGCTGGAGCCTTTCACGGGGGACTTGTGACAGAATGTGAGTGGCAACAGCACAGGCCCACTTTAGCCTGATGACAAGGGTGCCTCTGAGCTTGTGGACTCCCTAAGAGGGTCTTGGGGACTCTCAGGAATTCCAGCATACTTCGAGAGCCCCTTTTAGAAATCAATCTATGACTGCCTCTAAAATACAGGTATTCCTTTACCTCCCACGGCACGAAACATCAGGGCCCATGCCAATGTTATACTGAGTAGAGAAGAAAACAAAAATAAGCACGTAACCATTAAAATGGCACTAAACATTGAGTACTTCCAAATTCTCTACCCCTGATATATCAGCAACATAGCCAATGCACATGGTTTTTGCTTTGTTTTGTTTTTTTGAGACAAGGTCTCACTATGTAGCCCTGACCTTAAACTCCTAGCAATCCTCCTGCCTCAGCCTCCTAAATGCTGGAATTACACACATGTGCCACCATGCCCAGCTTAAGACCCTATAATTTGCTATAACTAAAGTGACAAATTGGGAGTTGGCCTGATACAGCCAACATCATTGATATTTAAAATATATGAAGCATTCATGTATTTTATTTCAAGCCTAGAATTTTGAGAATACGAATAATTAAAAATAATACACAATTTTCTCCTTTACCTCCTATTACCAAAGGATGGCTTTAGAATAATTACTTTCAAAAGTGTCCCCAAAGCAGTGACAGAATGAAAGTCATATAGGATGTGATGGCACATACCTGTATCCCGGCACTCTGGGAGGCTGAAGCAGGAGGATCTGAAGTTCAAGCCCACCCTGGGCCACTTAGTGACTTAGTGAGACCATCTCAAAATAAAAAATAATAAAAAGGGCTGGGGAGGTACCTCAGTGTGAAAGCCCCATGTTCAATTCCCAGTACAGCAAATAATAAATAAATAAATAACAAAAATCTCTTATAATCATAACATTCAATGGCAGCAACTGTTATTATGTTTTTTTCCTATGCCTTCATGACATAGTCATGTGATATAATCATGCTCTTCACGTTACCAGAAAGATAAGTAAAACTGCACATAAAGGCCCATAGCATACTTTTAAGTAACTATGCATTATAGAATATAGATATAATAAAATGCAAAAATAGCATTATGATGTATTATGAATTATGCATTATTGGAAACAGTGAGCCTACCCCAAGGAAAGAACTGAGTTGTGTCACTGTAGTGGATAAATACACATGTAAAAGGGCCAAGAGAGCAGGGTGTAGTGGTGCATACCTGTCATCCTAGCACTCGGGAGGCTGAGGCAGGAGGATCACCTTGAGTTCGAGAACTAAAACTTGAACTTGAGTTCAAGAACTACATAGCAAGATCCTGTCACAAAAAAAAAACAAACAAGAAAAGAGGCGAGTTAAGTTTTCGCCTTGTGTTTTTGGCTTGGGTTCATGCCAGGGTTTGTTCTCCTTCAAGCTACTGCCCTTGGAGCCCTCCCTAGATCGGTGGAAATAGAAAGGGCTCCCGGAGACAGCCATGCCATGTACAGCCTTGGAGGGCACAGACTGCCGTCTCTGACCTCGGCATGGCAGCCATTAGCTGGGACGGTCAAAGCAGGTGGGCAGGCGGTTGAGGCAGGCCTGGAAATACCCCAGAACCCCCCAGACTTGTGTGCCTTGGGATGAGGGTTGCCCAGGAAGCGAGATCGAAGCCAGACCTTTCACGCAGCTGCTCTGGAATCCAGCCCCTTCCATGTTTCCTTGGGCCTTTTCTTTAAGAGTATATTGATTCTTATTCTTTTTTTAAAAAATGGTAACTTGCATCTTCTTGCTTTTGGAGACTATCGTGTTGGTAGTCACCTTTGTCTGTATAATTTGCCTTTTGCCTTTTTAAATTTTCTTTCTTTTTTTTTTGAGGCAGGGACTCACTATGTAGTTGAGGCTGGTTTTGAACTCACTACGCTGCCCAGGCTGGCTCAAACTCGAGGGATCCTCCTGCCTCAGCCTCCCAAGTGCTGAGAAAACAGATGTGCGCCACCATGCCTGGTGCATTTTAACTTTTAAGTAAGCACTCATAGCAGGACCTGACCTCCACCAATATGCATTTGCTTAGGACTTAGGAAGTTTCTGAAAAGCAGATGCCTCTGGGCCACCTCACCCCGAGACTTGGTGCGGCCGACGGAGGGGTCTTCACCAAGTGCCCGGTGGACGGGTTCCTTGACTCAGTTGCTTGCTGCTTTTCCAGCCGATTTTAAGGGGGTTCCTTAGAAAGGCGAGGGTGGGTATGCTGAGGGCCAAAGCTGCAGAGCTGGTGGCCTCCCATGCTGACAGACACCTGGACGATGGCTGGGCGGCTGCCTGGAGCAGGGCCTGGAGGTGACTGGGAGACATAGCGTTCCCAAGGGGATGGGGGTGAGGAGGTGCCAGAGTGCCAGGGACGGGCTTGGCATCCTGGCAGCGAGCACAGGGGCTTTGAACTATATTTATGGACCACCTGCCTCGGAGACGGGGAAGGAGGAGGTGCTGGGTGCGTCCCCACCAGGCTTGTGACCGAGAGGACAGAGAAGTCCCCGGCTACTGTAAGCCTGGTAGCATTCGTAACCACCGTCAACGAGGGACAGGGACAGGTGACACTGGCAGCCAGGCTGTGCTCTGTCACTCAGAATGTGTGTCTCATCAGGAGTCAACGTGCACGGCTGTCATCCCAGCTCTGGGGAGGCTGAGGCAGGACGATTGGTTCGAGTTCAGGGCCAGCCTGGGCTACATAGCAAGACCCTGTCTCAAAAAACCAAATACATACGTACATACATAGCTTCCGCATGTCTGCAGGTACTAATGAGTCGCTGTGTACTCATTCCATCACTGGCCGTAAAGTAACAGGGTTTCTGTGCTTTTAAGAAAGGACCGTTCTTTTTCTGCTTTGCCCCCCGGGGAAGCATGCATTTCTGTTTCCCCACGCGCAGTCCTGGTCCTGCAGGCGTCTTGGCACTGCCGTCCGTCGTGTTGCCCGCCTTGGTTGGAACTCACCCGCAGCCTGGCGTGGGTGTTAGGCCCTGTCCCACCCTGCAGAACGGGCTGTGTCCCCAGGCCACGCAGTGGCCAGCGTAATAGCTCCTACCTAACAGAACCCCAGGGCGCCGGCCGAGGAGGGGGCGCCGGCTCTGTTTCACTGGAGAGAAAAGGGAAGAGCACTCTCCGGAGGCTGCGGGCACCCTGTCACAGTTAGGAAGCCGCAGTGCAGACGGACCCGGAGGACCTCGCAGCCCCGCAGAGCAGCCCCAGCGGACGCAGACGTCGCGGGGAGACAGGACACTGTGTGCAGGGAGCTCTTGCCGCGCACCGGGGCCCGCGCTGTGCCTCGGGCCTGGCTCAGCAGCAGTGGGACCCTGCTTGCTTATTTATTAGTTTATTTTTGGTTTGTGTGAGGCAGAGTCTCACCGTGTAGCCCAGGCTGGCCTTGAACTGGAAGCAATCCTCCTGCCTCAGCCTCCCCAGAGCTGGGGTGACAGCCGTGCATCATCAGGCCTGGCTAAGGTCATTTCTTTTATTATTCTTATTTCACAGACCAAGAAAGTGAGGCGGAGAGAGAGATTAAGGGATCTGCCAAGGTGACGTAGCTAATCAGGCGGAGTCAGGATTCAGACCTTATTTTATCTGGCAAAGCCTGCTGTGGAGGAACAGCACTGGTCTGATGGGGAGAAGGAGGGGAACTTCGCTTCTTTCACTGCAGAAAGGTCACAAATTGAACAGAGAAGCGAGCTCCAGAACAGGGGGGACCAGAGGCAGAGTGGGGTGTCTAGGCAGTGCCCCCATGACGGCTTTGAATGCCGAGCGCGCCCGGGCGCAGCCCTGCCGGGCAGTCACAAGAAGTGCACAGTTGTGGGGTGAAGCAGGGCTAGGCCAGGGCACAGCCTTCTGTGGGAGCCGGAAGAGGCCCCAGCTTGGGCGACAGTGGCTCAAGCCCAGAGGTGATGCGTCAGGGAAGCCCTGCCATCCCGACTGTCCTGCCGTCCCCATTCAGCTTCTGCTCTGTGCCAGGGGCTCTGAAAATAAAGTTTCGCTCAGGGCTCCATCTCTGGTGACAGTGGCAGAGAGGGCGCTTTCTGTGATGTGGCCCAGACAGGATGTCTAAGGGACCCGTGAACGAAATCACGCCAGGCCACACTAACCTCTGGCCTGAGGCTGCAGTTCTGTCTCCTGTGGTTATACGGAGTTTTCTCCCTGATCAGCAAAGAGTAACATACTCATTTATGGTCACCTGAATGTTAGAAAATAGTTTTTTCTTGTTTGTTTTGTCTTTTTGAGATAAGGTCTTGCTATGTAGCCCAAGCTGGCCTCAAACTCACAGTGATCCTCCTGCCTCAGCCTCCGGAGTGGTGGATTACAGGCGTCCACCACCTCGCCCACCGGAAATTGTTTACCCCTTAGCAGAAGTTTCCTTAGCACACTTGGTAGCCAGGCTGCTCTGTAACAGAGGGTACCCGAAGCCAGTGGGAAAACCTCAGAACTTTGAAAATCTGGGGTGAGCCCGGGAGAACGCACACTTCTGACAAAGCCCGAGAGGGGCTCCCCAGGGCCCAAGGACAGAGAGCGGCGGGCGCTCAGCTTGAGGCAAAACAGAGCGCTCCAGAGGTGGAAGGTGCTCGTCCTGTCTCGGGCAGGGCCCCTTTGGTGGCAGGACAGTGCTGGGGATGTGCAGGGGACATCCTGGTGGCTGTCGGGTTGGGGCTGACTTTCCAGAGGGGAAAACGAGCCTCAACCTAGGGCCCCAAAGTCACCAGGTGAGGACAGGGATGCCTGGGCCCCGAGGTCCGGGCTCTGTCCACCACGATGCTGGGCCAGTCCTGGGGACCCGAGAGCAGGCTGACCTGAGCCCCAGGGCCGGCGTACCCTCTGTGCACCCCGCGGGGTGACGCGGCCCGCAGGAAGCCCGTCTAACACTCCTGTCCTCTGTTCCCTCAGAAAACGAGGCACCGGCCCCCGTCCCGCCGCCACCGGAAGGTGAGTGAAGCCCCCGAGTGTGTACCTGAGGTGACCAGATGACCCGCTCCGCCCGGGACCACTGAGCCCCACTTCCTGGCTGCCAGGGGGCATCCATCTAAAGCCCTTCGAGTTTCCGCCTGGTGGAGGCTGAAGGATTTGGGGGCTTCCCCATCCCTCAGAGTTCCTAGTTTCTCTCCTGTTAGGGAGGCGCCCATCCCACCTCAGGAGCCCCGCCCCACTCCAGGTCTGTCGCTTTTTGAGACAAGGTCTCGCTATGTAGCCTCGAACATGAAATCTTCCTGCCTCAGCCTCCTGCTGCTGGGATTACAGGTGTGTGCCACCACACCCAGCCCGATTTGAATTATGTCACCAGAAATACCCTTGGTGACCCCTAGGCTCCTATCATGACCAATTTAGTGAATTCTTAGTATTCTGTGGTCCACCAGGTGGCAACCTAAAAACAACAAATAGAGATCAGGTGAGGGAGCTGGCCAGTGGCTCTGGGCCCAGCAACACTCAATATACAAAGCTCACCTTTGCCTCCTCGCAGACCTGAGGAAGAGGGCAGGCCTAGGGAAAAACAGCCCGCCTGGGCTCCCACCTCCCGGCGTGGCTTGGGGTCGGTCTCCTGTCCCACCAAGTAACCCCTGAGATGGACACAGGCACAACGGCGTGCTCTGCTCCCTGAAAACACGGGAGCACTTTCTCCTTCTTCCTCCTCTTTAAAGAGGAGGAGAAACTGGCGTCCACTCAAGAATTGTGCACTAGGTAGTCACCATGGCACAACCCTAGAGGGCGCCCGAATCCCACCCTGTAGACGGAGAGGAGGCGCTAGTTGAGAATTTGAGCAGCTGACAGCTGTGAATGGCACCAGATGCAGTGCAGGGCTCTAACTAGGAAACCTTTTCCTATAGGGCTTGTTTGCAGCAGGGAGAAAATCAAACACAGCACTGAGAACAATGAGATAAATTGCAACTGCTATGCTGAAATGTTAGGCAGTGTTAGTGTGGGATCCAGCATGGCTATTTCAGTTCCCTGGGTGAGGTCACTGCGAGCTGATGGTGTCCGCCTAAGGGGAAGCAGCCGTTGAATGCAGCCCCAGTTTCTGCTCTTTTTGCAAAGATTTATGAGGGGATTTTGGAGCTTTTCTATCCCAGATATTGTTTTGAGACAGCAGCTTGAGCAAGCTCACTGCTCGCAGAGCCCTCTGTCCAGCTGTGAATACGGATCCACAGCTAGAGACCTGAGTCCCTCTCTGTGTCCAGGGGACCAGGCAGGCTCAGGGCTGCGGGTTCCAATCCCGCCAGCTCCGACCTCGTGTTCTGTGGATCTGGGTCTTGAAACAGTGAGAAGATGTGGCGTTCTTTTTAGAAAGCCATGAAAGATACACCTTTCCCTTCCATCTGCTTGTCCAGTGTGGTGGCTGCCACTATAAACGCCCCCTACCGTGTACGCTCCATGTTGGCTGCACAATATTGACTCCCTATGGCCAAAGTGTCACCTCTGATATGCTGCTGAGTTGTCCTTCATGGTTGGCTGAGGTTGGTTCTCTGTTCACCAATCGAGAGACAGAGAGAGAGAGAGAGAGAGAGAGAGAGAGTCAGAATGCATGCTGGGAAGACTTCTTTCCCTACACATTCCGCCAGCCAGGTACGGCGTGTGGACATCTGAACTCATGATTTCGACTGATAAAATCGGATGTGACTGCACTCATGTTGCATCATAGCTAGGAAACCCAATCCACAGCATTCTTATATCCATTGAAACATTTTCTTTGAAACTACACACATCGCACAATTACGTATTTTATCCCTTCCTGTGATATCTAGAAGCCCGCACTTCTAGAACCCATTACCTGGGTCAAACTTGTGGACAAAGTTGGTTCCTTGTTGGCTTCTGAAACAAAATGACCCACATAGTAAGCTCGGTTCTACCCCGGCATGCGCTGTAACTCAGTCCCGGTTATACCTGAATGTGCTCGACCCAAAGGCATGCTTTTGTGTTTGCTTTTGTTAAAAGACGAGATTCAGTCCTTGCTTCTATTACACTCCGGTGTGACTGATCTGAAATCCCAATCCCACCTGCGGCATGTTAAGTACGAAGTGTCCATGACCCGGTTTGTTCCCCTCCTTCCCTTTCCCTTTCCTCGGCCCACAACGAAATGCTCTAGAACACGTTTTTAAATGTGCTTCTATTTTCCACACAGAACCAAATAAAGAGAAGGAGGCGGGAAGTGGACCGGCCAAAGGTGAGTTGGAGGGAGGGAGAGAGAAGCTGAGCACTGCAAAGGGAGCGGGAGAGGCTGCCAGAGGTGCCCTGGCCCCAAAGGTGCCGGCCTCATCTCTGCTCTCCGTCTTCTCCGGGAGACCCAGGCAGCACTGTGACAGCTAAGTTCCCAGGACAGGAGTTGCTGAGAGGAAGCCACAGTGGTAAAAATGTCACGAGGCCTTGGGGAGACGCCAGCAAATTGATTGATACTGTCCCGGTCCCCATGTGCAGCCTGGAAAGAGGCGTTTGGTTTGGGGATGACACCACTCAGGAAATGATCTGATGACCCTCATCTTTCAAAAACAGAAGGTTTCTGCCATTCACATGGACTGTCCCAGAACTCACGGGACTTTTGAGGCTGGCATCTCACTCTGTCACCCTCTCTAACCGAGTCCCTGTGTCCATTTATGTGGTGATTTGTGGAGACCAACAGCACCTCCAGAAGCACCACCACACAGGTCCTTATCGAATTGGAAACTCCCTTATTCCTGGAATATGTCCTGTTTTTACCCCCTCTGGAGTAGCCTAGTTTTAGAAAGTGAATAATCTTCATCATGTGCTTCTGTGGCCCCCTGAAGTACTAATTCCTCCATTCGCTTGGAAGTAGATTTTTACCTTCTCGTGTTACGTGTCTGCATCCTTAGCTTTACATGCTAACCTCCTATTTGTGTAACCATTAATGTCGTTCAACTTTGGAATAATTATTTCCTGGCTGCCATGAGACATTTCTTTTTCTCAGACACGGCTCAAAAGTATGTCAGTCTCTTTGTTCTTAGTGCGTGGGATTCCGTTACCTCATTCCCGCATTACCATCTCCTAGTCATCAGCAAAATGCCCTTTTCTCTTTCTCTCAGTACAGCGGATCTCAGCTAGCTTGAACTTGCGCTCCACAAACCAACACAGTTAGTACCCGGCTGTGTCCTTGACCTTCAGCGGAGCCCATAGATAGCAACTTGGCCTCCCAGCAGGCGCCCGCGTGGCCGGTGTGCCGGCTGCTTCCTTGTGGAACGCACGCGGGGCAGACTCCTAGAAGTCTTTCCATGAGAGGGGTTCAGGAACTTTGGACATCCTGGCTAGAGAGCTGGTAACACTACTCTCAGCAGGGCGGGCGGAACACACCTCTGCTTCCAAATATGGAACGGGCTTGGATCCTGCTGCAAGGCTCACCAACAGGGAAAATGATGTAATCCCCGCCCCAGGGCAAAGTGGCAGTGCTGAAACACAGCCCGTGCCTGACCCTAGCTGAAAAAAGCCACCATGTTATATCCATGTGTTTAAATTAGATTTCTTTCTTTCTTTCTTTCTTTCCCCTTGAGTTTGTGGTGCTGGGGATTGAGCCCTGGGCCTTGCCCACGCTCAGCAAGCCCTCTACCCCTGCGCTATATCCCAGTCCTTTAAAAACCACTTTGTAAAAGTACAAAGCAATAATCAACCAACCAACTAACTAACAAAAACTTTTTCTTTATGATGAAAAAGCAAAGCCAAGGCTGGGTGTGGTGCCACACGCCTGTGATCCCAGCACTCGGGAGACTGAGGCAGGAGGGTCGCTGGAGGTTCGAGTCCAGCCTGAGCTACATAGTGATGTTACTTTTCTCCAGTATTAGCTGTGTCTTTCCCATTCTCTCCCTCCTCCTCCTCCTTCGGTCCATCTGTTTTGTTCACCACGCAGCCAGCCCTCCTTCTCCACACAGCCTCCCCTGACCAGTCTGCCTGGGTTTATCTCTCTTTCCTCCCTCCGATTTCTCCTGGACCCCTTGTTTCTACCATGCACGATTTTGGGGACCAGGCACCTCGCACGTGAAACCTCTCTGTCCGCATCTCTTCCCTGCAGCATCCAGCAGAGAGCCACGTGCTACATGGCCTGTGGATGCACTCAGGATAATCACGGCTGGATCCGGGTGGGCTCATCCAGGCCAGCCTGATGGTGCTGATCCAGAGATTTATTTCCATGCACCATGTCGGCTGGGCAGGATGGATACTCATGAATACTCTGGGTCGGGAGGGTTTGGACCCCGCTGTGCTGAACCCGTCCAGCCTGAATCCCCCTTCCCTCCCAGGGTGGGGTCCTCGCCCTGCTAAAGGACATCCAACAAGTGGCTCCAAGGACCCCACCCTCCAGAATAGTCTGCGTGGGAACATGGCTTCCCATCTCCCCACGTCGACAAGGTCATTCCGGGGCAGTCTGCAAATGCTCTGCCAATATTATTATGTTTGTAGCCACAGGGAGTTGTTTGATCCAGAAATTAACTTTTTCAGTAGTGTCTGTGGTTAGGTTTGTTCACTTCTTCAAACTTACAGCCACTTTGCCAGGAAAGAGTTTCATTGCCGGCCATTACCTCGGGACATGTGGCCTGTGTAGCACCCCCCCCCCCCCGCCCCAGCCTCCACCAGTGTGGCCCGCTGCCAAGCGAAGTCTCTGGGAAAAGGCGCCATGGGGATGGTGGTAATGAAATGCATTCAGCCGGGCGTGGCGGTGTATTCCTGCACACCTGTATTCCCAGCACCTGGGAGGCTGAGGCAGGAGGAACACCACAAATTGAAAGTCAGCATGGGCTACATAGCGAGTTCGAGGACAGCCTGAGCCACATAGCCTTCAAAAGAAAGAAAGAAAGAAAGAAAGAAAGAAAGAAAGAAAGAAAGAAAGAAAGAAAGGAGATATTCAACCAAACAGCAATACCAGAAATTAGATGTGCAAATCCCCTTCACAGTGGTCACACTAGGGATGCTGGATGCCCTTAAAATATAATACTTCTGGGGCCTAGGATTCTTCTAGAATAATTACTACGGGCACATCGATGGGATGCTAAGTATAGCTTTTTTCCTACACCCTCAATACAGACAAAGACCTGCCTTCTATGTCTGTATCCACTTGTTTGTTTGTTTGTTTGTTTGTTTGTGAGACAGGGTCTCACTGTGTAGCCCAGGCTGGCCTCTTACTTACCGGCAATCCTCCTGCCTCAGCCTCCAGTGCTGGGATTACAGGCTTGCCCCACCACGCCTGGCTGGATTCCCTTGGGTGGCAGTGCGGCGTCCGGCGGTCCGGCGGTCAGGTGCGGGTCTGGGCCCCGGGGCCCGCCCTCCTGAGCCCACTCTTGCTTTGGGGAAGGATGGTCAGCAGCAGGGGTCGGTGGATTTCAGCTCTGGAAAGGATGAGGGCCCAGAGGGCCTGTTGTGGGGATCCCCTGGAGAACACAGGGAGCGGGCCTTGTGGGACGTCCCTCACTGCTCCCCAACTTGCCGCCAGAATCTGCAGATCATGGCCCATGTCACTGCCTAACTTGCAATTCTTTACATTTTTAATTTTTTTATATCTCATTAGTTTAGAGTCTGTATTTTTTGGTAAACCCAATTGGAACGATGACTGCCTCTTTTCACTTTTCTTCCAGAAAAATAACTGCTTTTGGTGCTGAATGCAAACAAACCACAAACTGATTTTCTTTTCCCAGGCGATAGGATGCCCACGTAACTGGCCCGAGGGAACCCCGTACATAGTAATCTGCTCACGCGTGCGCCGTGGGGCCCAGGCCCCTCTGGGCCAAGGAGGTAGCAGAGGAGGAAGCGAATCAGCAAAAGATCCCACAAATGTTCTCTGCCATGGTGCACTTTTTGGAATGAAAAGAATGCTTACATTCTCTTCATTGAGGTCCCTTACACTTGCAGTAACATTATCCCACTGCTTTTTGTTAGCAGCTCAAATATCCGTGTAATTCACCTTTACATGTCAATCTACCACCTATCTACTAAGACGTTTCTGTGGTTTTTTCCATGAATTTTTTTTTTTTTTGGTACTGGGGATTGAACTCGGAACCTTGCACTTGCAAGGCAGGCGGCCAAACCACTGAGCTAAATCCCCGGCCCTTTTCCATGAATTTTAACTTCATCGCTTCTTGGTGAACAGTGTTGAAAACTGATATCAGCAGATTTTTCAATTCTAGGACATGGCCATTATAGGATGCTGCATGGAGTTAACAGGTTGAGGGAGGAGAGCTGATGACAAACACACAGCTGCTGTAAAATGAATCCTGCTTTCATCAGCATCCACGCATGCAGGTGTGTGTCTTCTCATCAGGAAAAGATGATAAACTGGGTAAAGAAATTTCAGGTCACAAAATAATATTTGTAATAAATAATAGATTATGCCCAAGTGTACTATTTTTACCTCTTCTTCCTAGGAATTTTTAAAAAACTTTTTAATTAACATCTGATTTTCTGTGTCATTTTATATTGCCCTGTACGTTGATATTTGGAAACTCACAATTATTCTAGTATTTTTAGTGCAGAATGATTATGGGTTTGGTTTTTTGTTTGTTTGTTTGGTTGGTTGGTTTTTTTGGTACTGGAGATGGAACTCGGGACCTTGTGCTTTCTAGGCAGGTGGCGGAACCACTGAGCTAAATCCCTGTACCTAGAATGATTATGTTTTATAAAAGGGGTAGAGAGAGGTTCTAATAAAGGCAAATGACTCTTGGAGCATCTAAAATGTGGACTTAGCTATTCAGGTATCGTAGAGAAAGGGAAGATTCATGCAGTAGAAGACATATTTTGAATTTTACAAACTTGCCTGGGTAAATATTAAATTATTCAGCACTGATCAAGACCAATATGACCTTGGAGAAGATGTTCATCGGGGTCCTAAAATAACGAGCTTGGTGAGATGATGTTTCCGTTTATATTAGTTCGTTTTGGCTTTCATCTCTTACATACAGAAGAGCACATAGGGAGCGTTCTGGGGGGATGTGAGCTCCCAGTCCACACCTCTGGGCTTCTGTCTGCCTGGTGGACGCGGAACGTGAATAACGTCTGTCATTGACTTTAGCGGCAAAAGAAGAACTTGAAAACTGTCTCCAGTGTTCATTTCATCAAGGTTTGAGTTTTAGCATCGATTTTTAAACTTCCTGTCACGTAAACTCTTCCACACAGTTCTACTTTTTAGCTGCACTTTGATTTGCGTTACCCAATTCCCTTCTCCTATTATTTTATTACCATCATTACTATTTTGGTTTGTTTTTCTTTTAGACAAAGTCTCACTATGTAGCCCAGGCCGACCTCGAACCCTGGAACATGCAGGGATCTTCCTGCCTCAGCCTCCCAAGCGCTGAGATAACGGGCGTGGACCACCTCACCCAGCTCCCTTCTCCTTTTATGTTTCCCTTTTCTCTTTTTGCCTGAGCTACTGAAGTTTAACCTGCAGGCACCAAGTCTTCACAGACTTACTCAGCTGCTGGAAGTGCTTTGTGTGGTTCCTCCTCTTCCAGTGCAGATCTCTCTTCTCAGATTCCTTGGATGAAGTCCTTTCTCCTTGACTTTTGCTCCTGTCTCTTGTTTCAGATGAAGAGGAAGCATCCCCACCTAGCGCCTTGCCTCCAGGTTAGGAAGACCCTGCCCCTACTCCTGCTGCCTGACTTAGCCTTTACTCATGGCCTGGAGAGAAAGCGAAGGGAGGACCCCTCGCTGAGGCAGTGCACCAAGAGGGGAAATGCTGGCTTCCAGGACAGGTTTTTCTATTTGTTTTACATGAGAAACTTTTTTTTCTTTTGGAGACACAGTCTTGCTATCACTAAGTTGCCCAGGCTGGACTCCAACTTGCAGTCCTCCTGCCTCAGCCTCCCAGAGTGCTGAGATGACAGGAGTTTCCACTATGCCTGGCTTTACATGAGAAACTTTTTTTTTTGGTACCAGAGATCGAATTCAGGACCTTGTGCTTGTGAGGCAGGCGGCGGCACCACTGATCTAAATCCTGGCCCACATGAGAAATTTTTAAAAGGAAGATTTCTTTTTGAGATAAAGATAATTATAACCAGTAAGCCTTGGGTGTCATTTTTAGGGGGAAAAATGTTTGTCCTTTATTTCCATCTACATATCCTCTCCCCGGTCTTTAAATTTAGATATATGAACTGTTAAATTTCATTATTGTTTTAAAAGAACTTCTACTTTTTTTGTTTGTTTTTTGAGGCAGGGTCTTCCCTTATAGTTCAGGCTGGCCCTGAACTCACTATGTAACCCAGGCTGGCCTTGAACTCCCAGCGATCCTCCTGCCTCAGCCTCCTGAGAGCTGGGATTACAGGCATGCACCACCATGCCTGGCTAAAAGAAGCTCTGTTTTTAGAGCTGGAGCTCCACTGATTTTTCATCCCAGCCAGCTCATAATTTTTCTGTGCCCATCACCAAAAGAGTTGGGGGTGGGGGACCCAGAAGGCTGAAGCCAGCAGTCTCCCCGTCTGCCTCAGCCCAGAACCCTCCAAATCCACTTTCCTTTCAGGTTTGGGTAGTCGGGCCCTGGAGCGGAAGGACTCAGGTGAGCATGGGCAAGACCCGACTCCATCTAATATGACCACTAACGGCCCAGCCAGGGCAGCCCTCTGGATTCTAGTGCTTGTTTTGTTCAGTTGCTAGCTGAGCCAGTGATCTTTCATTATACTTTCTCTTACAAGAAAACTAATGTCTTGGGAAACAATTAATTTTGCATGGTACACACACACACACACACACACACACACACACACACAAACACACGGTCAAGGATCCAGCCACTACCCCACAGGTTCGTCTGTTTTATTATAATGATCATTTGAAACACTGAACTGAAACCGAAACCCACGTCCATTCCGGAATGTGTTAAGGTTATAGCAATTCCCATTTATGTAGAATTTTAAATACAGTCAATAAAACACTTGCAAACGTATCCTGCCAGCGACACCTTCAATTCCATGAAGTTATTTGCTCATTCATTCATTCATTCAACAAAAGTGTGCTGTGAGCCTGAGGTAATCCCGTGACAGGCCAGGTCTGTAGGCACGGCAGGTGTAGGAGTGAACAGAACAATGAAAACACTTCCCCTGTATCCCAAGCCTTCAGGATCACTGTTAAGCCACAGACACACACCATACAATTTTCACATTAACTTGGGCATTAAAAACAAGCTGTCCTTGACTACTTGGCTTAACTCCGCTGTGATGGTGGCATCTGATGGGGACAGACCTGCGGCCCGAGCATGGTGGATACGGGAAGACTGAAATAACCGAATGCAGCCTCTCCTTCCTTTCAAGAGCCCTTAACAGCAGAGGTGGTGACCCACACTTTTCCTTCCGGTTCTAAGCGGCCGACAAGGAGCTGTTCGGACTGCAGCCGAGAGAGGAGGACTTGGCTGCAAGTTACCACCAAGCCCCTAGGAAATGCAAAATGAGCTTCCTTTCTTTCCACTTTTTGCCTCCTTGCTGGACAGTCCTACCTTGGCTTTCTTCTGTACCTGCAGGCCCAGGTGTTGTTGTTTACTACACTTGATCGTAGCCAAAAGGCTGAGAAGCAATAAGGTGCTGTTGTTTAACCTTAGAACCGGGCCACTCCTGTGCAGCCCTAGGTATTGTTTAGTAATCCAGCAGCAGGGGTCAAGAAAGGCAGGGAGGGGAAACTGAGGCAGCCAACACTTAGCAGCGAAGCCTCACTGTTCCCAGGAACTAGCAAGCATCCCCTGCGGCCCTTGGAAGAGGCTGCCCGTGACAGTGGGACTCTGTCCCTCTGGACCAGGGCCGGAAAGGTGGGACTGCAGCTCCTGGGCTTATTAGACAGGAGAAGAGCCGCATGGACCAGACACAAGCTCAGGTAAGTCCGCCCGGGGGAGCCGGCCCCGAGTGACGCTCTGCCCCTTCTGCCCGCAGAATGGTCCATCGGCGAATCGCCTGGCGGTGGGGAGGAGCAGGACAAGCAGAATGCCAACTCACAGCCGTCCATCCTGTTCGTGGAGAAGCCTCAGACGGGAACAGTGAAAGTTGGTGAGCACCTGGCATTCAATCTCCCGGCTTGCTTTTTCTGCTGGGGAAACTGACATCATAAAAATCAACCATATTTTGGTTTTTAAAGGGGTTTTTTTTGTGGGGTTTTTTTTTTTTTGGTACCAGGGATTGAACTCTGGTCTTTGCACTTTCGAGACAGGCAGCATAACCACTGAGCTAAATCCCCGCCCTTTTGTGTGTTTTTTGAGACAGGGTCTCACTATGCAGTTCAGGCTGGCCGAGAACTCATGGTGATCTTCCTGCCTCAGCCTCCCCAAGTGCTGGGATCACAGGCATCGGCCTCCATGCCCGGCACCAAACATTATAAGGAATATATATGACCAGAGCCAGACTTGGACACTCACCAGTGAGCACGTCGCCCACTCAGAGTGGCTTCTTTTGGGTCTCACACATAGAGGGAAACCACGTGTGAGGCTCAGGGCGACCGCTCTGCTCCGGGAGGCTGCACTGCGGCCTGTGCGGGGCCAGGGTATTGATGCTGCGATCTAATCAGTCCGGCCACGGCGCACCTGCACAGATGAGCTGCGCTCAGTCGGGTCCCATGACCCCCGAAGGGACTCGCACCCCGACACTCACGCACTCTGGCTTTGTCCCTTGGGGCTTCCGAGCCCTGTAGAGAGATTCTCTGGCTGAGCCCCAGCTCCCCCTGCCTGGCGCGGCCCCCTGTCCACCGCTGTGCCTTTGCCCGCATGCTGAGCCCCGCGCCTTCCGCAGGTGAGAACATCACGTTTGTGGCCAAGGTCAAAGCAGAGGATCTGCTTCGGAAGCCCACCATCAAGTGGTTCAAGGGCAAGTGGATGGATCTGGCCAGCAAGGCAGGGAAGCACCTACAGCTGAAGGAGACCTTCGAGCGGCACTCGCGGGTACGGCGCCGTCTGTCCCTGGGCCTGGCACCCCTCCACTGGGCCGCGGTCCCCCGGGGTCCTTGGTGACTTCCGGTCTGCAGGCCAGCTGGGTGCATTTCGTTGCAGATCTACACGTTTGAGATGCAGATCATCAAGGCCAAAGAGAACTATGCTGGCAACTACCGGTGCGAGGTGACCTACAAGGACAAGTTCGACAGCTGCTCCTTTGACCTGGAAGTGCACGGTGAGACGCCGCCGGGCCGGATGAGGGGAGGTCCTGTCCTGTCCTGTCCTGTCCTGTCCTGTCCTGTCCTGTCCTGTCCTGTCCTGTCGGTTCTCTGGCCCGTGTCTGCCCTCCTTGTGTGGAGCTGGCACACGTACATCACCCATCTTTCTTCCCTTTTCATCCATTTATCGCTCCCCTCCCTCCGGCTCTCTCCATGTCTCAGTCCCTTCCCCTTTGACAAAGATATTTCATCTGGAAAGGCTGGAGAGGAAGGCCATTTCACACGAGCAGATTTGCGGAGAAACTGCCTTTAAAACTTTCTAAATTTCAAAAGGTAAAATAGTGCTTCTCTGATTGTGGCAGTTTCGACAAACTTGCTGAAGTACATTGTTACAGGGTCATTTAAAAGTAGGATTTGGGGGATTTTATTCCTAAGAATCTCTTATTCCCTCAATCACCCTGGCCAGGCATTGCTGAGACTTTCCCAGACGCTTTTTAAAAAAGAATATTGATGGGCGGGGGATTTAGCTCAGTTGGTGCAGCTGCCTGCCTCCCAAGCGCAAGGTCCTAAGTTCAATCTCTGGTACCAAAAAAAACAAAAAGAATATTGATTTTCAAGCCAGGTGCAGTGGTGCATGCCTGTCATCCCAGCTCTCTTGGAGGCTGAGGCAGGAGGATCGAAAGTTTGAGCCCAGCCTGCGCAACTTAACAATACTCTACAAAATTTTTTTAAAGAGCTGGGGATGTAACTTAGTGCGAAGGCCCTGAGTTTAATCTCCAGTACTGTAAAATACATTCGTCCCTCCCTGCTCTGGTCGACCCATGTATTTTTAAGCTCCTTGAGCAGTTCTAATGAGCGGTCTGGTCCAGTGACAACTGGACCCGGGAAGGCCCGAGCTCCGTCCATTGGTTCTCCATGCGGAAGGTGACGGATTCTGCATTGGTGGCCCGGCCACCTGGGGGGATAACTGTTCACCTTAACCTTGACGTCCTTCTGTCTGAAGAATCCTGCAGCCTGAAAAGGAACCGAATACAAACGCGCCTTCTTCGTGGGTATTTATTTCGCTGTTTTCTTTCCTTTTGAAGAATCCACGGGGACTACTCCAAGCATCGACATCAGATCTGCCTTCAAGAGAAGGTAACTTCCAGAGGGGACTCGCAGAGCTCAGGCAGGTCCGGAAGTGGAGGGTTTGCAGCACTGACTCACTTCCTCCCTCTCCACAGCCTCAAACATTCCCCACAGTTAATGGTTGCTGTGCCACACAAGTCACGGGTTTGATGCCCAATCCAACACGTTCTGAGACATTCTAAGAACATTCTTGTTATATAAAAGTTTCATTTTCACCAGTCTCACAGTTAGCTTAGAAAAATGGACTTTTAAACTTAAAATGTGGCTTCTGCCTTAATTGCATTATTTTCCACAAAATGACCAATAGAGATATATAAAGAGACAAGTTTCATATGGCATCAGTTAAATAATGTCAGAAAACTTCTATTCATATTGCTTTTCATCTAGAAATCACTTCTAGGGTCCCTAAATCACGTACCCAGAAAACCACAGTTAAGTAGTTACTTAATGAAGTCAGCACTACATAATATTGAATTCTCCTAAATCAAAAACACTAGGTTAAGCATACTAGGTTAAGGCAAAACTTTGATACCTCCTTATTTTTGCAACTGCCAAGTCTGAAAAATCAGGGGCTCCAGGAAGAAAAGAATCTTTTTCTAAACTCTGAGAAATGTAACTAACCCTTTCTATGGTATGGCACCATGGGTCTAAGGGTGCCATGACACAGATTCTTCACTGAGACCAAGTGTCTGTTCTCCTGAAGACTGAATTCAATTGCAGCTTTGTTAAATAAGGAAAATTACCCCAAATTATAAACAGCCCCTTATTTTCAAACGATATCGCATTATTATACCATTATTATAAAGCAATGATTTAACCCTTTAATAAAGATATATTTCCACTTAAATTATCAATCAATAAAAAGTTGGTATTACTTTTAAAAGATATTGAATATTACCTTAATTTGAAAAAAATGTGAAACTTTCAAATCCTATTACTCTCCTTCTACCTTTAGCCCATGCTTAGTTCAGTGAATGCACAGGTCTAAAATCTTGACATGGACATGTGTATTTATAGACAAGGGAAACATCATTCTGCTGCTTTGTATTTTAAAAGAATAGAAATGCACTTACTTCAAAAGGGCCCCCAAATATCTGCTGTGAAAGAAAAATGTGAAAACCCATTACTTGAGTTGAATTCTTATGACTCACGTTCTCTACACACTGTTTTTAAACCCACAGACTCTTTTCTTAGAAGCCCTAACTAACACTTGTACAGAGCAGGAAAAACATCTTCATTAACAAAATTACACATGTAAGTAAATATGCAGTGCCGTCCCAGTGTCAGCTCCGCAGCTTCTATTTCGAGTTTATGAGAAGTCACAATGGCGGCTGCGGGCCTAACTGAAGATGCATTTCTCCGAGGGAAAGCATTTCCAAGGGTTGCTAGCTAAGGGTTCACTCAGAATTCCGAGATACATTTTTGACAAATACATTTGAAAGATGCTAACCAGGAAATCACAAGATTGTGACTTAAAGGGCAGTTTCGAAGAGGAAGGAATGCATCTTTCAGAAGGCTCTGCAGTGGCTCTGTCGGTAGCCACGTAATTTGGTTTATCTGTTTCTGGACCCAAGAAGTGACTGCTACATATTAGGCTTTGGACTTCTCTACCTGACAGGGTACACATTGTCCTCTGAGCTGATCACTCTCTCACATGAGCGACCGAAAGCAGCAGAAGTCCTCTGCTTTTTCCACATGTTCATTTCGAGAGCCCTGAATTTGCAAAAACAAAGTACTTTGTGTTGCTTGGCTGAAATGGTTTTGTGTTACCTGGTCTTAACACAAATCCAAGCAGTTTTCTATATGCAATCGACGAGACTGTGTCTCTGGAATCGTGCAGTAGCACAAGCTCCTTGTGTTTCGTTTTCCACAAGTACATGCTCCAGAAACCTCCAGTGTCACTTGTGTGAAAAGAAATAGTCCGCATGGACTGTCCCTTGGTGCGGACGCATTGCATATGCACTGTGTGGGGTTGGGGAGGCTGCCATGCGCGTGTCCGCATTAAACCCATCTGCTTTTCTTTGTCCATGACAGTGGAGAAGGTCAAGAGGATGCAGGAGAACTTGACTTTAGTGGTCTCCTGAAACGTAGGTGAGAACCTGATCCCAGAGGGGTGTGGTGGCCTGCAGTCTGCTAGAGGCCCCCGGAAGTCAAGTTTCAATTGAATGTGATTCAAGGGATTTCATCTCTTAAAACGTGTTTTGCTGCTAGATGATAACAGAGTCCGCTATGAAAGAGAGAAACAGCCCCGTACTAACCTAACCTGTGAAAGACTTTAGCTGATGCTTTTTAACTTTCTTTGTAAAGGTTTCATGTATTTTCTTAGTTGAGGATGAGACAATTTGAAAACTGAAATATAAGACTTCAATGCCTGACCATCCAGCACCGAATACACAATTCTTTCTTGTGATCGAGTGAATAACACTCTATTCTTCTGCCTTCGATGTTTGATATCTGACTGAAAAATCAACTCCATCATTTCAGTAGAAGTCTGCAGGCATATGTATATTTTAAGATGCAGCCCTACCATGATATGCTGTTCATGAGTTATTGTGTCTCTTCAAACTTAAGACACTATTGATTTGAAGATATATCCCTATTTTATAAATCACTGAGCAATGAAAAAATGTTCCAAATAGTTTATTATAACACAATATTGATGAGATACATCCTTATTCCAGAGATCTTTAAAATGTCTCCCAAATGTACATTTTGGAAGGAATGAAACGTGGTAGGGATATGGAAATAAATGTTTAGCACTCATTGACATTCCCTTGAGATTTTCTTAGTTTACAATAAAATGTATGGAATTTCACAGGAATATATACCGTAAAACCATTTCATAGGATTTCTGTCTGTATGTATCAAATCATATGGTGTATTATATATGTGTTGTATATAAAGTTACAGATAGATTTTTACCAGATATATACTATAGTGAAGAAGCGATGAAAAGAAATTGATTTTTTTTTGTTTTGTTTTGTTTGGTTTGGTACTGGGGATTGAACTCGGGACCTTGCATTTGCAAGGCAAGCAGCGGAACAACTGAGCTAAATCCCCAGCCCAAGAAATTGATTTCTGCTAGGATTCTGTTTTATCTAGCAAATTTTTGACTGAACAGTAAAACTACAATTCTAAATTAACAATTCAAAATATTGATATTGTAATTTAGCTTTTCAGGTTTATTTTCAATTATTTTTGTGCTTTCTATAGATATCAGAGCAACGTAAAGCTGGGTGTGGGGAGGTACACCTGTCATCCCAGCACTGTGGGAGGCTGAGACAGGAGGATCACAAGTTTGAACCCAGCCTAGGCAACTTAGACCCTGTCTCAAAAGTTTTAAAAAAAATTAAAAAGGGCTGGAGATGTAGCTCAGTGTAAACACCTTGGATTCAATCCCCAATGCCATAAATAAATAAATAAATAAAGTATAAATCTGCTTCACAGCAAATTACAAAGCTTGTAATAAACTGAGCTTGTGCTTACTCTCAGTTTAGTTGGATGGATTTATTCAAGTGAATGAAATGAATAATTTATTCTAGCCCTCCACATTGAAGTTCAGTAGAAATACTAACAGGCACAATTTATTCATCGCTGATGGATACTAGTCCATCAATAGATGTGGCGACATTAAATACATGTTTCCTCTTTGGGATATGTCCAGTTATCATTCATTTCCGTAACTGGATTAATTGCCCAGCTGCACTTGCAGTAACTGTAGGTGGTGGGCCCCTCTCCCTCATCCTACAGTCAGTGCCCCCCAACTCACATGGAAGGAGAGGCGGCTCGGAGACCCAAGCCCAGATTCCCGTCCCAGGCAGCTGGTTCTCTGTAACTCCACAGAAGACAAAGCACTCCGAACCTGCACCGAAAGCGGGTGCCTCAGTTTGTAATCCACATGACACCTACGGAAATCGGTTCCCCTTTGTTCCCCTGCAATAATTCGCTCAACTAGGAAAATGCCCAAACTCTCCCGGGGCAGAATGCGTTGCTAGGTGCCAGAGGAAGAGAAATCCAGAAAGGGACGAATACATTTGTGTGAGAAAGAAAGGGGCAGCAAAAACCCTCAACTCTACTAATTATGTGACTTCAGTCACAAAGTGTCCTCTGAGACTTGCCTCCCAAATTTTCTGTAAATGCAAAGAGTAAAAGTGACTTAATGGAGTGTGAAATTTAACCATGAAAGCACCGGCTCCCAGCAGGTGGCAAGTAAATACCAACCTTCACTCGGAAAATGTTTTGTTTTCCCTCCGAGAGTTCATGTTCATGTTCATAAGGAGACAAAAGACACACATGATCATTCAGACTGTGATGCAGTCCATTGTTACAGGCCATTGTCTGATAAAAAAGGAAGAGGGCCGGGATGTAGCTCAGTGGTGCAGCGCCTGCCTTGCAAGTGCAAGGTCCCGAGTTCGATCTCCAGTACTGCAAAAAAAAAAAGAGAAAGAAATAGAAAGAGAAAATAACAGACTAGTTTTACCAGTAGTTTGAGATTAAAAGAAATCTAACTATATGGTCAAAATGACTAAAGAAAAAACATGAGAAACCAACATGTCATCAGTTTTCATTTTCTTTACATCCCCAACTTAAGATTATGATCCATAATTAGATTGCTGTTAACATAGGGCTGCATCCATTTACTCTGTGTGCTAATCCTCTTGTAGCTTTAGAAGTCGTGTGTTTCCTACTAACTTGTGACTCGCATGGGTTTTCCTGGTGGTGCTGCGACATGGTACTATTTCTACCTCTCCCAGAGTGTGTGACAAAGACTCCACCAATAAACATCATTATTCCCAACCTTTCTGTACAAAAAAAAAGCTGACCAAGCCAGCTTATTCCAAACACACACAGGTAACCAGGGCAAGCCTTTGGGCAGGGTTCTGTTATGGGATTAGACTTCTATAAATATTTGCAAGTCTTAATCTACATAAAATTTCTATAAATGCTTGGTAGCTCACAAGGATCGTCAAGTTATAGAAATTTTGATGTAGATGGAAGCACATTGAGTGTTATACAAGTCTATCCCAATAATGGAAAGGAATCAAATTTATGTTTTTCTCCTCGCTATATCTCAGCGTGACCCAGCGGGTCATTTGCAGTCACCATGGTAAGTAAGGTCGTGTTCTAGGGGAGTTTAGGAGACACTACAGGTGACATAGTTGACCACACATTGCAGTCCACGACGAATGCTTCCATCTGCAATTGGGGATGCAGTTAAGTGATAGAGACAAACAAAAAAAGGAACAAGCAAGAAGTGATTGGTATTCCTATAGGAAATTTAATTAGCAGAGTGGTATATAGCTTGGTTTTCAATGAAGAATGGTGAGGATGATTGGTTTTATGAATCTAACAACAAAACTGACTCAGGAAAATGACAATCTTTATTGCTGGTTTCCTCCACATCGACGACTGAGGGATCCAGGCATGTCTCTGTGTTTGACTTGGGCCTCTTTTTAGTTATTAGTTATTTAAATTATATCTAGCTTGATAGCTACCTACCAATGTCAGGAGGCTACTTGAAATGTGTATGTGGGTAAGTCTTCTTGATTAAAATACAAATTTACAAGGGCCAGGGATGTAGCTCAGTGCCACTGTACCTGCCTTGCACATGCAAGGTCCTGAGTTCAATCCCTGATACTGGAAAAAAAAAATTATAGAGTGAGGCTCTGTCTCAAAAAACAAACAAACAAAAATAAAATAAAGTGCAAATTTAGCACAATCTAGAATGACATAACCTTAAGGTGTGGGGACTATATTTAAGCTAAAATGTAAGAATACTAAAGCATTACTAGTTGGAGGAAATACCCCACAGAGAATATATACATATGTACATATATGTGTATGTACCCATTTTAATGGCAATTCTCCAAGACTTCCTATTAAAATATTTTTAAAATAGCTGGGCATGATGGTGCACACTTGTAATCCCAGCACACCGGGAGGCTGAGGCAGGAGGACACAAGTTTGAGCCCTGCCTGGGCAGCATAGCAACCTAGCAAGATCTTGTCTCAAAATTAAAAAAAAATTAAAGGCTGGGATGTAGCTCAGTGCAAAGGTCTTGGGTTCAATCTCCATTGTCATGAAATAAATACATAATTTTTGATATGGATTGGAAATACAGACTGCTTTTAGTCAGTAGATCTAGCAAATTATCGATGTTCCAATTTCAGGATGATTTTCTTAAGCTTTTCAATTTCCCCTGTTGATAGCATGAACCCTATTCCACCCTGAGGGGACCCTTAGTCAGACTTTTCCAACTAACCTGGTAAGAGTAGCCAGCGAGGCTGAGCCAAAGGAGAAGAAAATCAACTTAAATTACATTTTGCACTTATACTAAGCCCTTCTTCCTAAAGTGTTTATTCCCGAGTTTCAATTTAAAATAGTTTTAAAATAAGGGGGAAACAAGTGTATATTAAACCTGATAGACTTTTTAGTCATATGTTTCTTTAAATGTTCTATATGTTCTTTAGCCGATGATCAGAATTTGGAGTTCTAATTTTGGTAATTGCCCTAAGAAGTTACTTTCTCCATGTTCATAGACCCTTAAACCATTTGCTTGACAGTTTAACATTTATATGCTTATAATTGATCTCAACCTGCTCCCCCCCAAATTAAAAACAATAGGTTAAGATGAAATGGGAGAGAATTTTTGATCTAACTCCTCTTTTCCTCTACCAATTTAGAAAAACAATTTTCTTTTTAAAAGTATCTGTGTCCACAAAAATATGAAAAACAAACCCAAAAAATTCTCATGGCAGTTTTAATTTTTAATATAAAACCAATGGAAATGGCTAGTGTGCCTATTCACAGAGACAGTAGGAGAAATGCTGTTGGCAAAGTGCACGGGTTTGAAATACTGTCTTGGTGCAGATGCGTACATCAGTGCCTGTAGAAAGATCCCAGGCCGGTATCTCAACCTTTTCCTTCTTAATCCACTTTTCAAAGTGAATTCAGTGTCCTCATCATGGGGAAAACCGCTCTTGTGTATATTTCAAACATCTTGGTGAGACTTTAAGGTTGAACACGAATGAACGCATTCTCCGATATTTCCTGATACCCTCTTCCCCCACCCCAGGTTTTTAAGTAGGAAAATGAAGTGTTCGCATGGTGCACATACTTGACCTTCTAACCAGATGCTTCCGAAGACTTCAAGCTCACAGTTAGACTTGCTTGGGCCTTCCAAGGGCTCTCAACAGAGCTTTTAAGGCAGCCATGAATTTGAATCCTACCCCAACCTTGCTTGTCTTGGGGGTCAGGGAGGCTACTAACCTGGCCATGGTTCCCCGGGTAGGGAGGTGAAGCAGCAGGAGGAGGAGCCCGAGGTGGACGTGTGGGAGCTGCTGAAGAATGCAAACCCCAGTGAGTATGAGAAGATCGCCTTCCAGTACGGCATCACGGACCTGCGGGGGATGCTCAAGCGGCTCAAGCGCATGCGCAGGGTGGAGAAGAAGAGCGCAGGTGAGCGGCCGGGTGGCCAGGGGCGAGGGCCAGGGGCGAGGGCCAGGTGGGTTTCCCGCTGGCCCGCGCCGGTGTGTGTGAAGCTGGGTTGGGTGCGGCGTCACCTTGGGCTTCAGTGGCCACTAGGGACTTTCTCCGCCTCTCCTTCATCTCAAACTCTAGATTCCCAGCTGGGGGAAGGAGTCCCGTGTCAGTTTTGCCGTCCTAGGCTCCCAGCCATTCAGGCCCAGGGACTCCTGTTTTGTGAAGCAGCTTTGCTCCTCCCAGGATCTGAAGTGAATGCCCTTGGTCTGGTTTGCGGTGGAAAAGGAGAGAGAAAGGAACGCGTTTCAGTCGGTGCCTCTCCACCTAGACTCCTGGGCTGGGTCCCCCCGTCAGTGGCCGCTCATTTCTGAGCGTTCGGGATTGGATGCAGCAGAACAAGGCATGGAGAGTTCTTCTCCCAGCTGATGAGACCTCTTTGTTCTTCTCAGTTTTGAATATGACTTTAAAAAAAAAAAAAAAAAAGCTAATGTTCCTTTTTATTTTGTTAGAACATGAGAAAGTGAGGGCCAGAGATTTAGCTCAGTGGCACTGCGCCTGCCTCACAAGAGCAAGGTCCTGAGTTCAATCCCTGGTACCACAAAAAAAAAAAGAGAGAGAGAGAAAGTAAGAGTGTTTAAGCAACAGTACAACAAGGTCAGAAAGATTGATAGACAAATATGAGACCCGAAGCACTTCACACTTTGAAAATATATAACATAGTTTTCAAACTGTCCACGTGAGAGTTCTTATCTTAAAAAAATTAAATTTAAAAAAGTTAACTACTTTTGGGCTGGGGATTTAGTTCAGTGGTTCTGCCACCTGCCCTGCAAGCACAAGGACCGGAGTTCGATCCCTGGTATCAAAAAACCCCACAAAACCCTAATATTAATCATGCTGGAGAAGAATCAGGTTCTTAAAGTTCAGTTTAATTTGGATGCTTTATATGTGGATTCCCTACAGAGGCAGGTCATTTTATTTTATTTATTTATTTTTCTTGGTATCGGGGATCAAACTCTGGACCTTGTGCTTTCGAGGCAGGAGGTGGAACCACTGAGCTAAATCCCTGGCCCAGGTCATTTTAAATGCTTCGACATTCTTATGTTTCTTCCAAAAGCATGTGAATTTTCTTTACATTTTTAAACCATCTTTTTTTTTTTTTTTTTTTGGTACCGGGGATCGAACTCAGGTCCTTTTGCTTGCAAGGCAAGCGACAGAACCACTGAGCTAAATCCCCAGCCCTAAACCATCTTTTTGTGTATAAATCAACACAGAATTCTAAAATATAAAGAATAATTTGGAAGTTTCTCAATTTTTTTCTTCACCAAGGCTCATTTTTTCATTTGTTTTTAGACTTGCATACGTAGACTGACGATTTAAACTCGTAGCATGTGGACACAAACGCTGACATACTTTTGTTTCTTCTGTCTACCAGCTTTTGCAAAAATTCTTGATCCTGCATATCAGGTGGATAAAGGAGGCAGAGTGAGGTTTGTCGTGGAACTGGCAGATCCGAAGTTGGAAGTGAAATGGTATAAAAATGGGCAGGAAATTCGACCCAGCACCAAGTAAGTGGGCTTTGCAACTAGTCAATGATAAATGTAAACAAATCAAACAGCAGTTTGGGTTAGTTTTCTGAGATTAAAAACACTTTTGGTTGTATCTTTATAATGCACAATGATATGAAGGGAGGTGTCTTTTCATATCCATTTTAAGTCTCTTCATATAATCTGAAGCTATTAAAATCATAATGTTATATAAACTAAACTTTGTTTTATGTTTACGCGTATGCCGATTATTTCGAGTGACTCCCAATTATGATTTTGTGCCGCTGCAGGTTGTACTGTATTAACTATTTTAAAGCATTGCTACATTTCGCTCAATTTTTAAAATAAAACTTTGAAATTTTGAAACACATATTTGAAATGCCCGCTGAGGGCCACGTGTCATGACTGTGTGCTTCTAAATTAGCATCTGTATTTCTCGTGACCACACCCTCTCTGCCTTCACTTCCGGGCGTGGCTCTGAGCGCTGGCGGTGCTGCGTCTGAACACAGCGCTGCCCTCGGGAAGCGGGGACCCGGGGCTGCGCTGTGCCACTTCCTGGCTCGCCCCCAGCGGAAGGAGGCTGACTGACTAATCCCCGGCCTGCTGCTATCTCTGGCCCATTATGAAACTACTTTACAGAGATCCTCCTCAGCCCCAGAGATTTTCAACTCCAGTATATTTTTTTAAATTAACAAGAGCCACGTGTACATCGATGAGCGACTTTAATCCTGCAACTTGTCACTTCTGGAGCAGAGGGAGGTGGCTTCCAGTTGCTCCGCAGGGCCTTAAGGACAGAGCGACCTTGCAATTATGACCTTTATACCTGGTGCAAAATTATCTTGACAATGGCCTGGGTTTACAGAAACACGCTATCAATTGGCTAGCTTTATCTAGAAAATGTTGGAATATTTTGTTCTTGAAGTTTTCAATTGGAGAAGTTCCTGAGCCTAATTTTTTTCTGATCTATTATAATACTCTAATGTGCTCCTTTGTAATACAAGCCAGAGATCACTAAATTTCATTACCTGTTGACATCTACGTTTTGGTTTCCAAATACTCAAATACTGTCTTAACAGATGGCAGCTGTTACGTGATACAGCGCCAGGCTTTAAGCTCATTTGACAGGCCATCACAGAGTGTAGAATTGTATCAGCGGCGAAGACCATAGAATTGCTTAAATTGAACAATTGTTTATTCACCCAACAAAATCTACTAGGTCCCAGGGCTAAGCAATGAATGGGGTACACGTCAATAAATAAGATCAAATCCTCCCACCAAAGTTCATTATTTGGTCATTTTTAAAATGTAGCATTAAAATCTCTCTGACAGTCTCAACCAACCTTATTTTCCAACAGTGGGTAAAAATAAATTAAATAGGAAATATGTAGTCACTGGTTTATATTTAATAAAACCCTTGTGCTGTATAAAAGAAAAAAATCAGAGAGGTATATAAATATGCCTGTGTATTATGCATCACAAAGATGAAAATTGTTTTTGTTTGATGTTGAACTCTAAAATATACAAGTAGATCAAAATTATATCCCTTAAATCCAAATATTACCAAAGGACGAGCCAGATTTGCTGGCAATAAAGAAAAGAAGGGAATCAAGTTCATGAACTCTATCTTCTCTTGGACACAGGTACATTTTTGAACATAAAGGATGTGAGAGAATCATGTTTATCAACAACTGCGCGCTGACAGACGACTCGGAGTATTACGTGACAGCTGGAGACGAGAAGTGTTCCACTGAGCTCTTTGTGAGAGGTGAAACATCTCTCCCCTCGGCCTTCCATGGTGCTGCTCCTCCCAGGACAGGGACCCCAGCATGCAGAGATTCTCCTGCCTCTGCCTATGGCTGGGCCGGGCTCTCAGGCTTTGGGCTCTGGTGAGGCTTTGTTATGGTGACCCAGGGCAGGATAAAATGCAGGGGGAAATCCTCACACTTTGAACTCAAGCCAGCCGCGCACGGTTGTGCAAGGTCATTGTCCTAGTCAGGACTCCTGCAGCCTCCCTGGAGAATCCCATGTCACACGCACGGCCGATCACAGGCAGGATTCTCAGGAAAGCAGCTCCGTGGGAAGCAGGGGCAGTGGCTGGCATCAGTGGGTTTTTAGTCGTTTGCTGAGAGGCTTTGTAAGAACTGGGGGCGGAGAAGACTTGAGTCCCATGTCGTCTTTACAGAGCCCAAGTCCCAGGCCTGCGTGGCCACGTTCTCCCCGCTCCGTGTCTGCTGCCTGCCTCCCACTGGAGGAGGAGGGGAATCTCCTACCCCTGTTCACCTGCTACTGAGCCAGCTGGAGAGTTAGTTCTACGAAAACTGAGCGAGCTTACCCAGAATTGCCAGCTGTTTGTTTCACCAAACAGACATTTAAAAAATTCATTAAAAAAACAACAACCCTCACTTCTTACCACCTTGGGACCCGCAGATGGGACTTTTGTGCTGTCAGATTTTCATCTGGGAACAAATCAGGGCTCGGGAGACGGGCTTTGCAGATTTGATGATTCTGGTTTCCCTGTTTTTCCGCACTAGAGCCTCCAATCATGGTGACCAAACAGCTGGAAGACACAAACGCCTACTGTGGGGAGAGAGTGGAGCTGGAGTGCGAGGTGACCGAAGACGATGCCAATGTGAAATGGTGAGAGTTTTCCTGGGGCTGCCCACTTTCAACAGGCGGAAAGGTGCCTTCCCAGTCGATAGAACAAGACATATAAATGGCTTTTAAACACGTGAAAAAAATCTGAACCTTGCTGGACGTCATGGTGCACACCTATAATGCCAGCACTCAGGAGGCTGAGGCAGGAGGATCACCACGAGTTCAAGGCCAGCCTGGACTACACAGTGAGACCCTATCTCAAGACAAAACAAAGCACTACAAAATAATAAAAGTTTAGTAAATTCCACTGTAAGAAACTGTGGTGATGGGTACGGAGTAGATTGTGCAAATCTCGAATCATAGCTATCTTTAAAATGTTAGGAGCCCGGAGAGGGGCAGGGTCATGCTTAGCGTGCACATCCGTGGCTCTGAATGAGAAGGGCTGGGGCGTGTTCTTTTAAAGTAATTTTGTCAACAGTACTTGCCACAGCAGGACTCTACCGAGGGGTAGAGGGACTCCCACGTCCATTCCTGTGTCTGGGACCTAAAAGATGCTGGGGTGAAGCGAGGACTGAGACCCATGAGTTTGTTGCCTGGGGATCGTGTTTTAAAATGCTTCCCATTGTTAATTTAGGTTTAAGAACGGAGAAGAGATCATCCCCGGTCCGAAATCAAGATACAGAATTAAAGTCGAGGGCAAGAAGCACACGCTGATCATAGATGGGGCGGCCAAGGCGGACAGCGCGGAGTACTCCGTGATGACCACGGGCGGACAGTCCTCTGCCAAGCTCAGCGTGGGCTGTGAGTGCCGCTCCGGGCCGTGTCCTGCGGGTGCTGGGCTGTCCGCCCGGTGTCAGTGGTCCGGGCCTGTCGGACCTCTGTGGGTAGCTTTTTTAAAGATGCAGAATTGGGTTCCAGTCTGGCAGAGCAGCAGCAAACGCACTATCAGGTTTCAGAGAATTAGAGAATTCACGAACCCCCTCCCCACCCCCCTCCAATAGGAGACACTGACTCATGGCAGAACCGGGCCCAGTTGGCCATGAAAATTAAAACAGCAAGTGTCGGGGTGACGGGTGATATGCGCAGGGCAGAGGTCTCGCTCCCTGTGGGTCCCCCTGTACTTTATGGGGTCATCCATGGACTCAGAAGCAAGCTCAACTCCCTCTTTATGCTTCCGGAACCACAGGCATTTTGCTATTTGCATCCACTTACAGCAATTCCTGCCCGTTCTGCCTTAAGGCAAGTTCCACATTTCTAAAAACCTTTATGCCAGGCCAAGTCATGCAATAAAAGCCATGGGCTTTGCAGGAGAAATGGGATTATGGCCCAGCACAAAGATCTTTGTCAGTGACATGTTAGAAAAAAGGTAAGGACCTCAAGAGAAACCTATCTGGTCTGTTCAGCTGGGGCAGCTGACCGCCCTCCCCCGTTCTCAGGAAGGAAAGCGTGTCAGGCGTCTCTGAAACCCGCATTATGCTCTGCTACCCTCTGATGGAGCGGTCCCAGCTGTGCAGACTCTCGTCTTCGTGACACTCTTTATTTCCACAGTGAGGCCTCTGAAGATTATGACGCCCCTGACCGACCAGACAGTCAAACTTGGCAAAGAAATTTGCCTGAAGTGTGAGATCTCTGAAAACGTGCCAGGGAAATGGACGAAAAATGGCCTGCCCGTGCAGGAGAGTGACCGCCTGAAGGTCATTCACAAAGGGCGGTAAGCAGCAGGGAGCTATCTCTCTCACCCTGCCTCCGGAACGACAGTCGACAGTCCAGTCGACAGCCGTCTAGTCCCGTTTCCGCTTGGAGGGTTGCCGTGGGGAGACGACCTTTTCTAGCGCTTTGCTTTCTGCTAGCAAGGGTATGGCTCTCTCTCACCACCACTCACTCCTACTATGCCCTGCTCACAATCCTGGGCCCTTTCTCTGGTCCAAAGCCACTGGCTGATTTCATTGCCACCAGATACGCGGTTAGGGGAATGGCACTGGATTCCAGCTGAGGACCTGGGTGAATGTGCCCACCCACTGTCCCCGGCCAGTGTGAAATAAGGTTTCTAGGAGACACTGGTTCAGACTGAGCCTCTGGACAAGACCCACAGACCCATCCCAAATGCAGATGCTCAGCTAAGTCTCTACGCCACCGTGCCAGGCTGTTCACCTGACCTAGGAAATCAGGAGAAAGAGAAATAATTGTCCCATCCCCAAACAGGCACCTTGAACTTACATAAGGAAGTACCCTCACCTTTCACCTGTATTTAAAAGCACCTGTGAGATAGCCCACTTCTTGTTTTCTGTGTTCACTCTCCTCCACCCTTTGAGGTTGTCAGCCCTTCTGCTCTTCTCCGTATTAGAACAGCTGTGGTACTTTATAGAATGAACTGTGGCCCACTTCCAGAATTACAAATAAGGGCTGGGGATTTAGCTCAGTGGTTTCGCCGCCTGCTGCACAAGCTCAAGGACCAGAGTTCAATCCCCGGTACCAAAAAAACAAAACAAAACAGAATTACAAATAAAAGCCAACAAAGTTCTTCCAACCAAATTTGTCATGGGTGTCTTTTGACACCAGTAAACATCCCATGACTTTCCTACATTTATTTTTTTCTTGGAGAGTTGGATAATATCTTAGAATCTAGCAAAGACCTGAGGCAAAAGTTTTAACCTTGGGCTCATGGATTCTTCTGAGAAATCATGAAAGAACCTCTAGGGACCCCATAAATCCTCTGAAATTGTGAGAAAATTCTATTTGCCTACAAAAATATTCACATTCATAATCTCGAAGTACTGACTTCACACATTATTTTTTATCTTTTTGCCATGGTGAGGATCAAACCCAGAGCTTCACCCATGGTAGGCAAGTGCTGTAGTACTGAGTCACAGCCCGAACCCCAAAACAGTGCTTTGAACAGAGAGAGAGAGAGAGAGAGAGAGAGAGGAGTGCAGCCATAGTATCCATGTGGCTGTCACTGTCCATGGCCCCAGTGCATGGAAGAACTATTCATCTTTTGGCATGGGAAGCCCAAGTCAGGATTACTCTTAATAATTTCTTAAATCTCCAAGTGTAGCATTATTGAGATGCTATGTTTTATTCTTTTGAAAGTTATGTGATGAAAAATAATAGACTTGTATACATAATAAGCAGGTTGCATTTGTAGAGATCCTGCCATATAATTCAAAATACAGGGATGTAATCTGGGTCAATAACTAGAATAATTAAGGTTCACAGTCTCTCTCTCTGTCTCTCTCTCTCCTGCTTGATACAAGTTAATCAGATGAAGGGCAGGTGTCTCTTTTTTTTTGGTACTGGGGATCAAACTTGGGACCTTGTGCTTGCAAGGCAGGTGGTAGAACCGCTGAACTAAATCCCCGACCAAGGGCAGGTGTCTCTTTGGGCCATGTATAATTTAATTCTCTGCAAAGTCTTTAGAAATATGTTTTCCTCGTGTCCTTAGGATCCACAAGTTAGTAATTGCCAATGCCCTAGTTGAAGATGAAGGGGATTATGTGTTCACACCCGACGCCTACAATATTCCTATGCCAGCCAAAGTTCGCGTGATCGGTGAGTCCATAGCAGAAATCATCGCCCCATTGTCCTCATATAAGTGTGTGTGTGTGTGTGCGCGCGCGCGTGTGCGCGCGCACGCGGGTGCTTACCGGGGAATTCTGATGTATTCAAAACTATGTGATAAAGAAAAAATGCATGGACTGGTATTAATCATGAATGAAAGCAGTTGGTGCCTCAGTCTTACAGTGAGATAGCTGTGCAGTGCTCTGGGCAGCAGTCTTGGCCCCGTTTGGATGCTCTGTGGCCAACTAAACAGTGTCGCACAGGCCGGTGGCCAGAGAGGTGCTTGCTCCCTGGAAGTCACCATCCGATGACAGAACCTGTGTCCCCTCCAGACCCTCCCAAGATCATCCTGGATGGGCTGGATGCGGACAACACGGTGACCGTGATCGCGGGGAACAAGCTTCGTCTGGAGATCCCGGTCACCGGGGAGCCGCCCCCCAAGGCCCTCTGGAGCCGGGCAGATAAGGTCTGTCACATGATCGTGTGCGCACCCTGTCCCGGCCCCTCACTCCCTTAGTCAGAGGAAGGGGGAAGGGACTCACTGCACAGACGGAGCCCTCAGAAAAGGGGAGATGGCCGATTAGGGGCAAGTCTGGAATCAGAGAGGGAAACCAAGTCAAAGCTCCCTTTGTGCCCGGGTACCTGGGGTGTGCAGACAGCCCAGCCTGCAGGGGGCACTCTGGCACATCACTGAGGAAGCAGCGGAGCCTGGGCAGAGAAGGGTCTGAGAGGGCTGGAGAGGAAGGGGTGCTCGCACAGTGCGGGGAGCAGTGCTTATCCCCCAGCCCGAGCCAGCCTTGGAAACACTGTTCACAGTGCCCCGGGACTGAACAGCAGTTCACCCCACCCGGACGCGGCCCGGGGCCTCTCTCCAGACCATAAAAGCAAGCGTCCCAAAATGACGCTCAGGATGTGGGACGCAGAAACATCAAGCATCCAACAAGGCACGGTTTGCAGTGTCTGCCATCCAGTCACACATGACACCAGAGAAACCAGCAGAGAAACAACCCAGAGGAGGAGAAAAGTCTATGGAAACCAAGCCAGCTCTCACCTGGGTATCAGAATTAGCAGTCAAGGACAGGGGAACAATGAGCAGAACTTCATTCCATGTGTTCAAGAAGTTAGGTGGAGAAATGTTCAGTTCTCAATTTAAAGTTAAGGGGAGAAATTGAAGTGCAGTTGGGGAAATACCCAAAAGGGCCAAATCAAGTTATCTAGAGATAAAAACTACAAAATGTGTCAGATAAAAAATACAGTGGAGGGAATGATTGGCTAAGTAGACATTGTTTTATACTGTGCACCAACAGCACATGAAATGTATAATGAAATGCTACACAGCAATGAAAAAGAATGTACTAGTAACAGATGGAACAATGTGGATAAGTCTAAAATTCATCATGCAGTGTAATGCTAGCTTTGGAAGGCCGCACACTCTCTGATTCCAGTTATACAGCGTTTGGGGTAAAGGAAGCTCTAGGAACAGGTAGTAGACCAGGGACCTCCAGGGACCAGGACATGGGTGTGGGTTGGTTCCTAGGGTCATGGGGACATCGTTAGAGATGATGGAGATAACCTGGACCTGTCTTGATTGTGGCGATGGTCACACATCAGCTTGTCAAACTCATAGAACAATATCTCTAAAAGGTGTGCATTTGTACTTTATGAAAATTAAGGTGCTACAAACTAAATAAAACACAGGAAAGTCAAGAGGATAATAAAACCCCACCCTAAATAAATATCTTTCTTTTCACAACCAAAAAGCTAGAACGCATTTTATACTCCTCTGTTAGAATTTGGCTACAGTAATATGAATGATTTTGTTCTATTATAAAATAGAATAATTATAAAAATGATTTCAGGTGTTCTTACTGTTGTCACAATCTCATTTTTGAAGATGTGGGAGTCTTAATCCAGGCACAAGAGCAAAGAATTACCAGGTGTGGTGGTGCACATCTGTAATCCCAGCACTCGGGAGGCTGAGGCAGGAGGATCACCAGGAGTTCAAGGCCAGCCTGGGCTACATAGTGAGACCCTGTCTGAAAACAACCAACCAACCAAACAACCAACCAAACAAACAAATAAATAAAATAAATAAAAATGCCTCTGTCACAGGAGGGGGAGGATTACAGTGATGCGGTGTATCTCAGCCCTGTGGGGCTCGAGTCTCCAGGCCACGAAGGGCCCTTTCGCGCACACAGGACTCACACCTGTCCCCTCCCGGCCAGGCCATCATGGAGGGCAGTGGCCGCATCCGGGCAGAGAACTACCCCGACAGCAGCACGCTGGTCATCGACGTGGCGGAGAGAGATGACTCCGGGGTCTACAATATCAACCTGAAGAACGAGGCGGGCGAGGCGCACGCCAGCATCAAGATCAAGGTCGTGGGTGAGTGCCTCGGACCGGGACAGCTGTGGCCGGAGTCCCTGTCCTGCCTCCCTCCCTCCTGCCCAGCCTGCCATTCCCCACCCTGTGTCCTCGGGCCAGGCCGCAGGTCTCAGGGACCAGTTGCCAAGGGCAGCTATTCTGGGCTGCAGTCATTCGCTCTGCTAAGTCTCAGGCCCTTCTGGTGCCCTTTAAAGGTCACGGAGACACAACCGCCTAATAATGGCCCTCGCTCCCGTCCCCTTCAGACGCGCCCCCTCCCTTCCTCTCTTTCCCTTCCTTCCCTCCCCCACCTCCTCTCTCTTCCCCTCCCTCTCTTCTTCCTTCCTCCCTTCCTCAGGAGGAGACTTTTCCCTCAGCTCACAGTGCCTCCCCATCTCTGACTGGACTTGCTAACCAGTCAACAGTCTTCCACCTGACATAAAACACACATGGCCCAGCCCGGCTCGGCCGGCCGGGGATTGGCTCTGTGCTTCGGCCCCGGCCTGCTCTGGGTGCCTCACCCACACTGTGCCACTGTGCAGGTAAAGGGCAGGTGCTCGTCCGGGGTGCTGGCTCTGCAGGGCCAGCTCTCTGGGCCTGAGGCTTTGGAGCCAGCGCTGGGCTCAGAAATGAGCCTCTGTGACCACTGCAAAGCATGTTTCCTACACGCTCCTTCGGGTCTTCACTTCATTTCTCTCATCCACTGCAGACATCCCCGACCCCCCGGTGGCCCCGAACGTGACAGAGGTGGGGGACGACTGGTGCGTGATGAACTGGGAGGCCCCGGCCTACGATGGCGGCTCCCCCATCCTGGGTGAGCCCCGCACACTCGCAGAACGCGAGTAACTCAGCACTTCCCAGAGAACTGTTCCAGTGTGGCTTTAAATACCACTCACATGGGTGCATGTTAGGAGCATTAGCGGAGGTACAAATAGGTCCACCCAATATTGTGCCATTAACTGTTCTCTTTTTGTTTGTCATTTACACTCAATATCTAAGTTTTTGGGTTTCTTTCTTCCTTTCTTTTTTGAGACAGGCTCTTGCTATGTAGTTCAGGCTGGCCTCAAACTCATGATTCGCCTGTCTCAGCCTCCCGAGGGCTGGCATTGCAGGTGTGCACCACCACGTCCTATTCAATATCAAGTTTTTGTTTTCATTTATTTATTTCTTTAAATTTTTGCAGTAACAGTGATCGAATCCAGGGCCTTCATCCTGAGCTACATCCCCAGCCCGTTTTTAATTAATTAATTAATTTATTTATTTATTTAGGTCCCGGGGATCAAAATCAGGATCTTGCACTTGCAGGGAAGCCATGGCACCACTGAGCTCTGTCCCAGCCCCTTTCTTACTTTTTGTTTTGCAGCAAGGTCTCACTGAGTCACTAAGTTGCCCAGGCTGGGCTGGAACTTGCAGCCCTCCTGCCTCAGCCCCCCAGAGTGCTGGGGTGACAGGCGTGCACACCTAGGTCCATAGGGTTATGTCACAAAGAAGTTTCTTTTACCATTAAATGTTGAGAATCATCTGTTTCCCAAGTGGCAAGAGAACTCTTTCTCCTCACTAATAAGAGTCCTTTCCCCCTGGTGGCTTCAGGCCCGGCTGCATCGCAGCAACTAAGCTCCTCCAGCCCGCCTGCCTGTTCCCACTTTTCCTCTTTTCCTAGCACAACTGCAGTTCTCTTCTGGTCTGGTTATTTTTTTTTTCTCTTTTTCGGAACACAGAAATCGCACCTATTACTGGGGGACCAGGTGACGTCTCGATACAGGTGCACATCATGTGACACAGCTGCCTCTCATTTACCAGCTCTTCATGTAGCTCATTGCAAAGACCCTAGGTTCAGTTCCGGGGACAGGAAAAAGACAAAATGTATATCCCTGTTATATCCATGCTGACACACACATTCATTACTATATGCAAAGTATTAGTGCCCCCCAAAATACAAAAAAAACCCACCAAGCAGCAGCCGGGCGTGTGTTACTCCTGTCATCCTAGCACTGGGAGGGGGATGGGGGCAGAGAGTCCAAGCCTGCTCTGGGTCACAGTGAGGCCTAACCTCAAAAGAAAAAAAAGTATGGCCTTGCACGGGAAAAATACTGCCAACCTGACAGGCGAGTCTTCACATTTGTCATTCAGATGACTAAATCCAAAGGCATGGGTTAGAAACCTCAGGGTACTGCAGACCTGTTCCCATCAGCACTGAAAACAGGACAAGAACGCTGTCTTATTATTGCTGCTCCTCACTGTCCTGAAAACATGTAGATGGGAAGAACACGGGCCTGGGGGTGCTGCTCAATGTAAAGCACTTGCCTACTATGGGCCAGGCCCTGGGTTCAAAACCACAGCATCCCACACAAAAAAGAAACCGAAAAGGGAAGTGAAATGTAACCCAGAAAAGCTCATCCCAACATAACTCACGCCCAGGCTCGGGCACTGGTGGGCGCGCTCACGGCAGGGCCAGAGTTCTCGCCCAGCGTGCGGCCCGTGACTTCCATCCCTGCACAGCAGCTGTTCGTTAAGAGAAAGCAACTGCCCACAGCTGATACTCTGAGGCCCTGTTACCTTCTCCGTCTCCCCAGCTGAGTTTGCCGTCATGTCCCTGTGACGACCCAGGAGACCGGCGAGGAGCCCTGTCCCCCCAAGCCCACTGCTGGCTCTGACCCCGGCTCCACCCACCTGTCCGCAGGGTACTTCATCGAGAGGAAGAAGAAGCAGAGCTCCCGCTGGATGAGGCTGAACTTCGACCTCTGCAAGGAAACCACTTTCGAGCCCAAGAAGATGATCGAGGGCGTGGCCTACGAGGTCCGCATCTTCGCGGTCAACGCCATCGGGATCTCCAAGCCCAGCATGCCGTCCAAGCCCTTCGTGCCCCTGGGTGAGTCTTGGGCAGAGTGTCCTGGTCCTGGGCATCAGGGCTGCGTGTGTCACGTCAGGGCTCCCAGCGTCCGGCCGGAACAAGCTGGAGGCTTCCTAGAGCGGCAGACGGGCAGGGGCTGAGTCGTAATCAGGGGCTGGCTGGGCATGGTGGTGCACTTGGTAGGCTGAGGCAGGAGGATTTCCACAAGTTCCAGCCAGCCTGGGCTACACAGTGAGGCCCTGTCTCAAAAGACCAAGATAGATAGATAGACAGACAGACAGAAGTGATTAGGAGCAACTTTCTAAGACATTTTTTTAAAAACACTTCTGTTGGAGTTGAATATCTGCATATTGTGGGCCCTAGAATTGATTTCTAAAACCCCAGTTACCACCTTGGAAACAGGAAGCTGAGACCATTAGTGAATTTCTCCTCCCAAGGTGCACGCAGACCAGGTGTGACAGCAGCAGTACCCCTAAAGCAGACTGATGATGTCCATCCAGCAGTGGACACTGCACTGGACACTGCTCTCTGTGCTTAGGGTTACACCTTACATTTTGTTTGTTTTGCTTTGTTTTGACACTGGGGATCGAACTTGGGACCTTATGCTTGCGAGGCAGGCGCTGGAACCACTGAGCTAAATCCCCAGCCCACACCTTACATTTTGTCTCCAAAAAGTCACAGAAGGCAAAAAAAATACAGAGAAAAAGAAGATGTCTCCACTATTGTAGGGTGCTGAAGTATTTCTTTTAGTAGAAAGAAAATTTGGTACAAGAATTTGTACTGTAAAATTAGAGGCTCATGGGGAATTTATTCCAGATCATTGGACCCCAAAACTTTGACTTCACCTTCCTCAGGCCCCCGGGCCTCGCGCCGACCCCCAAGCTTGGAGAGAGTGTGTGGCGTCCTAGGTAGCTCTCGCGCGGGTCAGGCCTTTGCTGCACATGCAGTGCGTTTGAGTCGCACGAAGGGGGCTCCGGTGTCCTTCTCTGTTTTGTCCCCCTCTGTTTTGTCCCCTTCGGTTTGTTCACGACTCTGTCGCCAAAGGTCCTCCCTTTTTCTGTCTCTTACCTTTAAGCTGTCACCAGCCCCCCCACCCTTCTGGCTGTCGACTCTGTGACCGACACAACTGTCACGATGAAGTGGCGGCCCCCAGACCAGATCGGCGCCGCGGGTCTAGATGGCTATGTGCTAGAGTACTGCTTCGAAGGAAGTAAGTACCCCCGACGAGTGCTAGTGCTGCCCTCCATCTGCAGGAGCCACTGCTGGCTCTGTCTGTCTCGGGCACTGGTCTCTTCCCTGCTGGGAAGGAGACCTGGCATCCTCCTGAGATATCCAAAAGGTGGCCCTTCTAGAGTACTTGGTGCGCATAAATCGAGTCTCAAAGGCGGCACGGTTAGGTGACACGGGCGGGCAGCACACGTGACTTCCGTTTCCGGAACTGGTCCAGTTGCCTGGGACCCCAGCTTGACGCCCGTCTAGCCAGGAGGAAGCACGGTAGAAACTCTAAAACCTGTCCCGAGCAGAAGCCAGCGAGGCATTAGAGAGCTGTTGCCTTGGGGAAGCAGTCAGAGACTGTATATTCAGCTGCCTGGTGGCCCTCTGCTTTCTTAAGGGAAAAAGAAAAACCGAAATGAAGAATTAGGACTAGCTCTTAATTTTAAAGCAAACACCATCAAATCCCCTAGAGCATAAGAAATAAGAAGTAGGTGCGGTATGTGGCAGGGACTCACCGGGCCTTGGGTATCTGACCATTTAACCACTCAAATGTAGGAGAGGAAGAGAAACGAGGTCAAAAGGAATCACTGGTAGGTAATGGATAGAGGAAATGGCACCAGGAAACGCCGGCCGCGGTGTACCTGCAGGCCAAACTGCTGTGACATTTGCAAAGGGCTGCTGTGTCTCTTCCTCCTCATGACAAGGAAGGGGTGGCGATTGGATGTGGGTGAATGGAGTCACCCTGGGCTGGAGGCAGGCGCCACCCCGGGTGGAGTAGGTGAGCAGGAGCCTGTTGTACCCCGCAAAAAGAAGCCCAAGGCCTAACCGCTGAGAACACCCCTCGGACCCCAGCTGTTAGCGTGCGCGCTACATGTAAAGGGAGGAGGCCACAGGCTGCTTTAGGGGAACCAGGAAGTGAGCACAGTAACCTGACCTGGAAGAAAACCCCACAGAGAAGCAACCTGTCAGGAAGAGAAAACCACCAGGGAGAAAGCCAAGCCCCTGCACTGGGCTCAGATGGAGATGGGCCACGCTGCGCCAGGAAGAGGACAGGAAACGAAGTAACCCAGCGTTGCTGACTCCTCCTCCTCATGCTCCCTCGCAGAGTACTGTGCTTGGTTTTGCTAGGACTTAGGAAGCCTCTAACGCAAAGTAGTGGGCAGTTAAAACCAAGGTCCTGGGGTTACCAAAGCAAGAGAGGCAGGTCCTGCACTAATGCACCAAGAGAACTCTCCCGTGCTCCAGAATATGGTTTATTTCTACCTATTTGTCCCCTTATTTTTTTTACAAAAGCATGAGCTCACTGATTTTGTACTGTCCAGCCAGCAGGGGTTTCCAGTCTTGTACATGTGGGCTTCTGAACACGAACCTTCTGTGTATACACAAATTAGAGCCAATTCTTTACTCTTTTCTTTCTGATAGGTTTAAAAAGTAAGAAGATACAGCAAAATGATAGATGACTGTCATTTTGATGTTACCCACCTTAGATAAAATACAACGAAGTGTATTTTACATAATCTTGTGTGTGGCCTGTGTAGATATATATGTATATCCAGTTATACATATGTATAAGTACACAGTCATTATTATGTATACATTTGCCATGTAATGTTTTGGAGTTAGCTTTCTATGGAAGTTCTTTCATAACACGTATACCTTTCTTCTTGCGGTCTTTCCTTATGTTCTTTATGTGGCTGCCTTATTCTTCTTTCTCTTAATGGCTGTTGTCCTCCACACTAATCTTCTGGAGTGCTTAATGCTTTGGGAAATGTCAGGTTGGCTCTGTTAGAGAAGTCTTTCTTGTATGGGATCGTGTGTTGGTTTTGACTTTGCCTTTTTCTTGTTTGGGTTTTTTTTTTCTTTTAACGCCTGCAGCATTTGATTCCTGTTTTCTTCCTTCTCTCTTTTCCGTCCCTTCTTCTCTTTCTTAAACATTCACCTCGTGTATGAAATAACTTCCCACCTGTGAGACGTCTTCTCTTTCTCTGTTCCCTCAGTGAAGGTGGCTCAGATGTGAAGACATGGGCTGTTTTCCCCCCTGGTCTTTTTCAGTGCTGTTTTCTGCTGAAATTTTCTCTTCGGCCGCATCTTCATTCTTTCTGACGAGTTCACTCCTGTTTTCATGCATCTGGAGCTCTCAGACTCACCGCGTGCTTAGCCTTTTCCAACTCCTAGGTCCCTGTTTGGCTCCATGGCCTCCTGGTGCCCGGCACCCGGCTTCTCGCCCCTTCTTGCAGTCTGCCAGATCCCTGGGGCGGCCAGTCCTGTCCCTGTGCTCAGCTCCTCTCCAGGCACCGAGAAAGTCATCTTCCCACAGCAGAGGGCTTGGCCCGAGGCCCCCTGTGAGCTCCCATGTGGCGTGGTGGGCTGGGCCAGGCTCGGGTTGTTTTCTTGACCCAGGGTTAATTTCCGTGGCAACCAGAGCTTCCTCCTGGGCTGCTGGGGCCAAATCCATTTCCGATCCTAGCTGGTGAAACCAGGGCAGCCTGGTAAATGGGGCTGTCCAGAGTCCTCGGGCACTGGACACCCGCAGGCCGAGGGGGTGGGACAGGCAGGACCGAGGACAGTCCAGTCGGGAGCTGCGGCTCCTCTTCCTTTGGGGTCTGCTTGTCCTCGAGCTCCTCCTCCTTCCCGGCCCCGTCTCCCCTCTTCTCCGCTCTTCCCCGGGGCAGGGCCAGCACCAGGCCCGGAGCCCCCTCACATGTCTGGTCTCCTCCTCGTTGTGTCCTGAGGACGAACCTCTCTTCGCACTCTGCCTACATTACTAACAGAGAATGCTGGCTACTGATGTGGGACTCTGTGTGAGTGTGGGTGTCGTTAATCACGTTATATGACGGATTCTCAAAGGTACCTCCGCCAAACAGTCTGGCGAGAATGGGGAAGCCACGTCTGAGCTGCCAGGTAAAGTACCGCGTGACGCTCCGGGACTTCCTTGCCGTGTGATCACATTTCCGGGGTGTCTGTGCCTCGCACGCCACACACCCACCCGCAGCGAGCCCCAGAGCGGGGAGGCGGGGCGGTGGCCTTGGAGGTCTCAGTCTTCCGTTCTCTTATGGGCATGATGCATATTCACGTTCATAGAAGCCAGATTATTTGTAAGCCCGGAATTCTCAGGTGTAAATTTCGGACAAAGCTACCGAAAGCTAAATTAAAAAACAAAAACAGAAAAGCAACTCTCCGCAATGAATGAAACCACTGTAGACTGTAAACATGTACTAATAAAAATTAAAATTTTTATAGCCAGGTGTGGTGGCGCACATCTATAATCACAGCACTTGGAAGGCTGAGGCAGGTGGATCTATGTGAGTTCAAGGCCAGCCTGAACTACATAGCGAGATCCTGTCTCAAACAAAACCACCAAATGGGAATAAAACTGCTGCAGAATGCTCGGGGACAAGTACTATTGTTCAGAATACTTTAATCATGAGTGAGAGATTTTTCAGAAACAGCAGAATCTGATAGTTTCTTCTTCCCGTGGATTATCTCAGCCATTTTAGGCCATTTTTCATTTCAATGCCTGAAAAATGCCCAACAGAAAGTGCGAGTGCAGAGTGAAGTCACATTGGCTCCACATGATTTAATTATGCAGGAAAGTCCAAGTTGGAGCTGACTGTCTGGCTGGGCTGATTTCCCTGACTAACCGCCCCCCCTTCTTTCCCGGCTGTAGCTGAGGACTGGATCGTTGCCAACACAGATCTGATCGACAAGACCAAGTTCACCATCACCGGGCTGCCCACAGACGCGAAGATCTTCGTGCGTGTGAAGGCAGTGAACAAGGCGGGCTCCAGCGAGCCCAAGTACTACTCTCAGCCCATCCTGGTGAAGGAGATCATAGGTTGGTGCCCTGTCCATCCCTGGTCCCTTTTGTCTCTTACAGCACCCTTCTTGCTCAAAATTGATTTTTGTTGCTACCTCTTTCATTTTTTATGAGTGCTTCCGAGAAGTTAGAAATTCACAAAATAGATCTTCCAGGTGTGCAGGAAGTCAGCTTCGGGTTTATAATGTGGCCCCCTGAGGACCAGGTCACTAACGGGAGAGGGCGTGTGTTAGCAGTGGTGTACACAGCCCTGCTGCAGCTCCCGACTCATACTAGTCTCTGCGAGGTCTAACTGCACACTAACGGGAGTGCATTCTGGTCCTTCTCAGGCCTTGGCACCTGCACGGATGGTGTAAAGTGAGAGTCTAAAACTGTTGGTGCCTTTGCCTGCATCAAGTCAGCGCCGCCACACTCTACTAGCTATCCTGTCTTCCTTGCCACCATTAGCTCGTAGTTAAAATAAAAGAGCCAAGCTAGGCATGCTGGCACGTGCCCATGATCCCAGCTACTCAGGAGGCTGAGGCAGGAGGATTCCAAGTTCAAAGCCAGCCTGGGCAATGTAGCAAGACTCTAAATGAAAATCAATTTCTTTTGTTTCGTTTTGTTTTTTGGTACCGGGGATCGAACTTGGGTCCTTGCGCTTGCGAAGCAGGTGGTGAAAGCACTGAGCTAAATCCCCAGCCCAAGTAATACATAGGTTTTTTGTCAATTTCTTTAAAAGGCTTGGACATCTAGCTCAGAGGTAGGGCACTTGCCTAGCATGTGGCAAGGCCTAGGTTCAATCCCCAGTACAAAAAAGAAAAAAAACAAACAAAACCAAGATAGATAATGGATTTGAATGTAACAGAATATGAAAGGTCACTGAAGTGGCTTTAGATTCCCCTTTGTACCCATTCGTTAGGAAACTAAAACATTGCATTTATTGCAGAATCAAAGAACACCCGCATTTGTCTGACAGGTTTATTAAAGTATTCCCGCTCTGGGTATGAAACCTGATATTCTTCGGTCTTCAGCCAGTTCCACACATCTCAGCAGATTGAAGCCAAGGGCGGTACAAGAATCTAGCTGTTCTCTGCTCAGCCAGATGTGAAAGAGATTTCCCAAAAGATAAAATAAGGCAGCTCACCTCACTGAGCCCTTTGTTATATAAAACATGGTTATTTCCACTAAAATGGTACTTATATTATTATTTTCCTCTTTTTTTTGGTACTGGGGATCGAACTTGAGACCTTGTGCTTGCAAGGCAGGTGCCAGAACCACTGAGCTAAATCCCCGGCCCCTTATGTTATTATTTTCAAATGAACATGTCAACATTTCTCAGTTTGAATTTCTGATATGGTAATATATCAGCCCACATGAACAAAAGCTTCTGTGGGTCTATAGTAATTTTTGTCTGTATGTTTTTTGAGACTCTGTAGCCCAGGCTGGGCTCGAATTCTTGATCCTCCTGCCTCAGGTTTCCATGTACTGGGGTTGCGGGAATGGACATCCGGCTTTGTGATAATTGTTAACACTGTAATGGAGTACTGAGATCAGAAAGTGGGAGAATCACAACTCCATGGCAAAGAATATGGATCTCATGACCTGGATACCCGGGTAGTGGAGATGGTTTTACCATTGACTCGTGATGTGGCCTCCTGAGACCTTTGGGGAGTAAGTTAGGGAAGGGGCAGATGGACGGATGGATGGATGGGTAGATGGATGAATGGATGGATGGATGGATGGGTGGGCAGATGGATGGATGGATGGATGGATGGATGGATGGGTGGGTGGATGGGTGGATGGGTGGGTGGATGTATGGATCCAAGGATGGATGGGTGGGTGGATGGATGGCTGGGTGGATGGATGGATGGGTAGGTATATGGATGGATGGATGGTTGGATGGATGGATGGGTGGGTAGATGGATGGATGGGTGAGTAGATGGATGGATGGGTGGGTGGATGGATGGATGGATGGGTGGGTAGATGGATGGCTGAGTAGATGGATGGGTGGGTGGGTGGATGGATGGATGGGTGGGTGGATGGATGGATGGATGGGTGGATGGATGGATGGGTAGGTATATGGATGGATGGATGGTTGGATGGATGGATGGGTGGGTAGATGGATGGATGGGTGAGTAGATGGATGGATGGGTGGGTGGATGGATGGATGGATGGATCCAAGGATGGATTCAAGAATGGATGGAAGGGTGGGTGAGTGGGTGGATGGGTGGATGGATGGATCCAAGGATGGATGGATGGGTAGATGGACAGATAAGTAGCTAGATGAAAGGAAGCATGAAGCATATACATTTTCTTAATAGATTCTGGGGAAACTATATAGGCTTAATTCTTTTTCTGTCATCTATTGACAATGTGACCTTGAGATAACAAGAGATGTGATTTTTTTAAGGCCTCATATCTTCATCTTCAAAATAAGGATAATAGGGCCGGGGATTTAGCTCAGTGGTTTCAACACCTGCTACGCAAGCGCAAGGACCCGAGTTCGATCCCCAGTACCAAAAAAAAAAAAAAAATAGGGATAATAGAAATACTTGCCACATCAAGATATTATGAGAATCAAATAAATTAGCCTGCACTACTTGCTTAACAGAGTGCTAATGAAGTGCCTGTACATCCTTTAAGGGATGTTCACCAGCGAATATTCTTACTATTAGGAATGATGAAAAACATGTACAAGGTCCTGAACGAAAACTGGGTGGTTTTCTATAAACTGCATCAGGCCTCTACTGACAGTAAAAACACAAAGTTGCAGTGCAGTCAGGGGACTCACAGATAAATTTTGGTGAAACCCTCAAAACCTCTCTGCTTGAAGCAAGCGGTTTGGACCACGCTGCCGTCACATGAGTTGTCGGTGGCGCATCTGAGATTGTTCACGGAGATCGCAAGGCCAGGCCGGGAGCATCGCGCCGTTATTCTCAGGCAGGGCCATTTCCTGGGTGACCTACTGGTGGCAAAATGATGCTCGTTTACTCTTCCCAGAGCCTCCAAAAATCCGAATCCCAAGGCACCTGAAGCAAACCTATATCCGCAGAGTCGGAGAAGCTGTCAACCTGGTCATCCCTTTCCAGGTAACAGTGCAGGGCCGGGTGTCGGGGACACGAGCGGGCAGGTGTCCTAGGGGCGAACTCCTCAGGGACACCAGTCGCTTGCGTGGAGCTCGCGGTGTGTGTTAAGAAAACACACTATGTGCCTGGTCCCACCATGACCCCAAACCAAACCAAAGTCCAGCACCAGGGAGCGCGCAAACTGGATGTGTCAGGGCCACCAGCTGGAATGCGAGCCGACTGCTCAGCCGCCACTCCTGCAAGACTGTGGTTCACTGGGTTAGGCAGGTTTCCTTTGCTTACCGTGATCAGCTTTGATCTCATGGGTGCACACGCAGGCACACACACAGAGCCCTGTTCAGACCCAGGCTTCCCGGGAACCGAGCTGAAGGCAGCGCTGCAGCTCCCTCCTGTGCTGGGCTCTGTGGTCGGCAGAGCAAGGGGCGGCAGAGAGGACCCCCCGAGGAGGGGTGGTGACAGGGGTGTCCCGTCTGTGTCCTGCGACTCTAGAGCCCTCGACACCCTCTTGTGACGCTCAGCAACAGCTCAGGGGCAGGACGGGCAGATTTCCTTGCGGCTGCTAGAGAGGGGAGACGCAGCCACCCGAGGCATTAGGGGACTCGTTAGGGGAAGTGGCCCGGCACTGGCACTTCCTTCCACCTGCTCTCTTATTGGGGGACTGGGTTTTCCCGGTGCCTAACAGTTCGCTGTGCATCTAACACAGGGCCCCGAGCGGTGGGCTGGCCTCTCTCCACATCGTCCTTGCACCCCAAGTGCAAATCCGAGGCCCCCAACCGTGGGCCGGGGCCAGACAAGCACTCTGTACCCTCACACCCCAGCCACAGTGGGTCGCACACGCGGGAAAGCTCTGCCCTGGGAACTGAGTGGAGCCCTGAACTCATGCTGGGTCTCGGGGGTTCCGGGGCATCCCCTGTCCTAGGAGCAGAGCCCCGGCCCATGGGTGGGTGACAGCTGCTCTTCAGGAGCGGCCCACCGTGCACAGGGACTCACTGTCATCGGCCACAGCCACGCTGTGAGACAGTGCCGCTGCTGTTCTCGCTTACAGGTGGGGAAACTGACGCATGGAGCAGGCAAACAATTTGCTGAGGTCTCCCAGTGGTCAGGCTCTGGATCCAGATTTCGGGATGCAGTGCTCAAGCCTGGACTACTGTCCCGGGTCGCAGGCTTTGGGGCCCTGCAGAGCAGAGCAGAGCTGAGGCCTCCTTTGTTTCCGCGCTGGGAAAATTGTTTAACTCTGCCGCCCAAATGCGGCCGATACCTCGACCCTAAGGGACAGGAGCCTGACTCGGTCCCTCGGGACAAGCTGAGTTCTCCCGCTTCCCTGTCCATCTTTCCTTTTAGGGAAAACCAAGACCAGAATTAACTTGGAAGAAGGACGGCAACGAGATCGACAAGAGTCAGATCAACATCCGTAACTCGGAGACCGACACCATCATCTTCATCAGGAAGGCGGAGAGGAGCCACTCGGGGAAGTACGACCTGCAGGTCAAGGTGGACAAATACGTGGAGACCGCGTCCATCGACATCCAGATCGTAGGTGGGTCTGGGGCGGGGACAGGGCCTCCTGTCTCAGAGGTGCTGGCTCCAACTAGGAGCAGGAGTCGCTGTTAGGAGGGCGTTGTGTAAAATTCCTTAAGATTAAAAAAAATAGATAAATGAGTAACATTTGTTAGTATTCCAGAATGGCCTTTAGCCAGCTGGGCATGGTAGCCTGTCTGCAATCCCAGCATGTAGGAGGCTGAGGAGGGAAGATCTCTCCAGGTTTGAGGCCAGCCTGTGCTATGTAGTGAGACCCTGTCTCAGAAAAAAGGGAAAAAAGGAAAACCAAAACACCCCCTCAACAAAAAAAACCTTTCAATTAACTAAAATTACTAACCAGGAGAGAATTAAGATACAGATCCAAGAAACATTAATCCGTGTAGTGTTTGATGAAACCAATCTGTACTTTTCAATCCAGTACTCTCTTGCTCTCGGTCCCTCAACCCCCCTGATAAAACTACTTCCTATGTGGAATTCCTGCATTGACGACTACTGTAGATTCTAGGGTAGCTTCACACATTTCTTAGTGCACCTAAAGTTCACCGATTATAAAGTTTGAATGGAGAATTTTTCTTGTGTGTAAGGAAGGCGACCCTAAACCAAAGTACAGGGTTAAGCAATGGGTGGGTTGGGCTATCTAGATACCTACAAAGAATAAGTAATGTTCAGGCCTGGGATTTAGCTCAGTGGTTCCACCGCCTGCCTCGAAAGTGCAAGGTCCCGAGTTTGATCTCCAGTACCAAAAAAAAAAAAAAAAAAAAAGAATAAATAAGGCTCATTTGCCCTTCTGTCCAGAGTTAGGGGGCCGTCATGGGACACCCTCCGGTTTGAACTGTTCTGTCATTTTTACCATGTCAAGAAATAATTTAGCCAAGCATAGTGGTGCATGTCCATAATCTCAGCCTTCGGGAGGCTGAGGCAGGAGGATCACCACGAGTTTGAAGGCAGCCTGGGCTACATAGTAAGTTGACTCTGTCTCAAAAAAAAACAAAAAAAGGAGAAAGAGGAGGAGGAGAAGGAGGAGGAGGAGGAGGAATGCCAGAGCCAAGAGCCAAGGTGGGAGGAACCTTGTCCCCAGTGGTCCCTAATGCAATCTTCGTGTAAATTTGTTGAAACTCAAGGTCTCTGAGCGAAGGGGCAGCGTCCTTGGGTGAAAGTCGAGCCCTTTAACCCTTTAACCTGCGCTGTGCTGAGGCTGCCGCCCGGGCCCGGGAGGACACTTGGAGGTCGCCTCCTGCCCCAGGTGGAGGCGGGGACTGGGAGGGACAGTGGCCAGGCGCTGACCCTGCCTCCATCCCATAGACCGTCCGGGGCCGCCGCAAATCGTGAAGATTGAAGATGTCTGGGGGGAGAACGTGGCCCTGACATGGACACCACCCAAGGACGACGGCAATGCTGCCATCACGGGCTACACCATCCAGAAGGCGGACAAGAAGAGCATGGTGAGCAGCGCCTGCAGGGCCCTCGGAATGCAGGGACAGGCAGGGAAGCTGCGCCTCTGGAGCCACAGAGCAGGCCTGGAGCCAGGCCTGGGGGCGCACACCTGTGATCCCGGCACTCGGCACTCGGGAGGCTGAGGCAGGAGGCTCGCCCCGAGGCCAGCTGTGTATTTTTATTTCCTAAAATTAAGAGCATAATTTCCGCCTCTCAGGAGTGGTTCACTGTCATCGAGCATTACCACCGAACCAATGCCAGCATCACAGAGCTGGTCATTGGGAACGAGTATTACTTCCGGGTCTTCTCGGAGAACATGTGTGGTCTCAGCGAGGACGCCACCATGACGAAAGAGAGCGCTGTGATCGCCAAGGATGGTGAGTGGGGTGTGGACCGTGCTGGGAAAGCTTGGTGGACAGGGACTAGGGGCGGAGAAGCGAAGAGGAGGTGTGGCGGAGGAGCCAGCGAGCCCGCGTGGGCAAATGTAGGGCTGCCCACGGAAGCCTGTGAACATTGCAAGGGGAATCGCATTCTCATTGCAGTTTTTACTTTTTACCTTATTTATTTTGTTTTTGAGACAATATCTCACTAGGTAGCCCAGGCGGGCCTGAACCTCATGGAAACCCTCCTGCCTCAGCCTTCCAAGTGCTGGGATGATAGACATGCAGTTTTTATATTTGTAAATATAAACGTTAATTCATTCCAGTTTCTGGGCCATGGATCTAAAATGGCTAACATCAGCAGGAGAGACATTAACTTCTGGGGTTCCTGTTTTTACTCTTGGGGAGCCTCAGTGGAGCAACATGGGAGTCTCCTCTACAGAGGAAAGAGAAACTGAATTCTGTCTTTGTCTGTACATTTCATTCTCAGTTGTTCTCCTTTAGTAAGTCTTCCTTGTGATTTCACAAATTTCCAGTTGAAATATTCAGAAACAAGCCAGGTGTGGTGGCACACGTTTGTAATCCCACTTGAGAGGCTGAGGCAGGAAGATCCTTGCAAGTTCAAAGCCAGCATGGGCTCTACAGTGAGTTCAAGGCCAGCCTCAGCCACACAGTGAGACTTTGTCTCAGAAAAGGAAAAAAAGGCTGGGGATGCGCTCAGAGTGAAGGCCCTGGGTGCCATCCCCAGCCCCACAAAAAAGTCAAATAAGATAAACTACTCAGAGAAACAGCGGAGTCCCCCTGATGTTTGTTTCAGTGTTTCCGCCCCGTGTGGTTGGCTGTGTCCACCTGCACACTTCCGAGCATAGCACAGGCCGGGCCTTCGCGCGCGCATTTCCTAAATCAGGGAAGTCTCAGTCATGAATAAAGTACGCCCGGACGACACATTCTCAGGCCAGCTTGTTTTCCCAACATATCTGAATGCTCGTCTTTGCCCGAGATTTAGCTCAGTGGTGCCGCCGCCTGCCTGGCAAGAGCAAGGTCCCGAGTTCGATCCCTGGTACCAAAACAAAAAAATGAATGCTCCTTTTTAAGGTAAAATCTACAAAAACCCCGTGTACGAGGACTTCGACTTCACCGAGGCGCCCATGTTCACGCAGCCCCTGGTGAACACCTTCGCCATCGCCGGCTACAACGCCACCCTGAACTGCAGCGTGAGGGGGAACCCTAAGGTACGCACGGCTGCCTGGCTACCCACCCGCCCGAGGGTCCCTGTCCTGTGGCCTCAGGGACACGGAGGGACCCGGCCCGGCCCGCTGGGCCTCCAGGCAGTGTGCAGTGGGGTGATGAGTCTGCACTGTTCAAACGGAAGTAAAAGAAAGGAAAGCTCCCGAATCTGAAAGCACAGACTGGGAAGGGAGTGGGGGTAACTGGGCCCACGAGCGAGCGGAGTCAGGGACAGAGCTGCCCCAGCGCCCGGGAGCAGTGGTGAGGGCGGGGGCAGGACGAGGGCTGCTCTGAGTGAAGGGCACGGCCTGGGCATGCGGGGAGGGTCATACCGAAACACCCCGGGCCACCTGGAAGGCCACCTTGCTGTCCACTGAACAAATCTGCTTTTCGTCTCCAGAGCTGCTCATTCCCCCCGGGCACTAAGTGGGGTTTAACTTGGGAGAAGCTGTGCCCGTGTGAGTGTCTCCTCTTCCCGGGCTGCTCTCTCTCTGAGCCACACTTTCCGGCGCTGACGCTGGCTGTGAGGCTCCTTAACACGCTCTGCACAGGCTAGCTTGGACCTAACTTTCTTCAATCTGAATGGCAGCCCAAAATCACCTGGATGAAAAACAAAGTGGCCATCGTGGACGACCCGAGGTACCGGATGTTCAGCAACCAGGGCGTGTGCACGCTGGAGATCCGCAAGCCCAGCCCCTACGACGGAGGCACCTACTGCTGCAAAGCCGTCAACAACCTGGGCACCGTGGAGATCGAATGCAAGCTGGAGGTGAAAGGTACGTGGGGTGGCAGGTGGAACGCTTCCAATTACGGTCCTGGTGCAGCTCCACAGCTGGGCGTGGCAGTGCGTGCTGTCGTTCCAGCACTCCGGAGGCTGAGGCAGGAAGATCTCCTTAAGTTCGAGGCCAGCCTGGGCTACATAGCGAGACCCTGTCTCAAAAAACAAACAAACGTGGGAGGGAATTCGGGGAAACAACATTTTTACCTTCTGCTGGATTGTTTTGGTCCATTTATTTTTACCTTTTGCAATGTGTGTGAACGAAAGGAATGTTAACCTCAGGGAACCGTTGGTGTGCGCAGCACAGTGAGACTGAATGGGGCATGGAATGAGACTTTGGTGATGCTGTCCACCCCCAAAGAGAAGCCTGCAGCGAAAACTCATCTGATGAAACTGCACTCAGGGAATTCCCACTGTGTTCAGTTTACATATCTGTGGACGTTATAGAGAGAGAGTTGGAGATATGCGTGAGCATGCTGATTGGGTGTTTGATATTACACATGTGGAATATAACATGCACACTGGGCACGGTGGTGCACGCCTGTGATCCCAGCACTCTGGGAGGCTGAGGGAGGAGGGTCTCAAGTTCCAGCCCAGCTGAGGCAAATTAGCAACTTTCATGGGACCCTGTCTCTAAATAAAAAATAATAATAATAAAAAAGGTCTGGGGATGTACTGCCAGTACTGCAAGAAGAAATGAATATAGCATACACACACACTGTAATTTGTTTTAAAATTGATAACTTTTTTAGTATATGTGCTGCCAAAGTGAGCACTGAAATTGATAACTAAAGATTTTCTACTTATAGATATATATTTCATTTATATGAGTCTTAAGAAATGTGAGGACAGCCAGGCGTGGTGGTACATGCCTGTAATCCCAGCACTCAGGGAGGCTGAGGCAGGAGGATTGCTGGGAGTTTGAGACCAGTCTGAACTAAATACTGAGACCCTGTCTCAAAACAAAAAAGAAATGTGGCAACTAATATAAACCAAGAAAACACAGAAGGACTCATGTGGTAGAGAAGTCTCGGCATAAACGGCGATCTTAATCAAGTTTCATCTTAACTGACTATAATTTCTATTCTGCGGGCCAGGGATGTAGCTCAGCTGCGCCACGCCTGCCTGGCAAGCGTAAGGTCCTGAGTTCAATTCCCGGTACCAAAACCAAAAAATTTATTCTGAAGTTTTTTTTGCCAACCAAAACTTACTGGGGAAACCATGAGAGCCCTCAGAAAGTCACTCTGAGATAAGAGGGGACGCGATCCTTGTGTTTTGTCATCCTTCGCTGTATCACGTTGCTAGTCTACGATCGCCAGTCTTTTTCTCTACCCCTTTACAGTGAAAAAAAGATGACTTTGTCTATCTTAGAAAACCATAGTGAATGCTTAAGGTTTTTTTTTTTTTAGTCTTTTAGTCCTTTTTAAAAACATGGTGCAAGAAACTTCTTGACCAAAGTGACTTTCTTTTATAACTTCTGTTTTTTGTGGGGGTTTTTTGTACTGGGGATCAAACTCGGGACCTTGTACTTTCAAGGCAGGCAGCAGAACCATTGAGTTAAATCCCCGGCCCCCTTTTATAACTTTTGAAAAGCAGTATTCTTTGATTTCTGTCCTCAGAGTAGAGTCATAACTGAGTGATAAGAAAAATTTTATTTTTATCTCATAACATAAAGCATGCAGTATTAGAAAACTTTTAAACTTGCTATTGAGATAGACCTTACAAATTCAAATATTATTTTTAGCAGCTTTATTAAATGTAAATGACAATGAAGGTCATATGTTCAAATCATCTGATTTCTAAACTCCTACTTTATTAGTTCCAAGAGATTTTTGATACTTAAGTTCCAATATTCCCTAAAAAACGAAACAAATGTAAAACAATGACCACTTATTTGTGCTTTGGAAATTACTGAATGTTGCTAGTGACATAACATTATGCTTTCAAATGTGGCTTTCATATTTGGGTTCTTCCATAAAAAAAATAATGTTATACATCGAGATGTTACACTCTGTTCAATAATTGTGTAGGATTCAGTTGTGGCATAGCAATTGAATTTAGCGAGAGGAATGTACTCTAACATGAGCTCACAGGAGGGTATCGACTATGGTATGTTGGCAACGCTTTTGGTCGTAAAGTAAAGCTGGGACTATCATCAGATTACTTGATCATAGGTTAATTTGAATCAAGTTAAGCTGTGTAAAAAAAAAAAAAAAAGGTAAGACTCTACTGAGAATAAATAAACACTGGTACAAATATTCTAATTCTGCAGTGATATATCAAGGAGTAAATACCCCTGGACAACCGGTCCCACTGGAGGGGCAGCAACAGGTTTAAAAAGTTCATATCCCGCCCGGATATTTCTACTTTCTGTTCCATTCCTTTTACATGAAAACGCACTTTGCATGTGAAGCTTGACTTTCTTGTTTGCTTTTAACTGTATTTCTTAGCAGCTCATGGCATACGGTGTTTATGCCATGAATAAGGAAGGCCAAATTATTCAAGGATCTTAAATAATGTAGAAACAGTAGGGTTCACCAGAATACTAACAACCATCCGAAATAAAGTCAGAAAGCTGCATTTCAAGATGTTCTCTTTTTATAGAATAATAAGACCATCGAGACTTTGGGACCGATGACACTAAATATTTTCATTTTTCAGTTGTAGAAAAATACGTTTGTCTTGAAAGATGGTTTTACACAGTCCTTTGGGTAGGTTCATGATGAGATTCAGAAAACAGAACTTTTTTTTTTTTTTGGCACCGGGGATCGAACTCGGGTCCTTGTGCTTTCGAGGCAGGCGGCAGAACCACTGAGCTAAATCCCTGGCCCCAGAAAACATAATCTTTTAACTTTGCTAAATTATAGAAAAAAAGCGTCCCATGTGTTTTTGATGGAAGGAAGATACAAAAGTAGATCCAAGCTTTGGAAACCCTCATAGATAAGATTTTCCGATTAGACTCACCAGTAGAACATCTTTTAACTCAGTGTTAGCTCAGCCCTTGCAGGGGCCCGGATTGTTTCGTGTTGGTGAACTTGATAGGAAGGAAAATCTAAGAGCCACCACAAAACATGTTAAGGCAATAAAGGAATCCTAATCCTGTTATACACGTGTGGTTCATCGTGTTTGGAAAAACAAATTAAGGGTTGGGGGCTGGCTTAGCAACCCGATTAAACTCTAATGTAGATCTGTGCCCCAGTTTACAATAGTCGCTTTCTGAATTTCCATAGGTAGTATCCGCTTTGAAAGGGAGATTAGAGCTTTTTCTTTAAAGTTGTTTTTTTTTTTTTTTTTTTGGTACCAGGGATCAAACTTGGGACCTTGTGCTTGCAAGGCAGGTGCTGGAACCACTGAGCTAAATCCCTGGCCCTTCTTTGAAGTTTTGTAGGTTACATATAGAGTCACTTTGTAGTATAAGTGGAGTTTATTAAAATAGATCAGTTATATATAGTGAGTTGAGAATAGAACACACTTCCCTAATATTTACACTTGATAATTTTGCCTTTTGGAATTTCAACATATATATATGAACACTAACATTTTGTACATTGCCTATGTTTTTCTTTTGTTGAAAAACACAATATATATATGTTGTAGGGTCTTTATTCTTTGAAGCTAATGGTTTGGAAGCTCTTACCATCAATTTTCCTCGTACCATCAGATTGGTTTTGCCACCTGTCCTGGCAAAGCGGTTGTGCGTATTAATAATGTTTTACATATTAATGACCCTCTTGACGTGACTGGACCTCCACCCTTTATTCCATGTGCTTCTCCTTCCCCACGTGCTTCACACGACTAAGGATTAATGAAACCATAATCATTAATGGTCATGATCGTGACCGTAATTTCCTCCCATGAGTACTCGACTTTGGTGCCAGCACTATTAATGCTCATGACCTCTCTCTCTCTCTTTCTCTCTGTTTCTCTTAGTTGTAGCACAGTAAGGATTTGTGAGTGTATATTGTCATCTAAGGTAAGCTTTCATATGGCTTTGGCATATGAAGCTCATGACTGTCATAAGCCATACCGAGCCTGTGGAGTATGGCATGATTTTCATTACGTGATCCAATGAAAATAGACGCTTTAAACTGCTAACTTTGTAGTTTTAATCTGTATTTCAGTATTTTGAAATTAACAGCTAGTACTCATTCATCACAACCATCTCCGTTGACATGAAGCAAGTTGTTGAATGCAGTAGAGCATGGATGAAAGCATTTAATATAGATGGAAATGAATGGTTCCCCACATTCTGAATTCTTTGCATCAAGGAATGGACGTAAACGGCATCGTTTCTACCAATATGCGACTTGAGTTTCTTTTTGGTTTTTGTTTTTTTTTTTTTTTTTTAAGGAGAATGACTTTCTCAGATTTGCATTCAAGAAGTTTTAAGAATGTTCGAATAGCATGCTGTTTTGTCTGGCTATGAGTTTATTAGCAAGTAGCGAAGCACTTTATTAAAGGACCATGCAGCTTGGGGGTTTCCTGGGTTTTAAGTTTTTAAATGTAATTCAGAAACTCAGAAGGTAGGTATGAAATATAGTGGGCATTTCTCTCGCCTTCCCAAGGTATTGGCCCTGTCTTAGAATTTTTAACAGAATAGTTCCAGCTCTTGCGCTGTTGAGAGTGTGTAAATGCCCACAGTGAAAGGGAGTCTTTTTGCTTCTCCAGTGTGCTGGAACTGGAACTTCTCCTGCTTAATGAAAACAGCATAAGCAACCTGGAGGCCCATCTTCCTGCCGACCCTAAGCATTTATTTTGCTGTGCAGGCAGGACCTTTAAACCAGCTAAAGAGGAATCACAAAACCTCTCCCAGGGCGAGGGGCATTTGCCACCATCTAAGAACTTCAGAGTGAACAGTGGTGGGGAAGCAAATGGCCAGGGCTCTGCTGGGAATTCGCGCTCCTGTCCGCACACCGAGCGCTTTAGGTGCCCCAAGTACTGAGGCCTGCAGTGGACTTCCGAGCAGGGCTGGAGGAAGCCTGTTGCTCTGGGAGCCACAGCGGTCGCATGTCCGCAGCACAGCCTGGCTCGGGTCCCTGGGCTCTGACTCTACCCTCCTCTCCCTGCAGGCGGGCTGTCCTTCTGCAGGCTGCTCCTGCAAGGCGTGCCGCCCAACATCATTGACTCCTACCTGCGCGACCTACAGTCCAGCAACCCCGATGAGTACTGAGGCCCGCGCTGTCTCTCGGCTCCGTTGCTTTGCAATCTGCTTGGAAAGAGAAAGCATTTTCTGGTTTTCCACCAGGCCCCTCGTTTGGCCATTTTCTTTCCTCCTAATGTTAAAGAGAAGGAGAAAAAAAAAAAACAGTTTGGACAGATTGCTTCATTAAAAATTGCAAATGAAAACCTCATTTGCTGTCTGCACTTTACTTATTATTGTCCTGCTGTCTGTGCTTTGCAAGAGGAGGAGGAGGAGGAGAAGGCAAAAACCAGTCCTTTAGTTTAAAATCAGAGACTGAAAATGCTTTTTTCACCCTGAAAAACACAATACACCGTGATAGAGCCTACGAGCCTGTCTTGCTCTTTACCTAACAGATTTTTCTAAACAAACCAGTTATTCATTTCACACAGCCCAGTGCCCCTCCCCGATCTGAATTCAGGAAAAGATTTAAAGTCGACATGAAAGTTTACCTTGCAGGTGAATTTTCTGAGTGGGAAGGAGAATGGATTCCGTCAATAATCCAATAACCCCAAAGCGCTTCTGATGCCGGGAAGTGGCACCTGGAGCGGGGCTCTGGGACCCAGAATCACAGGCCAAAGCCAGGAGCCAGGGTGTGTGTCCGGGGCCAGGCATCCTGACCACATCCGCATCGCCACCAAACAGCTGTCCCTGACCAAGGGCTTGCAGCCAGGAGAGCGGTGGCAGATTTAAGCTCTGCTGCCGGCATCTTTACCAACCTAGCCTCGGAGAAACATTTGTACTAAGCCACAATCTGTTTAATAACTTCCTTGGCTCTGGCTGTTAGAGATTCAGTGAGAACCTTGCCACTACTACTTATTCATTCACTAGCCCTCCCCATTTTTCTTCTCTTTTTGGGGGTCTTTTGTCCCACAGACTGAGCCTTTGAGGCATATCCATAGTGTCTTTTGTTTTTTTCAGACAGGGTCTCACCATGTAGCCCAGGCTGGCCTCAAATTCAGCAGGATCCTCCTGCCTCAGCTTCCTGAGTGCTGGGATTACAGATGTGCACCACCACGCCTGGCAGTAGACAAAATTTTTAATTTTTTGAAAAAAGGAAAGAACTCAGGTTCATCAGCAACACTGCGGCAAGGCATCTCTCTTGGAGAATCATGACAGAGGGTCACGGGAAGAGAGGTTTCAAAATAACCTAGAGCTGCTGTGCAGTCCTGTGGGCATCTGGAACATTGTGGGCACCGGACAGCCAGGCCTGTGTCCTCGGCAGGCTGTGGATGAAGTGTCAGCCTGGTCACCCGGCCCCACACCTGGGGTCACTGTGACCTCAGACCCCACCCCTGTGCCGGGAGGGGCCCCAGGGGGTGACCAGGAGCAGGCGGAGCCCCTCTGTGGGGACTGTTGCTATGTTCTTTCCAATCCCAGCCCACAAGCATTCCTAGCAGGTGCAGCAGGAGTTTGGAGGAGGAATAGGCCCTTTCCTGGTCTTTCTACACTTGCCAAGTCTCCAAATTGGCCTTTCAGCCTTTGGTGACTCCAATTCTTTCTTTCTTTTTTGGGGGGGCGGGTGATGGTGGTTGTTGAGGGAGGATCTCACTATGCAGTCCAGGCTACTGAACTCACTATGTGGCTCCAGCTGGCCTCAAACTCACAGAGATCCTCCTGCCTCAGCCTCCTGAGTCCTGCGATGACAGACCTACACCACCACACCCAGCTCAACATCACTCTCTCAAGGAGTTAAACAGAACAGCCTGGGAGGGTGTGGCAGGACCAGAAGGTGGGGACCTAGTGTGTGTGGGGGGGCATAGGCCCACACACTATTGTTTGCAGAGAGGGAAGGGCTGGAGAAATGGAGCCAGAAATAACCCTGTTGCGGTCAGTGAATCCGCATGGAGAAGAAAAGAGCTCCTGTTTCTCTGAAACCAGCCCAACCGGCCAGGTTTCTTAATCCTTCCCTCCCCAAGTGGGGAGCACACGGGACAAAGACTCGGCCAGGCCGGACTATGTGCAGCCACCCTGTCCCCATGCACACGGGTTGATAATATCCACCTGCCTCCTCCTCCTTCCAGCAGGGCAAACTGCCAAGGCCTCGGACTCCCCGGAGAGACACACAGGGCACCGAGGGCTTCCCAACCCGGGCTGCCCAAGCCAAGCCCCCGTCTTAAAAACCAGACAGGCAGAAAAGGTCCCCAACCAACACGCCGACCTGGCAGGACCAGACCCTGTGAGAGCATCAGATCATCTGCACAGAGCAGATATAAAATGCCAAGCTTTAAACACCACCATCTACCTCCCTGCCTGCACTCCAAGCTGCTCTTCTTTGCCCCAGAAGAACAGCCGAGCACACCTGTGATCCCAGCATGCTTCGAGGCTGAGGCAGGAGGGTCACTTCTTCAAGCCCAGCCTGGACAACATAGCAGCGTAGTGAGACCCTGTCTCCAAATCAAAACCTAAAAAGGGCTGAGGATGTAGCCGTGTGCCAAGGCCCTGGGTTCAGTCCCCAGTACTGCAAAACAAACAGAATCAAAACCAAAACAGCCTCAGACCCTTGCAAAACGAAGGGAGGCCCATTGGTCATTGCCCTGTGATTGTTTGAGTCCTTTCTGCTTTCTACCCCTGTCCCTCATGGCCCAGCAGCCAAGGGAGACGGGCCTGGCTGGCTGGGGAGCACCCCAGAGCCCCAATGCCTGTCTCTGGGACTGGTCCTGGGGAGGAGACCCGGACTCCCGCCCTCTTTGTCCGCTCCTGCACGGGCTTTTATTTAGAGCCTCTCTGTCTCTCTGTTGTCCCCAAGCAAAGAGGTCCTGCTAATGGTGCCCCCTGTGGGATTCCCGGGGGAAGGGGTGCCCTTACCCCAAGTTCAACTGCAACTCACCCCATTAGTCCTGAGAGCTCTAAGCCACAGGGTACCTCGGTCATTGAAAAGGGATTTTTCTTTGAGACATTTTCCATGGTATGATTCGAGGCCAGCCTCACAGCAATCCTCCTGCCTCAGCCTCCCAAGTGCTGGAATGACAAGGGGGCCCCACCATGCCCTGCTCAAAAAGGATTATTGAGGAAGGGGGTTCCCTTTGTGCCCCTCAAATCATACCATGGCAATGTTTTAAAACAGTAGGGTGTGAGGGGCTGGGGATGTAGTTCAGTGGTGCCGAGCTTGCCTCGCAAGCACAAGGACTTGAGTTCAATCCCCGGTACCAAAAAAACACAAAACACAAAACAAAACAAAAAAACCAGTAGGGTGTGAACCCAGAAAAGGATACTGAATAAAGATGACGAAAGGGTATAAGCAACACTGAGTTCTAAGGACTGCGCTGCCCAGCCAGGGAACTCGGCCTCCTTCACCCTACATTTATTTTGCAATTTCAGATAAGGAGCACGACTACAACACGACATCTCCGGGCTCCCGCTGTGAAATCTGTTTCGGGTCTGGACTAGGATATCGGGAATTTCTAGAGAGCGGAGCAAAGGCCACAGTAGTTGCAGTAATCTATCACCGACCTCTGCTTGTCTACCTTCCCACACCCCGTGGACCACTGTTTCACAAAATGTGAACTTGGGAATCTCAGAGTACAAAACTTTTGCAACTTCCTGTGCGTCTATGAGTCTATTCAAAATTAAAAGTGTTTTAAAATCAGGGCTGTCGAGAATGAAACCACACACCAGTCCCACGTGAATTCCCCCATTCTGCGACCCCAAGGTGGGGGAGACCTCCCGCCCGTCTACTTCCTGTCCCCAGGAACAAGCCAGACCTCTGTCCAGTGTCCAGTTTATTTCTCAGAGCATGACAATGCCCAGGTTTGGCTAAGCGGCTAGGATCTCAAAAAGTGTCATGGACCAACATTTCATGTCAGGGGGTCAGACATTCTGCTTGGAGGACTGGGTCTGTTAAACCTCAGCAGAACTGTGAGGAGGACGAGCAGTGGAGAACTGGTTTTAACCCTGAAAAAGAACAACCAAAGTGAGCATTTCAGGCCAGGTGTGATGGCGCACACCTATATTACCAGCACTGGGAGGCTGAGGCAGGACGACTGCAGGGAGCTGGACACCAACCTGAGCTCCACAGTGAGTTCACAGCCAGCCTGGACTGCATACAGAGAGCCTGTCTCAAAACAAAAACAAAAGTCCAAACCAGGTGTGGTGGTGCACACGTGTAATCCCAGCATTCCCAAGGCTGAGGGAGGAGGATCCTTTAAGTTCAAGGGCAGCCTGAGCTAGACAGTGAATTCTGGGCCAGCCTGAACTACAAAGGGAGACTGTGTATCAACCCCCCCACCACCAAAAAGTCCATTTCTTTAGTAGTGAATTAACAAATGAAATGCCCCTTAAGAGGAGAGCAGATAAACAAATTTTGATGTAACCATAATTCTAAGCAGCTTTTAGGAATGTAGAACTATATGTACTAATTTCAAGAGTCCTCTCCAACATATTGTGAAATACAAAAGCCATTTGGCTATAAATGTAAGGGTAAAACTTTTTTTATTGTGACCACAGACAAAAGTGCATTTCAGCCGGGCATGGTGGTACAGGCCTGTAATCCTAGCACCTGGGAGGCTGAGGCAGGAGGATCTCTGTAAGTTTGAGGCCAGCCTGGGCTACATAGCAAGACCCTGTCTCAAAAGAAAAAAAAGTGCATTTCAAACTGTTAAAAGTACTTTCCATTTAATCAGAGGCTTCCAAAAGGGGGAATATATCTTTAGTCTTGGTTTTGTTGATGTTTTGTTTGTTTTTTCAAGACAGTCTCACTACATAGCCCAGGCTGTCCTCAAACTCATGGCAATCTTCCTGCCTCAGCCTCCTGAGTGCGGGGATTACAGTCCTGTGCCATCACCTAGATTACATCCATTTTAGTAAATTTAGTAAAATGATTCTTTTGATGGATACATAATATTTTTACATATTTATGGGGTACTGTGTGATAGTGCTATACACATATATAATGTTAGTGATCCGTTCATACTACAGGGGGTCTGGGCAGCTGGCATTTCCATCTCCTACACAGCGATCATTTCCGTGGTCCACTCACCTACTGTGTTCTGCGGCACTCCACTGACCGACTCTTCCCGCCTAAAGCAGCCAGATACTCTCTGTGTAATATTTGGGGCACACTGTGACAGCACAAAACCCGCCTGGTATACAGACACTGAGCAGGCTGACATGGACAGAAATACTCACCTGGGTCCTTGAGCTTGGACAACCCAGCCTCCGGGACAGGAGACCTCAACTCCCAAGGTCCTGGTCACACCACTTGGTGTGACAGCCAGAGCGAATGCAGCGCTAACATGCGCACATGTCGGTCTCCTTCACAGTGATAGATAAACCTCCAGTCACTCACTTCCCACTGATGCACTGAACTTGCTATCTAAATACATGAAAATCCAGCTCATGCCTGCTCTGCTCAGTAGTAAAGATCAGGAGGGCAGGGGTTGAGCAGGCAGGGAATCCTCTGGGCATTGCTGGCCACAAAGCTCCTACTGCGACCACTGACCAGCCAATGCCCTTCGAGAAAGCAACGGGGCGTCCAGAATAAACACGGCTCGGTCTGCAGAAATGAAATTTGAATTTTTTTTCAATCTGATTTTGTTTTTAATTAAATATTATGGTCACATACAAATTTGTGCTGATGTTGTACCTTCCCCACTTTAATCCTTCTAAAGAGCTGACAAAATGCACCACTGCCAATCACACAAAATACAGTCCTTTCAATCTTGTGTTTTTAAATAGCTGTTTAAATACTATCCTGAATAATAACTTAGTCCAAAGTAAAGAATTAAAAAATAAAATCTAACTATTGTATCATGCTTGTAAAAGGATCTGAACTTACAGATCAACTATGAAAGGTGAGAAGTGTAAAATATTCTTTATTTAGTATTACACATACACCACACTAAAATGCCTTTCAGTAAGTAAAAGGCGGCAGTCTTTAGATACAGGGAATTCTAATTAAATTGGCATAGTCAAGATAAAAAATATAGATGTTCCTTCCTTGTCTTCTGTAGGGGACAGGGGAAGGGGACGTTACCAGAACCTCTGCAGTGAGTCCTGGTCTCCTGCGAGCCACGGCAGCACACGGCGAATTACAGGAAAGGTAGATAAATGAGACTGAGAAGAAGCTGAGCTTTGGGTCTGATCAGTGCTGCTCTGGGCAGCAAAGACAAAAACCCCTAGTTTGCAGCACCTCTTATTCACTACATTGGGAGAAACAAATGCAACAAATGAATATGTAGATTTCAGTACTTCACATTGGGATAAACAAGGTGTAACAAAAGACGGGGGGGGGGCAGTGGAAATCTAAGAACAATGAGGAACTATGCAGATGAAGATTTGGTTCCTCCCTGGCGACTCCCGCAGGTGTGGTTTTGTCCTGGAGATTACAGCATCTGGGGATCACTGAGGTCTCAATTGTGACCTTAGGCCAAAATGCACTTATGTCTGGAAGGTCCTAGCTGGGCTGTAGGCAGGAGAACTAGGCCTACTCAAATGATTTTTCCCTAGAATTATGTAGCATTGCTCCCAATAGTCTTCAACTACTGTCTTTAACAAGCTAATAAACAAATTGAAACAGGAGTCTTGCTTGGTTGTGAGACAGTGAAGGATTTCCCTGGTATTTAAACATATTCACACAACCAGTTATATGTATAAATCTAAATATAAAACCAACCTCCAGTAAGTTTTGAGATAACATTCTCCATCTTTGTGAAAAGTCAACATTACTAATCAAGTCCAACCATATTTTTAGAAAGGGAAAACAGTGATAGTATTTACTGAACTGGAATTGCTACCAAAACTTGAAAAAAAAAGATATCCATTTAACTATAAGCCAATTTTACTTAAATCAGGACTGTCCAACAAAAATATTCTGTCAGCCACTCATGATCTGAATTCTGGTGTATGAGATCTATTAAATCATGGTACACATAAAAAAGCCATGAGACGTTTCTGTTCTGTAATAAATAAGGCAGTGACTATTACTCATTAGTAGCTTTTTTTGAGGTAAGCTATTAAGTCTGCCCTTTCTCCCTTCTTCTTAATGCCAGTGAAAATCATTTTTGTTCCAGGGATGTACTTCTTGGGATTTTCCAAGTACTCCATCAATGTATCCTCTCCCCAGGTGATGCCTTTGTTCTTGCTGGCATCTGTGTAAGAGAATCCAACGGCTTGACCTGTCTTCTGCCCAAACAGACCATGGAGATTTGGGCCAGTCTTATGCTTGCCTCCCTTCTCCAAAGTGTGGCACTGGGCACACTTCTGTACAAAAATCTTCTTGCCTTTCTCAACATCACCTATTTTTAAATCTGCTGCGGCTTCCGCGTCCGAGGCTCAGCGCTCTTTCGTCGTTACCACCGAGAAAGTCCCAGCTCAGAAGCCAGACATCCTGCTCTCTACCCCAAGGACACGCTGGTCCACGGCTAAGTACTGGTGCTGGTCTGAAATTTGAATTTTTGAATTCATACAATTCACATCATGAAACACTGGTCTTTTTTTTTTTTTTTTTACTTTTTTCCCATCATTAAAAATTTAAAAACCAGGGCCAGGGATTTAGCTCAGTGCTTTCGCCCCCAGCTGCGCAAGCGCAAGGACCCAAGTTAGCTGCCCGGTACCAAAAAAAAAAAAAAAAAATTAAAAACCAGCAGGGCTTGGTGGCTCACGCCTGTAATCCCAGCACTCTGGGAGGCTAAGGCAGGAGGATCACAAGTTCGAGTCCAGCCTGAGAAATTTAGCAAGACCCTGTCTCAAGCTAAGAAACAAAAAGGGTTGGGGTTGTAGCTCAATGAAAAGGCCCTAGGTTCAAACTTGAGCACTGGAAAAAATAAAACAGGAAAGCCATACTGAGCTCAGGAGCCAGGCTTGGCAGGCAGCAGCTCGGCGTCCCCTGAGCCCGGCTCTGCCTGCCCGAGGCCTTAGGAAAGGGCGGAAGATCAGAGCCGTGAAGCTCCCAGTGCGAGGCCTCGGTCGGCCGGACCGCCCGCCCCGTCTCTGTAAGGTGGGAGCCGGCGACCCTGGGGAAGGGACAGCCTGAGCACTCTCCTCAGGCCAGGACGCAGCTAGGACAGCCTTCATTGTCCGGGTCAGATGCTCCGAAGAACCGCCCTTTGGGCTTCAGACACACAGTCCCATGTTAGCGTCTTCAGGCAGACTCCAGAGGTCTTGCGAGAGCGGGGCGGGGCGGGCACCACGGCCCCGGGTTAGCGGGGCCCAGCGCGGGCTCCGAGGACAGAGGTGCGCGTACCCGCAGGGCAGGAGACTCTGTATAGCCCGGAGCGGGGACCGTGGCGGGAGATCCTCGGGGAAAGCGAGGCGCTCGAGGGCCAATAAACAGGGGGCGGTGGGCGGGCGTTGGCGTGCGCGTTGCTAGGAAGCTTGGCCACACCCACCACGCCCTACTGAGCACGCCCCTGTCCCAGCCCCGGCTCCGCCCCTGCCTGCCCAGACCTAGCCCCGCTCTTCCCCCCACACCGTGGGGGGGGCGGGGCCTGGCGCGGGGCGGGGTCGACCTCGTGCCGCTCATTCTCCGCGGCCCGGCATGGCGGCGGGCGCGGGTCCCCGGCCGGAGCTGCGCTGGGCCCGGGCACTGGGCGAGCCGCTGAGCGCGGCGCAGCTGCGGCGGCTGGACGAGCACCGCTACAGCGCGGCGGGCGTGTCTGTGCTCGAGCCGCTGCTGCAGCGCTACTGGACCTGGCTGCTGCGCTGGGTGCCGCTCTGGCTGGCGCCCAACGCCATCACGCTGCTCGGCCTGGCCGTCAACCTGGCCGTCACGCTCGCGCTCGTCGCCTTCTGCCCCACGGCCACCGAGGAGGTAGGGCCCGCCGCTGCCCTCGGCCGCCGAGGAGGTGGGGCCCGCCGCTGCCCTCGGCCGGCCCGGCGGCCCCCCCAGAGGCGCTAGTGAGCTCGGAGCGCGCCGATTGCCCTGCGTCTGGGGGCCGACCGCGCGGCCCCGGCCCGTTAGCGCGCGGCGGCCCTGTTCGGGGAGCGATGGGCGACGAGGGCGGCCCCGGGGCCCCGCACCGAGGGAGGCCGCCTGGCGACGCACAGACACAGCGCTCTGCGACACCTTGCTCGGACCGGAAGCGCCTAGCGGCCTCACCGCGGCGCGGCGTTGGGGGCCTGTGGGAGAAACAGTTCAGGCCGGGTAACAGCACGATGCAAGTACTTCACGCCCTGCTTCCCTCCTTCCAGCTCTTTAAAAAAATATTTGATCCAGCCGGGTGTGGTGGCCCACGCCTGTAATCCCAGCACTGGGGAGGCTGAGGCAGGAGGGTCTCAGGGAGTTTCCGGCCACGCTGGGCTACATAGCTCAAGGCCAGCCTGAACTGCGTAGCCAGACCCTGTCTCAAAGAACCAAACAAAAAACCCACAGACAGTGAAGACTGAAGAATTGGTTTATATGCAGATAAGTGTAGAATATCGTAATGTGCTCAACAAATTAAAAGTAGTATTCGACATTAAAAACATACTGTTAGTAACAAGTATCCTGAAAATGCATAATGAAACTTAGTTTTCATTGGGCCTAGAATCAGGTAGCAGGATTTAGATGTTTCTGATATTGTCTAATTTCATTGCAACCTCTTAAATGTTATTAATTTCAGAACCATTTGCTGGGCAGTTAAAGGAAAAGGCATACAGGCTTGTCCACACAGCTTCTTTTTGGGGGAAAAAGGGAGGCCTGATAGAAAAGGTACATTTGTGAATAGTTTTTAGCATCAGACGCATTTTATTTTATTTATTTTTGAGACAGGGTCTCGCTATGTAGTTCAGGCTGGTCTTGAACTCCCTACGTAGCCCAGGCTGGCCTCAACTTGAAGTGATTCTCCTGCCTCAGCCTTCCAGAGTGCTGGTATCACAGGTGAGCACCACCATGTGCAGCCTGTGGGACTTTTTCACAGCAAGGTCTTCCTGAGTAATCTCACACCTGTGCCAGGCGCGGCGGGTGTTGTATCGGCACTGCCGTGGCCCAGGAATCTGGGTCAGGGCGCATAGCGTGAGTGTCTGAGATCCCCCAGCAGATGGCTCCAGGCCAGGGGTGCTGAACCCTTTAGAGCACCCAGTGATTCAAACAGCCCCTGTAGCACGCGTGCCTCACGTTTGCCACCACTGCTTTCGAACCTGTAGGAGGGTAATGTGCCTGTCATGGTAGCTCAGCAGGTTGAGGCAGGAGGATCACATGTTTGAGGCCAGCCCGAGCCAGGTAGTGAGACCCTGTCTCAAAAGAAAAAATGAAATCCATTTTTAAAAAAGGGTTGGGATGTAGCTCAGCGCGACATCCCTGGGTTCAATCCCCAGTGCCACCACAAGAAAAAAAACAGGGCCAGGGATTTAGCTCAGTGTTTCCACTGCCTGCCCTGCAAGTGCGAGGACCAGAGTTCAATCCCTGGTACCAAAAGAAAGAAAAACAAACAGAGAAGCTGCCCTCAGTGTTGCACTCTCCTGATCCTAGGCACCGGGCTGGGCCTACTTCCTGGGAGCGCTGGGCCTGTTCACCTACCAGTCCCTGGACGCCGTGGATGGGAAGCAAGCCCGGAGAACCAACTCCTGCTCCCCACTGGGGGAGCTGTTCGACCACGGCTGCGACTCTCTCTCATCAGGTAACTGTAGAGCTGTGATCCCAACAGCTGACACTCCGGAACATACTGAGCAGCCTGCCAGGTCAGGCTTTGCAGGAGGATACATTCGGGAGCAAGTGTGGGTTCAAAGAGTAAGTTCTAGAACTCACCTGAGTTTTTTTGTTTTGCTTTTTGAGAAGGGTCTCAGTGTGTAGTCTGGGCTGGCCTTGAACTCACAGAGATCCTCCTGCCTCAGCCTCCTGAGTGCTGTGATTCCAGGCATGTACCACCACGCCTGCCTTAAGAATTCATTTTTTTTAAGTATTTATTTTAACGCCAGGGTTATGTCCCCTAAACTGCTGTGTGAGCCCACACAGGCCGGTGATCTCACGCAGTGTCCTGCCCTCCTGGTTTCAGTGCTGATGGCTGTGGGCGCCTCTCTGGCTGTGCGCTTGGGCACGCACCCTGACTTGCTGTTCTTCTGCTCCTTCGTCGGGATGTTCATGTTCTACTGCGCGCACTGGCAGGCCTACGTGTCGGGGACGCTGCGATTTGGGAAGTGAGTGTGTCTCCAGTGTCCGTGGGAATCCGTCTGGCAGGAAGGAAGCTCCGAGGGGTCATCCCATCCTCATCAGGGCTGCGCTGACTTCTGCCACCTCCTGTTGCAGTCCCACTGCCTGGCAGTGATTTTACTTTACTTCTCTCCTCTGACTTTCTAGCCCGAGTTTACAGTGCACAAGGAAAACAGAAAAATAAGGGACCCTTGGGCCGGGGATTTAGCTCAGTGGTTCTGCCACCTGTGTTCAATCTTCGGTACCAAAAAACAAAACAAAACGAAAAATAAGGGACCCGAATCACATAGAAAAAGGCCATTCAGTATAGAAGCGCCAGGCATGGTGGCACACGCCTGTCATCCCAGCACTCCGGAAGCTGAGGCAGGAGGATCGCTGTGAGTTTGAGGCCACCCTGGGCTACATAGTGAGTTCAAGGCCAGCCTGAATCACACAGCGAGGAGACCTTGTCTCAAAAAAAGAAAAGAAGCAGCAGCTGATGGACATAATAGGATTATGTGCTGTGGAGTCCGAAGTCCTTTTTGGTCAAATCATCAGGTTATCGTGAGAGGGAGGGAGTGTCTGGTGGAGACCCTGCAGTGTCTCTAGTCCCCCTGCCCGGTGTGCGACACAAGGTTGAAGAAAAACTTAAGACAGAGGTAAAGAGAAAGCGGGAGCTGGGATGGCCAACGCTCCCTTGGCAAAAGGCGCCGGCCCATCTTCCACCAAACTTTGTTATCCGTCAGCAGGTACAGGTGCGCGTGTAGATGTGCAGGCGGTGAAATCTCCATGGAAACCAGTGCAGGCCAGGCTTTGAAGGGCTGTGGAAGCATTTTCAAATTAGAACCAAGACAGACAAAATACACGACTGTAATTAGAGCAGTGTCCTTCAGGCTGTGAGAGCACTGGGTGTGGCATGGAGTTTGGGTGCGATTGCTCCAACCTCAAGCTGTGGATGTTACCTCCTGTCAGCCCACCACTCCGCAGGCCAGTACTCGGCTCAGCCGTGGCCTTAGGGGGGAGGTCGTGTTAACCTGCACGCTGCTGCAGTGCTCGGGAGGTGCCCCTGTGAGTCACGGAGCTCCAGCCAGACTCGCTTCTTAGAGGAAGACTCCAGCCTGCACTGCTCAGCGTGTTGGGCCTGATCAGTATTGCAGCCTCTGGCACGTGTCAGTGCTTGTGGAGCTACATGAAGGATAAGCTTTTCCCCAGTCCCCAGGAGAGCCAGGCGTAGTGGCACACACCTGCCCTCCCAGCACTCGGGAGGCCGAGGCAGGAGGGTCGAAGTGAGTTTGAGACCAGCCTGGGCTGCATAATGAATTCAAAGGCAGCCTGAAGTATCTAGCCAGACCTGTGTCGAAAAACCAAACCAAAACAAGCCCAACAACAACAAAAAAGTGGAGCTCAGGAAAAAAGAGATGAGAGAAGTGGACTTAGAGGTTGTCGCTGACTAGGGACGGCCATCTTAGGGGCGGATGCCACTTCTCCAAGAGTGCAGAATTGCAGATGGAATTGTGAGGTGGCGTTTGAGATTGGCAGACTGGGAGGAGTAGGCAGGGGGATCAGAAGGCAGGGGGACCAGGCCAGGCACACATTTCAGCAGAGCTGCCAGAGTCAGGATCTCAGATGGCAAAGAGGTTGTACAAGAGAGTTGCTGACCTGCAGCCCCAGATCTGACAAATTCACAGTCACTGTTTCAACATTTTAACAGAAAGGGTGGAGGCAAAGTCCAGCCTGAGGTGAGGCCCTCAGCAAATCCCAAGCAGGAGGAAAATCAGCCCTGACTGGGAGCCAGCTGGCAGGTGTATGGGTCAGACCAGAAACGCTTGGCAGGGACTCGTGTTGTATGACTGGTGTGTTTTTGTGAGGAAAATGTAAATATGTTCATATATTAGGGTAAAAATATCTGTGGAGTCAAAAAGATTATAGTGGCTGTAGTTACTAATAGTAAGAAAAGTCTATTAGTAAGAAAAGCTGTTCGAAGGGCCGAGGATTTAGCTCAGTGGTTCCACCACCTGCCTCACAAGCACAAGGTCCCGAGTTCGATCTCCGGTACCAAAAAAAAAAGAAAAGCTGTTGGAGTTTTCCCTATTTATAAGTGAAACAGACTTAGGACTATTTAAGAATTTGCTCTAAATCAGCTGCGTGTGGTGGCGCACACCTATATTCGCATCACTCAGGAGGCTGAGGCAGGAGGATCCCTGTTAAGTTCGAGGCCAGTCTGGGCTGCATAGTGAGACCCTGTCTCAAAAAAAAAGGGTTTCCTAAATCATGATTATTTATATATTATGAATGTTATTATTTTTCCTGATTTATAAGAGTAATACATAATTGTAAAAATTCAAACTTTGAAGAAATACTTAAAGTGGAAAATAAAAGTTTCAGTTATTTCAGTGATGTGTGCTATGTAAGTTTTTTCCCCTCTATATCTTAATATTTATTATGTGGGAGTGCATGTAGCTCTGTAGCTTTTTTTCTACTGAGTCAGGCAGTTGATAATTCAATGTGTGGGAAGTGGGCATGGTGCTGCACGCCTGTCACCCCAGCACTTGGGGAGCTGAGGCAGGAGGATCTCTGTGAGTTCATGGCCACCCTAAACTGCATAAGAAGATCTTGTCTCAAAAAACTAAGAAAAAAATTTCAGTGTGGGAAGTAAAGAGAAAACTAAACTGAGCCTGTATAGATTTTCTCATTTTTAGTATGTTAACAGACATGAGCCTGGTGTTGAGGAATTGTACTTAATGGCAACTTCCTGTTCTCCGCCCTCCCTCTAGGGTGGATGTGACTGAGATCCAGGTGGCCTTAGTGATCATCTTTATCTTGTCTGCCTTTGGAGGAGCGACAATGTGGGACTATACGGTAATCCCAGTATTTAAATTCACGACTGTAAATATTTAGGACAAACTATTGTGTTGTTAATTTTCTCCAGAGATTCTTGGCATTGTTTAATATTCACCCTCTTCCTTTGTTTTGCATTCCTACCTACTTGAGAATGGTGTGTTTTCTTCTGCACATGAATATTTTACTACATCAAGGAAAAGGACCCTGTTTCCCTAAGCAGAGGGAAAACACTGGAGTTATCTTTTCCAGGCTAAAGTTGATCTCCTAAGATAGGTAATTTGTTAAAGACCAGAGGACGCTGGGGACCCCAGCGTGGTAGGAAGCCGCTCACCTGCCTTGTGAACGCTGCTTTGAGCGGAGGGCCCGGGTTGGGGCACCCTGGTCTGTTCCCGCCTGGTCTGTTCCCGCCCGGTCGGTGCCCGCAGTGCCCGGGTGCAGGTGGGCTCTTTGGAGACAGACCTCTGTCACAAACTCCAGTTTTGCACAGGAAGAAGACATACAAGGGGGCCTGGGATGAAGCTCCGTTGCACAGAGCCTTCCTGGCAAGCGCCAGGACCTGAGCTCGATTCCTGGTAACCAAAAAAAAAAAGAAAATTGACAAGGAAACAGATGAAGCCAGGCCTGGCTAAGTGACAACTTCACGCTCTCCGGGTGGAGAAGAATAAAATCAATGGCCAACAACTAACATTCATTCAGCACTTACTGAGTCCTGCTCTTCCCATCCGCGTCCCTAATGCTCTCAGTCCCATGCAGTCCATATCACCATGCCTGTTTTATAAGTAAGTCACAGGACATGAGATCATTTCTCGAGCTAAGAATTAATCAGACTGATTACAGACTTGGTTTCTGTGGTCAGTACACTGTAGACTTCCAAAGACTGGTGACCGTGGACTTCAGGACCCGCGGTTGCAGGGTCGCTGGGCACAGGGGATGTAGGACAGTAGGGCAGCCTTGTGTGGCGCCACTGTGGTGGGCGGGTGTTCTAGATTTGCAACAGCACATGGAAGGGGGCGTCACCGTGGAACCCCAGGGCAACTCTGAAGTCTGGTGGCAGTAAGGCGTCTGCGTGGGGCCATCGTGGTGACGTGTCCCTGTGGGGTGCGGACGGGAGGCTGTGGGACATGGTGGGGACTGGAGCCCGAGCTGCCCCAGCAGCATGCAGTACAGGACAGCGCCTCCCGGACGGCCCAGTGCCTCTGCAGAGCGGGGATCGTGGGACACCCCAGTCCTCTCCCGGGGTCCGCTCCCCAGACCCAGTCTGCTGCCCCGGCGGTGCGTGGGCCAGGAGACAGGTGGCTCTGGGCCTCACCATGTCGCTTGGGCCAGAGCTGCTGCATGACTGACCCGGGGGGATCGGCTGCTCCCCACGTCTGTGAGCAGACCCTAAGGAGAGCATGAGGCCGGCGTAAGGAACTGGGACAGCCACTGTGCCGGACGGCAGGCAGCTGTGTGCCTGTCACCCACGTGCAGTGGCTCCGCACAAGGCTCCCCGTTAAACTAGAGAATTATTGATGAACTATTCATGAGTATAAATATATCTCTTCACATTTAATGAAATAGATTTGTTGGTTATTGTAAAATTCTTAATTGGTGTGAATAGTATTAATATTTACCTTTGGACGGTAGTTATTCACAGTCTAGCAACTGGCTAGATTCGGCCCCTTTGTAGCCTTCCTGTTGCCTTGTGAGGAAACAGACCGACAGCGGCGGTGAGGTGCGCTGCGCCCGCATGGCGCCCGCCGCCTGGGACGGTCACACATGGTTGTCCTAGACTCGGAGTTGAGCCTTACACTTGTCTCGTTTCTGGCAATACCATAGGAAGACACACATCTTGTTCTCACCAGCGAGGAATAGTTCCTTTTGATGTAGGTCTTCCAAACTTAACACATTCCGCTGCAGTCTTTCAAAGTCTGTTTTTGAAATACAACAGCCTGGCCCTTCCAGCAATTCACTGCTGCTGTCCTTTAAATCCTCTGCTGCCCTGGGAGCTTCTCGAACACAGTTGACGACAGGTAAATATCTGGCTGGAGACGGAGTCCGGGCCGGCAGCCAAACGCGGTTTTGCATGAACACACGTCACGGTAGCGGTCGTGCTGACTCGAGGAAGTGTCCTCGTGCTCCCGTCGTCGGATGGAGGCTTTGAGATTAAATATTTATCACAGTTACAGAAACAAGCTAAGCTGATGCGGACTCATTTTTCACTTCGTAAAACCATTTCAAAGACAAGGCAAGCTCTTCTAGTTTTGATTAAAGAAAAAGGATGGCTTATTGGACAGGGCTGTATCGTACGTTTCTTTGCTGTTGAACAGGAAGAGGAATTGTTCTCCTAATGATTTCTTTCCTCTCCCCTGAAGATACCCATGCTGGAAATAAGATTGAAGATCTTTCCAGTCCTCGGCGTGGTAGGTGGAGCAATATTTTCCTGCTCAAATTATTTCCATGTCATTCTCCACGGTGGTGTTGGCAAGAACGGGTCCACTGTAGCGGTAAGCATTCGTTTCGTTGCTGTTAAGTATTTGCTTATGGTAAATTTTCTTACCACAGCTATGAAGAGAAATGAAAATATGCCAAAGCTCAGGCATGGGGATGGAAACTAAACACTTGGTGGTGGTGGAGGTGGTGATTTCTCTTTGGTTTTTTGAGACATGCTCTGCCTGTGTAGCCCAGGCTGGCCTTGAACTTGGTGATCCTCCTGCCTCAGCCTTCCAAGTACTGGGATTACAGCCGTGTACCATGTCTGGCTCCAAATATCCTAAAGAATTCATTTTAGGCACACAGCACAAAAGCATTTTATTTTAAAAAAATTTTTATATTTCCACAAGCTAGTGGTGTATGATTTCATTTAATCACTCACTACTTCCTTCTTGTACACAGTCAGGAGTTGCCCTGTGTTATCTTGGATTTTGTTCTTGGAGCAAACAAGAAAGAGGAGGAAGAGTAGGGAATAAGGTCCTGGCGGACTGATAGGCCAACTGCTGAAGTTCTGAGGTCTCACATAGGGGCAGTTTATTACTCAGAAAGTAAATTTTATTGAAATTTTTCCACAATACATGTAAAAGAACTATTATAATATCTTAAAAGATAAAACGTGAGCTGAGCGTGGTGGCACACGCCTGTAATCACAGTACTTAGGAGGCTGAGGCAGGCGGATCGCTGCAAGTTCGAGGGCAGCTTGGGTTACATGGTGAGTTCAAGACCAGTCTAAAGTACACAGTGAGACCTTGTAAATAAACACATACATAGATACATACATACGTAAGGAAATAAGGGAAGAAAGTTATAGATTTAGTAAGCCTGAATACCAAACTCGTTTCATTATTTTGTTTGGGCTAAGTTTTGCTAAGAGAATCCTGATTCACATAGATAAAAACTTAACAGCCTGGATCATAACAGTTTTCAAAAGGTGACATTTGCAGTATGAATGCAAAGCATAGGGGCTGGGGAATATGTTGATGTAGAGAGACTGGCAGAATTATGCTCTTTCTAATCAGCAGTTAAAATATTCTGTAGAAGTGGTGAGATAAGCGGTGTTCAGATTTCACAGAAAATGTTATCTGTCTGAGGAATGGGCATCGGCAGAGTGAAAGCCGATACAGAATGAATCACAGAGTTAATTTTTAGCTGATTAGTTTAGGATGCGTGCGTCTGTAACGGGACCCAGACGCCTGCTGCGCCCCATCGGTGCCACCCGAGGTTTCTGTGGCATTTGAGGGGCACAGGTGAGGGTCCTGCCCCCCTGGCTGCACCCTCCATCACGCTCTTCTGGGGGCTGCACCTGTTTGATAGAACAGAGGCTCGGAAAACGTGCGCTTGTCGTAAGTGTGTGGCGAAAAGTGATTTTCCGCTTTATCCATAGGGCACGAGTGTTTTGTCGCCTGGACTCCACATCGGACTCACCATCGTCCTGGCAGTAATGATCTATAAAAAGTCAGCCGCGAACGTGTTCGAAAAGCACCCTTGCCTTTATACCCTAATGTTCGGGTGTGTCTTCGCTAAAGTTGCACAGAAACTAGTGGTGAGAAACGCTTGCATGATTTAGGGTACAGATATTGTCCTTAGTCCTCAGCCCAGAGCTGGAAAGTATCTCACACAGTGTGTAGGTTTTCCTTTGTGGTTATCGCATCACAGTAAATAGACATCCGCGCTCTGAATAAAACTGCACTGTGAGTTAATGTTGCATTCGGTTCTTTTAATTATCTGTTAGGCTCTAATTATCAATTATAAATTCCTGATATCAAGGAATTTAAACACTGCAAATTTTAATAAGCTACCCAGTCGTGAATTTGGGGGAGATATAAATATTCCCAGATAGAATGTGAGATTACATTGTCTTTGTCTTGAAGTAAATTAAAAGTCATAATTTGCTTCTGAAAGTAAGAGCTAAAAACACCGAAAACTTAATAGTAACATTACTTTGTTTACTTTTTTATAGATCGCTCACATGACCAAAAGTGAACTATATCTTCAAGACACTATCTTTATTGGGCCAGGTCTTTTGTTTCTAGACCAGTACTTTAATAACTTTGTAGATGAATATGTTGTTCTGTGGATAGCAATGGTAAGTACTGTCCTGATTTGTATTATCAGATAAGCAGATCGTATTATGCTTCCTAGCCGTTTCAGTCAGGTATCAGTTATCTCAATATTTAGTCTATACAGTGAATGCTTCTGAGTATTTAAAATCAGTTCTTTTAAGTGGTCAGTCATTTTATATTGTATGTAGAAATAGTCAGCATATCTGGTGATCGGGCATCCCCCAGCCTAGACCCTTGGGAACACAGCTTTGTACTTAAAAAGTACCCTTTTCCCCTAAAACCAATCCACTCTGCCCAGAGGAGTCTGACTGCTCTTATCGAGCTTATTAAAATTATTCCCAGATTACAGCAAGTAACACATTACGGGGTTAGTGCTCGCAGTGGTGCCACTTACTCCATCGAGAGCTGTCAGCCAATACTGAGAGCAGAGCTGCATGCTGAGGCTGTTTGCAGCTAGATGTAAGCAGCCCTGTATTCGTGTATTGCCTTTCTTTGTTTTAATAATGTCACGAAGGCTAAATTCTTGTTGACTACATCCTGCTTAAGCAAGGGCATGGATAATATGTATATTAATTTCTATCCAAAATGATTGTGAAATACAGAATATGGTTCTTAAGGGAAACATTAGTCATCTAAGGAACTCATTACTGATTAACGCTTCAGTCACAAAATTAGATCATGGAGAATTAAATTTTTATACTAGTAAGACGTATCTTTATGGTTGGCCTTCAACTAATAGTGATTTGAATAGTTTTGCTGTAGTTTTCCCTATCTGTGGACCTCGCTGGCCTTACAGCTTGTGCGTGATCCGGAAGCGTACAGGTCTTACCAGTGAAGCCGCCAGTGAGTCTCGATGATTCACCAAGTCTCACCACGTTGGCCTTAAGTATTTAAAAACTCCGCTCTCTGTTCTGTACACAGACCACGAGGGTCCACTGGTAATCATAAACCAAGTCCATAGGATGACACTTTCCCTGGAATAAATTAGTAACCTAATACTCACTTACAGTCCATTAAAAGCCTTCCGTTCTTTTCAGTGGTGAAGTGTACTTCTTAATCCTTTGACTTTCCATGCAATTTTCTGCAAAGTGTTTGAACATTTCCTTTAATTTGAACTGGCATGTGCGTCAGAGTGAACGTAATCGAAACGTCAGGCATTCCAAACTGAAGCGCCTGTTGGCTTGAGCAGCGGGCCTGGTTCACATTAGTGACAGACTGGCTGGCTGAGGAAGGCCCACTCCGTTTTTCCTTGTCCTTATGGAAGGAAACCCCTTCCTCAGAGAGCAGAGGCCCCACTGGAGCTTCCTCCTGGCTGAGGATTCCCCTCCCGTGCACAGCAGGCTTTCCATTCCCCTGGCGCCCCTTCTGAAGGAAAGCAGTTAGTTTTGAATATAACACGTTTTGTATGTGCCTCCCCTCCACTGTGGTGCCTTTTCCACAGTCCCGGCATCCTTCCAGCTATTCTGAGGGTAAAAGCAGCTGCAGGAAAACACGCTTTCTAGGAGAGGGATGGGCAGCCCCTCCCACCGGAAGCTGGGGGAAGCTGGAAGTCAAGGCCTGGCGCCTTACTCTGGAGCTTTCCACTCTGCTCCCTTCTCAGAGCCTGAGCTGGAATAGCTGAAATTCCCTGCATTTTCCGGAAGACTAATGAGGCCCACGCTACGGCACGTGAAAACACTCTAAAATGGAACATTTCCCACTAGGAATCTGGGGTTCAGGACATCTGAGATGGGGGGGGAGTTGCAGAAAAAAGCTGCGAGCTGAAAGATAGACCATAATGTGAGTCCCGATTTGCTCCCAAAGGTCGTTGCTTCACTTGACATGATCCTGTACTTCAGCGCTTTGTGCCTGCAAATCTCAAGACACCTGCATCAAAGTATCTTCAAGATCTCCTGCCACCAGGCACCTGAACAGGTTCACAAGCATGTTGACTAATAGCCTGAGGAAGAGGCGGTTAGGGGAGCCTAGGCTGAAGGAAGCCCCCTTCTCCAGGCGGTAGGATGCTGTCAGATAAGGCGCTATTTGCTAGAAACAAGCCCTGCAGATGCCGTTGTGTCTGCTGAGTAAGGAAGCCTCATGATGCGTCACCCACATTGTGGTCACAGGTATTGTTAGAGCAATACGGTCTGTAAACTAATCAGAAACAAGCCCAAACATGTCACCCCTCAGGATGAGAGAGAACCGAACCCTGTAGTTCTAAGTGACAGTCTGTGTCTGCAAAATACTGATCAGACCCTGCCAGAGTACATAAAAATTCAGAACTTAAATGACTTCGGCCATGGTGAGGGCGATGCCAAAGACCGGAGGGAATCCTGCTGCTGCCCAGGTGCATGGTCTGTGATACTATGTCAGCAACAACCATCTCCCAAGCGTGTGCTAATCCCTGGGAGGAAAGGAAGTATGTGCTTTGTTGCGCCAACCAGAATTTAAGAGCTCTAGGAACTTTTACAGTTTGTCTTTAGTGAAAGGAATTTGTTGTGCCAATTCAGAAAAACTCAAGAATCTTCATACTGAGAGTAACTTGTTCCTTGATAGTTACGATTCCATGGCCACGAGAAGGTGGCATTAACTGAGAAAGGGGACACTAGCTAAATCAGCTGATGTGTAAGACAGTAACCCACGAAACACGCAGCAGGGCCCTAGAGCCAGGTGCTCTGGAAGTGGCACTGCCAGGCCACCATGCATGTTGGTGTCAGGAGTAGGGAGGTTGCTCTGTATAAACAGCATCATCACAGAACCCTTGGAGAGCCAGATCTCAAGACCCCGTCTGAGCCTGTTTCTAACTGGACACGACAGTTCTATCAGCCACACGAGGAAATAATCAGAAAATAAAGGACTGATGGGCCGGTGACTGTCTGTACTAGGCAAGGAAAGGCAGGCAGAACAAACCGGTGGAAACTGATAGTCCTGAAAGGCAAAAATGTAGAGGTGAATAAGCAGTTTTGCCCCTCACTATTGGTGAACATCTGACAGGACTGTGGCAGCCGTGTAACCAGCTTAAGATTGCCATTCTGGGCCTGGGGCTGTAGTGTGCAGAGGAGCGGAAAAGTGCAGGCTTAGTACAGGCAATGCCCAACATCACCAGAAAGAGGAAAACATTTAAAAATAAAGATTTTTATTTGGTTTTTTTAGTCATGAGTATTAGGGATTGAACCCAGGAGTACTGAGCTACATACCCGGCCCTCTTTATTCATTAAATTTAGAGATAGACTTTGTTTTTAAAACTTGAAAAACCTTAAGTCAAATAAGTGGTTTGTAGCAGCAAATATTGAAACTTAAAATATGGAAGGACAGGAGCTGGGAATTTAGCTCAGTGGTTCCGGTGCCTGCCTCGCAAGTGCAAGGTCCTGAGTTTGATCCCCGGTACAAAAAAAATGGAAGGATAGGAGGAAATTGTTTCCTTGTAATGGGCATATATTTTATTCTGAATGGTTCAAAGTAATTTAAATAACAGTAGGCTTAACTGACTTATTTTCAAACAAATGTGGAAAAAATTTCACGTTTTAAATCAAGTGTTTCATGTTATTCTATATTAAGTGCACATTTTAAAAGACAGTATAAAAATTAACTATTGAAATCTGAAAACAAAACTTGTGTCTACTTACTGAGTATTAAAACAGGAAGTGTCCAAGGTAATCCTCCTTGAAGTAACTGTCACTGTGTGCTCCTTGTCATTACAAAGGCTGTGTCATTTAACTGCAGACCAAGCCTGATTATAGGGTACTTTGATGTCTACAGAAATGACATATCTGTAAACCCATGTCTTTAAATTAATATTTATAAATCTTGTTTTTGGCAACATAGCAAGACCCTGTCTCAAAACCCAAAACAACCCAACCCCACGCAATCCCCAAACAATGTAACTTGTTCTTTGTATGTTTAGGGATGGACAGAGATACACTAACTCTGAATATTCTTTATTGACAAAAGTTAATAAACAGTGCTAGAAAAGTTGACTGCTACAACTGAAGAGCTGAAAGCTTGTCACATACAGTTGAGGGATAGCCGCTCCTCACATAACTGTATTTTATTTGGAAGTGAATAGAAAGGGAGGTCTTACACTTAAACATGATAATGATTAAAGTGTTATAATTTAAACTGGAACTTCTGTGACTAAAGGTGTTAAGTTTAACTAGAATTGTAAGTTGCTCCCAAGACTTTTGTGCCTCTTAGCTAATGTTGCAATTGTGTCTTGTTGCTTAGGTTCACGTTCTTTCTCCAAAGAGTCATCAGAGCAACATGGACTGAAGAGACTTGCGGACGCTTGCCATCTCTTGCTGCTGCTGTTTCATGAAAGAGGAGACAGTAAACATTTGTTTGAATTGTCAGTTAACTGTTATACATATTTCAGCAAATAAAATCTTTCAGAGCTTACATTAATCCTGATGTTTTACATCTGAAATGTAATGACTTACAGTTTCCATCATAATCTTCTTTTGCAACATAGCCATTTCTTTTTTAAGTTCATTTTGTGTCCCACTAAGTAGACTATCGTGATTCTTCTCCAAGTCCTCCAAACTCTACAACACAAAAGGTTCGTTCAGTTACAAACCATAACTTGTCATCTCAGGTTCTAAACTTGTAAAAATAATTTTCAGAAGGAAGAACTTTTTAATATTCAAATAATGCCCATTATTTATTCCATGTAAAAATGAGTAATACATAAAGACAAATTCTATAGAAGCAAAATTTATAAGACATAAATCAAATATAATTATAGAATGTACAACAGTAGAACACTTTGCTTGAAATAATGGATTAATTAACTGTTGAAGAAGAAAAGGACCAGGGATTTAGCTCAGTGGTGCAGCCAACTGCCTCAAAAGCGCAAGGTCCTGAGTTCGATCCCAGGTACCAAAAAAAAGGAAAAAACAAAAAGAGCAGATGGGACAACCATCAGCAAATACACTAACTTAGAAATTTTCTAATACATTTCCCAAACATCAAGTTATAATCTTATTACTAATAGTCAATGAGACATGAATCTAGCAGCAGAAGTAAAATGATCTGTAGTATGATCAAGTTATGAAAAACAAAATTTATGCTTTAAATCTTTAATCTTCTTTAACAAATAGTTATTCCAGTCCTCACTATGTAAAAAGTACTATATTAAGGGCTGTGCAGAAATTAAAGAATAATACACAATTGCCTTATTCCAGTGAGAAGAAACAAAAGCTTTGCAGTAGGAAAGGAAACAGCTTACTGTGGCTATATAGTAGAAAATGGGGATTAATTCTAGTTTAGATGTCAAAAGAATACAGTTGCAATAATAAAGAAGGAATTAAAAGTAATCTAAAGAAAAAAAGTAATTTAAAGGACAAGCATGAGCAAAAGCATGAAGTATCTGATGAGTAAGTTCAGAGGTTACGGAGAGAACTGGGAGGAATGGGCAGGTGTAGTAAGTGAAGCTTACAGAGTCATGTTACAGAAGAATCTCAGATACCTAACAATTCCGAATGGAAAGCTGCTGGTAATTTTTTCAGGAGGAAAGAGATGTATTTTTTTTGGTACCGGGGCTCGAACTTGGGACCTTGTGCTTGCAAGGCAGGCAGCGGAACCACTGAGCTAAATCCCCGGCAGAGAGATGTATTTTAGAAAGATAACGTGGGAGACCTATAAAGTTGGACTGGACATAGAAAATCAAAGAATTGTAATAGCACAAGCAAAGAATGATGAGGTCCTGAACTAGGGTAGTAGCAGTGCGAATAAAGAAAGCATGGACCACTGCAGAGGTAAAATTATATATAGTCTCATAACTCAGCATGAAAGATAAGGATATGGAAGAGTTAAAGTTAATACTCCAGTTCCTATCTTTTTTTGGGGGGCGTACCGGGGATCGAACTCAGGATCTCAACACTTCCCAGGCAGGTGCTGCACCGCTGAGCTACATCCCCAGCCCTTCCAGTTCCTATCCTAAGTGGTAACATTTAGAAGAAGCTTTTCTTAGACCTTCATACTAATTAACAAGTTATTGTCAGGGAGCATTAGAACTGACAAGTTCTCTATTTGCAAACACTTAAAAATAACGTTTGTGAGCCAGGATGTAGCTCAGTGGTGCTGCGACTGCCTGGCAAGCACAAGGTCCCAAATTTGATTCCCAGTACTGGGGGGAGAAATCTTTTGTGTTCATATAAATTATTTTAAATTTCTTTAAAATATTTACTTTAGAACTTTTTAGACCACAATTTGGTAAAATGTGTGTATTCAGTAGATAATTTCCAACTCACAAATTTTTTTTTTTGGTATTGGGGATCAAGCTGGGACCTTGCACTTGCGGTGCAGGCGGTGGAACCGCTGAGCTAAATCCCCAGCCCAAATTTTTAATTCTTGGTGTCTATTACATTCTGAGCTTTTATGATTATAAATTGGCATATAAAGTCATTATCGGTCACTGCAGTAATTCTAAAAGCAAATATGCCATAAAATATTTCTGTAAACATTTGAAATATAAAGCCAGGTGTGGTTGTGCACACCTATAATCCCAGCACTGGGGAGGCTGAGACAGGTGAAAGGCCTGAGTTCAAGGACAGCCCGAGCCACACAGTGAGTTCAAGGCCAGCCTGGACTACATAGCAAGACCCTGTCTCAAACATCAAAACAAAAATACAAAAAACAAATATTTGAAAATATAGAATTATTCAAAAATTGAGTGCTTTCTACGTAACAAACATTGGGGATACAAAGTCAAGTAAAAGTATATAGAAATGATTTATAAACTTCCTATTCTATTCTAAGTTAAACAGAGATCAATGACATAAGTGTTTGTAATAAAGTATGGATTGGGGCTGGGGATTTAGCTCAGTGGTTCTGCTGCCTGCCTCGCAAGTCCAAGTTCCCGAGTTCAATCCCTGGTACTAAAAATAAGTACATAAATAAATAAAATAAAGTATAGATTCAATGCGTGAATCCATTTTTCGGTAAAATTACCTAAATTTACCATTTCCTATCTTGAATAATCCATGAAACTATTAGAATTCTAAAGGTATATTATCACTTAAGTCAGAAGTAATGAATTCTGTCCCCGTTTCTAGAAAGTAGTTAAAAATTTTCCCCATAAACTTGGAAGGAAAAACAGTATGTACTACTTCTGTAAATACATTGTTTTATAAGAATGCATTACATTACTATGCATAACATACCTTGAGGTACTGCTCATACAACTGTCGAACCGTTTTCAGTCTCTGGTTCTGAACAATTCTGGATTGTTGAAAAACTTTTTGTTGTTGTCGCATTATACTCTACAAATATAAAAAACACTGTTTAATAACAATTAGGTAAAAGTTTGTTTTTCTGGCAATACGCCAGAGCTCTACACATGCTATGCAAGCACCCTACCTCAAGGTACATTCCCAACTCTCAAGTTTTAAATTAGCAAAAAAATAATCCTAATCCTATATTAAACTTAAAAGGAAGTTTTTAAATCCGGATTTTTTTTTTTTTTTTGGTACCGGAGATCGAACTCGGGTCCTTGGGCTTGCACAGCAGGCTGCGAAACCGCTGAGCTAAATCCCCGGCCCTCTGCTGGATATTTAACATTTTGTTAAATGACCAACTTTAGATAATTTGTTTACCACTAATACGCAATACAATAATCCTTCATGTCACTGAGTAGGAAATCTTAATGTTCAAGACATGTCTTTTTCTTTGGAATTTCAATACCCAGACAGTTGATCTTCTAATAATGGTGATCTTTCATGTCCTTAACCTATTTTCCACCAGTGATTTTCTCCTCCACCCTACCTGAGCTATTCACTTACATGTTTATACCCTAGATCTTACCATTACCAATAACATAACCTCGCTATAGCATTGATAATGACAAACATATTCACTATGTGTCGTCTATTTTTGGAACTTTATTAAAGGGATAGGAACTGATTTACTCCTCCAAACAACTATATGAGATAGGTACTCTGTCACTTTTATAGCTGAGTGACCACAATTTGATCGCCACTGTGTGTTTCCAGGGTCCAGGCTGTAACTAATACACATACTGTTTCTCCCTATATCCCAGGACTCAGGCACTACCTCCTGGCTGTTCTTTAGTACCACAGCTCACTTAACAGGTACTAAAGTCCATTCGTTCTACCTACTTTTCTCTGTTATCCCTGCCCCTGCCATCCTCACTTTCCTTTCCCTGCCTTTTTTTTTTTCTGACATAGGGTCTTGCTATGTAGTTCAGGCTGGCCTCAAACTCAAATCATCCTCTTTCTTCAGCCTCCTGAGTATCCCATCACTGTATCTGCACCCACATTTATGTGTGCCCGTACATTCTGTCTTCTCTCCTGTTTCTAAGAGTGAATGATTCTTGTTCCTTACTAAGGCCAACTTCTTCACGTCCCATCCATTCTCAAGAATTCAGCAATTGTCTCTAATATTTTAAATCTGTCCCTTTGGGTTATTCCTGTCAGCACACAAACATGCTGCTATTTCCTCTTAAAAAATAAAACAAAACCCTGTATTCCTTTTCTCCTCTGGCTACCACATTTCTTTCCTTCCCATTCTGTCTAGTACTCATTCTAATCAGACTTGCACAGATTTCTCACTTTTTCACCAAAATCATTCTGGTCCAGGACACCAATGACGTCAACATTGCCAGATCCACCTTACTCAGCCTCCAAGCAGCATGTGACAGAAATAACCTTTCCTTTCTTTTGTTTTTTTGGGGGGGCTTTTTGAGACAGGGTCTCACTATGTAGTTCAGGCAGCCTTGAACTCACTATGTGCAGCCCAGGCAGCGATCCTCTTAACCTCAGCCTCCTGAGTGCTGGGACCACAGGCATGCGCCACCATGCCCGGCTCCTTTCCTTCTGAAATGGCTTTTTTTGCTCAGCTCACAGGGCTTTGCTGTCCACCTGTGACCAGACCACACACTCTCAGTGTCTCTTCCTGGCTCCCCTCACCTCCCAGAGCACTAAATATGTCCCTCAGGGATCTGTCCTTAGATTTCCCCTTGGTGATGTCATCCCATCTTCATGGCTGAAAAACTGTTTTCAAGCTGAGAATCCCCAACTTTGCTTCCTCAGCTCACATCTGTCTCCTAAACTGCAGACTTACGTACCTGCAGCCTGCTGAGCCTCGCCTTGGGTATTTCATGAGCTGATCCACCAACCCCACAGTTACTTGGTCAGACCAGTACCCCAGCTCTTAGCTAAGCAATGTCCAATAATTAGCAATAGTGAAAGGACCACTGGAGGAGCAGTTAGTGCAGCTACAAGACAGCTGAGTGGAGATGAAGGACATGCGCCCTGGGGGCACACAGGGAACACAAGTGGGCATGAAGAGTAAACCGTGTCCTCAGGCGGGTCCATAGCTCAGTGGCAGAGCACCTGCCCAGCATGCATGTGGCCCTGGGTTCCAGCCCCAGCACCTCACAGGAGAAAACAAAGAGTAAACCACATTCTGACTTCAGTGACTGGTTCAGGAGCGGGCAGACGGTAAACTCCGTCAGTGAGAGCCCTCAAGCGGGGTTTCCTGCCATGGCCACTGAAGACTGTGGTCCACTGCCACTCCTCATTTTACTCTGAGTCTAGGAGCGCTGGTAGCGTCTTGCTTGCTGCACTAAATGAGCCCACTAGGAGATGCCAAGAGGCCCAAATGGCCCCATAGGAGCAAGCTGCCCTGTCCCTGTCCAGCTGTGCCTTGAGCTAAACTACCCTCAATTTCTTTTCTGTAAGCCACTAATCTTCCTTTTGTTCTCTGGCAAATTTCCATCACCTCAAAGTCTAAGGGTCCTGAGCAACGCAGGCAGCACGGCTGTGCTTCCAAGTACAGAGTGTGCCTGCCCCGGGGGCTCCCTTTCCGCTCGAGACCTGGTGGGATGATGTGTGATACCAACCACCAGTTTCTCTTCTTGCTCCTCAGCCTTCTTCAGATCTGTATCCCACTGCTGAAACACAGCCAGGAACTGCTCAGAAAACTCTTGGTTAAGTTTCTGCCTGTAAAACATGGAGATGAATATCGTCACATTTCATACCACTAGGAAAAAGCATTCAAAACCGATCGGACCTTTCTGTATACTGTAAGGATGGAAGGAAATAATAGCAGCTGTAATATCCTGATGGGAAACCAAGAGTCAGATTGAAGTCTATTCCAGAAGTATTTTTTCCTAATAAGCTAACAGAAAGGTCTCCTCATATGTTGTAGCTCTTGACAACTAAGGAAGCTTTATCATCTATGTACATTTCCAAAAAAATTTGTTTGATTTCCAGGGAGTGTATTTTATGTATCCTACTTAATATAGGTTCTCATATGAAAAAATGGGTTAAGTGATTTCTAAATAGAAATATTTCACTTAGTTTTTCCCCATTTTGGCAATGACTCTTTACAAAGGAATAAAATCAGCTAAAGTAAATGAATTTCACAATATAAATAGACAAAGGGTAAATACACAAAATTTTAATATAACATTGACCTTTTTCTACATTGTCAAATATAGTTAACTATCAAACAACAAATAGTTTCTATGACATTTACCTTTTACTAGTGTATTTTCAAAATGAACATAAATTACCTTTAGAATTTTTAAAAAACCACACTTGTTTCTTAAAAAAGCAATCTCACTACTGACTTACAGAAAAGTCAAGCCAAATATCCCTTCTCCTTCCTCCTTCCTTTCTTTCCTTCTTACTTTGGACAGATCTTGCTATGTAGCCCAGGCTGGCTTCAAACTCAAGATCCTCCTGCCTCAGCATCTTAAACGCTGGGATAGCAGGTGTCCGCCCCCATGCCCACCTAGGCCAAATATATTCTCACTACAGACCCCAATAAACAGAAGAGAGTCGTTTTTCCTAAGTTATTGGTACCTGTGTATGCTAAGAAATGATACAAATGTGGCTATAAAAAACCAGCCGCCTTACCTTTGCTCTTGCTGTGTTTTCCAAACATGTTCAATTTTCTGGCTACTGGATTTGAAGGAAGCCTTGGTATACATTTCTAGTCTCTTTCTCTTGGCAAGGAGGGCCTTGTTAATGTCAGCTGTGTTGAAAATAAATGCTCATTCAATTTAATGTTGAAAATTATTTTGTTCCCATATATTCAAGTAAATACTAATATGGAAAAAGTTCATTCAATAATATTATAAAGACATATAACATTAAATTTTAAGATAGTGCCATGCTCAAAACATTTCAAATTTGGGAGCATTTAAGATTTTGGACTTTCAGACTAGGGTTGCTCAACCAGTAAAGTCTCTGCAAATATTCCCAAATCCAAAGAAACTCTAAAACCTGAAACATTTCTTGTCCCAAAGATTTTGGATAAGAAATACCCAACCTTATCCCAATTTTTATTTTCCTAACTGAAGATAATTTTTAAATTTAGGAATGATTTTTAAAAGAGCCAATAAATAAAGCATCAAAGACAGGGCTGGGGATTTAGCTCAGTGGCACCGCACCTGCCTGGCAAGCGCAAGGTCCTGAGTTCGATCCCCTGTACCAAAGAACACAAAAAACAAAAACAAAAAAGATAGACTTCAACTTCCTCATGGGAAAACACTTTAATAATGGCTTAGGTTTTCTAAATTTATAAAATATTCTCCAACTGAAACACACTTGGGTGAATTATTGTTAGGACTCAAGATAAAACACACAAAAAAAGATAGGTATATCAAAGAATAAGAAAATGATGTGGAAAACATATAGTTAATTATGCCTTTAAATATATCTTTTACTGGGGCCAGGGATTTAGCTCAATGGTTCTGCCGCCTGCCTCACAAGCACAAGGTCTAGAGTTTGATCCCTGGTACCAAAAAAAAAAATCTATATCTATATATATCTATAGATATATATATATCTCTATATATCTTTTACTAAAAGACACACAGACCAAAGATAACAAACATCTTAATGTAAGTATCTAGATAAATTTGAGAACACTTTTAAATATTTTCATGGAGTTTTTATAGGACATTTTACCACTAAGTACTATATTCCATAAAAATTTTAATAGCTTAGTACTTGGCTGAACGTATACCTTTATTATGGATTTACCAGTTACCTTTCGGTAAGTATAATGGAGCTGTACTATTATATGAATATTTTATATATCCATTTTTCTTCTAAAATTCCATTAAAATCACCTGTGAACAAGCTATTTCCATTCACATCACTGAAAAGGTAAGGAAACCTATAAAGCTAAATCACATGTACGTAAAGCAAGGCATTAATACTCACAGTCTGCTGATTAACATTCCCTATTATACAAATTACAATAGTTTAAAACAATTTTATTTAAATACAAGGATCTCCAAAACCATACCTCCAAATTTTTCCAGCATATTCTGTACTTCACCCCTGTGAATAAATTACATTTTAAGACCTTTTAGGACTGGTGAGGGGTGGTAGCTCAGCGGCAGAGTGTTTGCCTAGCATGCTCGGGGCCCTAGATCCAACCTCCAACATGGCAAAAGCCAAGCAAAGTAAAAGAAAAAGCTTTTATTAAGGACCCATAAAACATAGAAGAAATACCAACGCGGCCACTGCACATGCAGTACTTGTCAGGTAATCCCTTGTTAGGATTTTTCTTAACATCATTTCGAACACATTACCCCATGTCTTCCAGCATCTCTGAAGACGACCTTTTTTTCCCACGCTTATCAATTACTGGAATCTTTCCTGTATGGACAGTGAAAAAGGGAAATAAAAGTAAACGCGCTGTCATGGCACGCCGCGGCGGGGCAGTGTCTCCATGCTGCCTCCTCGCGCCCCCTGCCAGCGCGCGTCTGCCCGCCCCGGGCGCTTCTGCCACGGGGTCTCGCTGCGCAGCAGGGTTACGGGCCCGCCGCCCGCCGGGAGAAGTCAGGGAGCCCTGCCCGCGGGAAGCCGGGTGTGCGCTGCGAGCCCGCGACTGCGGCGGGGCCCAGGGGAGCGACCAAGACCTGCGGGCGCCTCCTCGTCCTCGGAGCCGCTCAGGCCGCGCTCGCCCCTGTCCGAGTCGTAGGCTGTCCCGGGTGGCTGCTCCAGCGGCGCCTTCCCTGCCTTCCCGGGGTGCTTCCTGCCGGCGGGCACCATGGTGAACTCCGGCCCGGCCGCCGACCTCCTTCCTCACGCACCGCCTCGCAGCCGCCGCCGCCTCTGAGGAAACTCGGACAGCGCTGAAGAGCCTGGCGCTTTTTGGCGGGCGCGGCGCTGATTGGCTGGACGCCGCGCGCGTGCGCCCAGGATCGGTGGCTCCGCCCCTTTGGGCGGGGCGCGCGAAGTCACTAGTCAGGAGCGTGCCGGGCACGCTGGTGCGCAAGCGCGAGGCGCCGTGCTGGGGTGGTCCCGAGCGAGTCACAGGGCTGTCACCTGTGAGGCGCCCTCCCGGGACCGAGGCGGAGAGCTTTGAGAGACACAGAAAAGAGAAGAGAAACAGATGCGGAGAGGGGGTTTGGGCTGTAAAAAACACTGCACCGTGTTCTACAGATTGTTATTTTTTGCGGTGCTGGGGGTTGAGCCTGGGCCTGAGCTGCATCCCCAGCCTCCCCTTCTTTTAAAACTGGGTCTCGCTAGACCCTCAGCCCTTTAAAGTTATTTTTAGATAGGATCGCCCTAAGTTGTCCAGGCTGGGTTCGACTTGGGACCCCCTGCCTCAGGCTCCCAGTGCCCGCCGGTGCCCTTCTTAACCCGATCCCGGCTACCAGCACATCTTCGCCCTCCAGGACTGACGCGTTGGCCACAAGGCATCACTTGGCGATTCGCTGGGGCCTGGCGCCCGGGGCGTCCGCTCCGCTCCTCTGGGGGCTGTCGGCACTGGGGGTTGCTTCTCACGCTCGCCCACTTCGTCCTGCAGCCCAAACCCGGCCCCGAGTGTGGGTGGGACGCCCTGACCCGCACAGCCGGGCTCCTGTGGAGCAGCTGCCTGTGGAGCAGCTGCCGCAGTTCTGTGTTTCCTCTGTGGGAATCGGGCATTGTCAGTGACAGTACAGGGAACAGCCCCTTTCTAAGGAATGCTCCATTTCATTTAGTTTTGTAACTTTGTGTAGCGGTGTCATAAAATACACAATAAATCACGTAGTCTCCTTTATTAACAGGTCTTCAGTATCAGCGGTTTCATCTGTGTGTGTGTGCACCCACGTGCGCTAACGGGTGGACAGAGGAAGCTTCACTCGTTTTTTAATTTGCTCACTTTTGTTTCAGCGATGGAGTCTCAGTCTGTAGCTCAGGCTGGCCTTGAACTCATGACAACTCTCTTGCCTCAGCCTTCCAAGGGCCTTGATTATGGATGTGTGCCACTGGGCCTGGAAGGTGTGCATTTACCAAAGACGGAAAAGAACAGAGTGCACAGTAAGAGTGGCTGGTGAACAACTCACAGGCCAGAGGATACAGGAAAGGGCTCTTCTGTAGAGGCCAGTTCCCAGGCTACCTCTCTCCACGCAGACAAGGCCCTGGGACAGCATCCTATCATTTACTCACTTGGTGTCATGCCACGTACAAACTGTCCAATCAAAAGGTTTGAGATTGTTTCTGTGGGCAGTCATATTGGGAGTGTCCCTCACTGCTGTCCTTACATTATCTAGTAAGCCTTTTAATTTTTATTTCATTTATTTACATTTAGTCTTTATTATTCTTGCTTTGTTTTAATTTTTCTATTTTTTATTTTAGACTGCTAGCTTCTTTCTTTTCTGCCTTTCTCCTCTCTTGAGGTGCTTATTTATCTTTGAGACAGTCTCACTTTGCAGTTCAGGCTGGCCTCGAACTCAAGTGATCCTCCTGCCTCAGCCTCCCAAGTACTGGGACTACAGGTGTGCACCACCATGCCCACTGAGGTGCTGCTTTAATGTGATAACTTTCCCTCTGTGTACCATTCAGATGAATCCCATGTTACAACATACAGTATTTTCGATACCATTCAGAGCTAAATATTTTTAAACTTCCATTACTACTCTTTTGACTTATCAGTTAGTTATGTATTTTTAGACTTTTGGATAAAGGTGGTCTGAAAAACTTACTCTTTTTATTGGAATATTCTAACACAACATCCCTGTCATGTGGATGATACTCATGACTTGGAATTTATCGCTTGCTTTACGACCTAGCACAAGGCCATTTTGAACCAGTCCTACACATGCTTGTGAAGAGTGGATATACTAACTTGGGTGCAGAAAATTCTGAAATCAAGATTATTGTCTCAACCTTTTATTTCATTTGCTAATTATTCTGCTTAGCCTCAGAATAACTAAAGTGACTGGATATGTGTTAAAGTCTTCTATCCTGATAGTGGAATTAAAAATTTTTCCTTGCAATGGTATTTTGTACTTAATTAGATGGAAATTTATCATTTATATATCTTCCTATCAGTTGAGGCTTTAGTCATCATGCAGTGACCCTAATAATGGATTTTGTCTTGAGATCCTATTTCATAGTTTTAAAAACTCCTGTTTCTTTGGCATAAAATTTATCCAACATTTTCTCCAATCCACTGACTCTCCAACTTTCTATATCCTTTTACATCCCTCATCTCTTATGTAATTTTGTTTTGACAGGCTCTTGCTGCGTAGCCCAGGCTGGCCTGCCTCAGCCTCCCGAGTGCTGGGATCACAGATGCACGTCATCAGGCACCGCATCTGTAACAGCTCTTGTCCTGAAGCCCCGGGTGACCCCACACTGGTGAGCCCAGTGGACGCCCTCTAGTTCTCCCTCGACTCAGCCGCGGTCAGCGCTGACTGCTCCAGCGTGGCCTTGCCTGCTTTACTCGTGTCCATGCTTCCTGGGGCTCAGCAGCCTCACGCTCTCCCCTCTGACCCTGTTGGCAGCTTCTCACTGGCTCTGCCAGCTCCTCCTCTCTCAAAGGGCCCTGAGAGCTGGGAGGGGGGCTCTCGCTGTGCTCCCCACACTCAGGGGGCTGAGGCAGGAGGATCGCCACAAGTTCAGCACCAGCCTGGGCTATATAGTGAGACCCTGGCTCAAAAAACAAAAACAAAAGAGCAAAACCGATGCTTTCGTCTTAGAGATCTCCAGGACTTGGTTTCCCTCCTTTCTCAATTTAGTGGCCTTCTGTAACCCTTATGTATGCACACGGCATCAGTGGAAATGAAGACTCTGTGGAGTCAGAGCAGGGCCTCCCCGAATTTGAGAGGAGAAAGCCGTGCTGCAGCAGGCCTAGTGCAGGCACCGAGTGACAGGCACAGAGCGTGTCAGACGGTACCACCACCGCAGGGGACCGCACGAGCCAGAGGTGACAGGAGGGTGGAGCTGGGTTCCTGGCCCCCTCTGCCTCTTTTGGCCCTAAGACCCGGAGCAAGTCAGGTGCCCTCTGGCCTGGGTGTCCCTTTTATAAAAACCAAGGCTTCAAAGCAGGGCGTGGTGCTGCATGCTGGAAATGCCAGCACTTGGGAAGCTGAGGCAGGTGGATCCCCATGAGTTCGAGGTCAGCTTGGAATATACAGAAATCCTGTCTCTAAAAAAACCCCCAAAATAACAACAACGAAAGTGCAGTTTGGTCTGGAAACTGCATCCAGGGCCTGGGGTTGGAGCTCCATGCTGCAGTCGGGTGATACAGTTTTCCTTCTTCCAAATCACGGTGCTGTGATTTTGTTCTCTCTAAAATTCCTGCTCAGATTTCAGCAGCAATGTAAAGGTGCTGACAGGTGGGACCCCCGGTGGTGATAACTCACGGTGCAGCACTCATGGGGGGCAGGCCGCTACCAAGGGCCTCACCCAGGGCACTCGGCCGGCTGCCAGGTGAGGACACGATACCCTGGGGACTCGGGGTTCTGGGCGCCGTCCTGGACGCAGACATCACCCACTCTAGACAGCTGAGCCTGGCAGTGCTGTGACCCCGGACTTCCGGCCTCCAGCACTGTGCAGAAATACGTTTGTGCTCTGCATCGACCACCTGGTCTCATGTGTCTCATGATAGGAGCCAAGTGGATGAGGCACACACTGGGCTCCTACAGGACTATGTCTGAACCAATGGTTGCCAGGCTTCAAAACTTCCAAAGGGGGAAAAAAAAAATTCCAAAGGGCTAGGGATGTGGGGGTGCACACCTGTAATCCCAGCACCTGGCAGGCTGAGGCAGGAGGATCTCTGTGAGTTCAAGACCAGCCTGGGCTACATAGCGAGACCCTGTCTCAACAAACAAAAAACAAAGCAAAAATTCAGAAAGCCTACTTCCAAGGCTCCTGTGCCAAGGACCTTCCTGAATCACAAGACGAACGACCCCACGTGTACCCCGTAATTTGATCACCCGTCTCCTTTCCGACCCCTCGTGGGGTGTAGGCTATCTTTGCATCACTAGAGAAACCCAAATCTTTGTTTCTGTACAACTTTCTAGCATAAATCCTTTGCTTTACAGTGACATTCAGACAACCCGCTAAAATCTGCCCACCCAACAGACTTCATCTGGAGCCCACCCTCCCTGCAGAGCGGCGCTCCCCAGTGGGCCTAACATCCCTCCGCTTCATTCGGTAACGCTCAGCAGAGCCTGGCATGCCACCCAGCCTCTCCACTGAGCGCCGGGCCTGCAAACAGTAAATCCTCAAAGACTGAAAAATCAGAGCATCAGTCAGATTCAATTTGTTATGAGACTTCAATTTTGGAAAACAGCACAAACACAGTTTTACACTTTGAGTTCTTTTCACAAAATCTGTGTGCTGCTGTGCAGTAACACTGGTGGGACTGAGGTCTAAAACAGCTGCCGACCTCAGGAAGGACCTGGGTCGCCAGAGCCACTGTGGTGACCTGGGCCACACAGCTGCACATCAGGGGTCAGCGCCGGGCCTGCGGGTCCCATCCAGCCAGAGTCCCATTTGTTTCCCTGCAAGCTACACGCGGGCTCTGCAATGTTAAAGGGCTGTTTAGAAGATGCGAATGAAAAACAAAGAATGTGTGACAGGGTCACGGGTGTCCCGCGATTATGCACCAGCTAGCTGGGCTTCTACCCAACAGGTCTGCTGACCCCGCACTACAAAAACGCGGCTGAGGCTGCACTAGGGGGCGGGGGGAGAGGAGGGAGAGGAGGAAGGAGAAGAGGAGGAGGAGGGAGAGGAGCAGGAGGAGGAGGAGCAGGAGGAGGGAGAGCAGAGGAGGAGGTGGAGTGTTGAACTGAGGGAGGCCAGGGCGGCGCCCCCAGGCAGTGCTGCGCTGGAGGCCCCATGTCAGAGTGCACACTTCCGAACATTCCTCACATCTCCAAGTGGCAGTGCTCGGCGGGGCCCTCGGTAACCCGGCCTGCGTGGGAAATCAAGCATTTGCTCTTGGGGACTGAAGAAGCTGACACTTCCATGCCGGCCACTGTGTGTGGGCAGTTACGAGGGACTGAGCCCATCCTTACCAAGGTGGGCGACTTAGACCCTGCCAGTCCCAGGTGACCGTACCGCATTGCTTACATAATACCCATAAACGGGCGCACACGTCCCAGCTTGCTACTTCCAGAAGCAAGAACAGGGGAGACGAGATGCAGGGATGGGAAGTCAGAGGCGGTGCAGGGCAGCGCAGCATTCGGAAGGCGCAGACCCCGCGGGCTGCTGGGAAGGGGCAGCTTGTGGCCGCCTTTATGAGCAGGCTGGGCAGCAGCCTGTGGCGGGACAGCTCGAGCTGCCGTCGGTGCGGAGGCCCGGGTCCCTCTCGGTGACGCCGAGGCGGGCGACTGACTGCCCACCCAGGACCTCTAGACCTTGATGCGGTCGGGGCTGGCCTCTTGGCATACCCTCCTCCTGGGAAGTACCTTCCGCCTAAGAGCGATTAACTAAACGGTAAAGACAGAAGACACGCGTCAGCTCTCCCCACGGACGGAAGCCATGACCCAGCACCGTCACTGCCCACAAATCGGAGCTGCAGCCCACAGATGAGGCAGCTCCCACCCTCCCTCCCTGAGAGCAGACACCCACCCTGCTGCTCAGCCTCGAGTTCGAGCCACAGTGAGACCCAAGAGTGCTGACGCCTCTTGGCCCAAACGCCACTGTTCGAAGGCCCACAGCTGCACACTGTGGTGCAGCCGTTAGCGAGCAGCGTGACTCCCAAGGTGTCCCTGGGTCCAGGCTTTCTGTCACAGGCACCTGGCTCGGTTTGCCCCTGGGTTAATATGACTACATTTGTGGGACATGATTGCAAAACCAAACACCGAAAGTAAAAATCCTATTAGAATTTTGCCGAAGTTTCACACTTGAAAATAAGAATGATGCCCACTAGGGCCGGGGATTTAGCTCAGTGGTTTCACTGCCTGCTGCGCAAGCACAAGGACCTGAGTTCAATGCTCAGTACCAAAAAAAAAAAATAATAATGCCCACTGGTGAGTGGGTTGTAGTGCAGAATCCCCATCCAAGGGCACTTTTTCTCACAGTACCACTGCCCCTGGTGACTGAAACAGAAGTCTCAGCGCCACTTCGGTGCCCTTTCTGAGGACAAAGAAGGCTCTTCTGGTTTCTGCTTGGCTCCTTGGTCTTCCCTCTCCCGCAGGCGGAAGCAGCACTTTGCCTGTGCACAGCCGCCACCCTGGGCCTGGCCTGGGCAGAGGGGCACCTGACCCCCATTCCCTCCACCAGGGGAAAGGGCAGCTCCTTCTGCTACGTCCTGAGCTGCCCACCCGCTCTCACAGGGCCTCCTCCCACTCCCTCTGGGCCAGGAAACTTTCAAACCCTCTTCCCTTCTGAGAAGTCCACAGCTGCAGCCCAAAGGGATTCTCCACAGAGTGACATAGGGGCCGAGGGTGGAGGAGGCGCCCAGGACAGCAGGAGGACACTCAGGGCCCAAGGCTACTACCGCCCCGCCCCAAGGGCACGCAGGAGAGCGGAAATCGGAGCCCGGGAGAAATCAGCTCAGCCAAGGAGTCAGGGGGCTGGAGACCGCGCCTCCCAGCTGTGCCTCAGGGGCCAGCGCTGGTCCCGAGGTAGAGGTACAGGGACAGCTGGGCCACGTTCAGGCCGATGGGTACTGGACACAGACTCGGAAGCTGTGCTCTCAGAGGGCAAGTTAGCGTTTCCTGATTGTGCACGGATGGAGGCCGACACATGGAAGCACTAACGCCCAGGTGAATGGGCTGCACTCACCTGCTCAGCAAAAAATGAGACCACGGTGAAGAGGATGAGCGTGGCCAGGACGCAGTGGGTCCAGAACTTGAGCTTGTCCCGGTAAGCCCTCCTGTGGGACAGAGCAGAAGCGCGAGCTGTCTACGTCCGGCCTCGCTCTGGACGCTGCCGGGCACCAAGCCAGCAGCACCCCTGCCCACCCCCAGCTGGCACCGGCCCGAGGCTCCAGGCACCAGGCAGGAAAATAACAGTAAATGTCTCTCAGATATTAAAAGCTGGGCCTGGAGGTGCAGCACCTGGGAGGCTGAGGCGGGAGGGTCGTAAGTTCACGGCCAGCCTGGGCTACAGAGCGAGACCCTGTCTCAACAAACTCAAACCAAACAAACTGCAATAGGAATTCGAAGTGTGTCTTCAGAAAGAAATTACACGAGTGGCACACGAAAGCCAGGGACGCCGGGCCCTACCACTCCCGCAGCTCGTGCACGTGGAGGAAGCGGTTCCGGTACTCCCGGGGCAGCTCGAACTGGGACGGCACAGGGAACATGGACTCGTAGAAGTCCCGAAGCACGGCCTTCACCGTCTGTGCGTCTCTGTGGGTGTGGTCAATGTTGTCGTTCAGGCAAACAAACTTCCTGCAATGACAGTAAGGGTTACCCGGCCCCACAGGCAGGGCCCTGGCCTGACGGAAGAAGCAATGTGCACTCCACGTGTTCTTATTTATTCCTTTTGGTTTTTCCAGACAGGGTCTTGTTATGCAGTTCCTGGCTGGCCTCAAACTCACGGTGATCCTCCTGCCTCAGCCTCCTGAGTGCTGGGATTAGAGGTGTGTGCCTCCATGTCCAGCTCTTCAAGTGCATTTTCAATGGACTTGTGTCCCTCGTGGATGCACTGGCTGGTGTGATTCTCTGGGACAGTCCTCCTCTGTCAAAGGTGGCTTTAGAAATTCCTCCCCTGGAGCCGGAGCTAGCTTCGGTCACCCTGAAGGAGGCAGAGGCAGCGCAGCGAGGCACCCTCAGGAATGACTTTCGCTTCACCCAACCTGAACTTAGTCCCCGGTGACGCAGTCAGCCAGCGGAATACTGTCCCAGTGACACGGAAAAGCCGTAGGGCCAAGGCAGGCCCTGTGGGGGCACAGCAAGAATGGCTGCAGCAGTAGAGGGTGATGAGATGGAGAAGGCTCCCCTCAGCTGCGGCTCTCACGGCTTCCACCAAGCTGTCAGACGCCAGAGCTGCCAAGGCAGGGATGGCGCTGCCTCCCCGAGCTTCGAGGCCAAAGTCAGCACCCACGGTCCAGAAAACATCAGACGGGGAGGATGAGACCCAGACTTGGACTACACAGAGCTAAGCCTGCAGGCCCGACCACCGCTCCTGGGGAGGCAGGGCGACAGGGCGCGTGAGGCCAGGCCAGGGCCAGGGCCAGGGCCAGGGCCAGGGAAGGAAGGCCCCGCGCCAGCCGTGTGCAGACACACGCGGCGCTCCACAGGGAGAGACCCACGGGTTTAGCCACAGTGAACCAATGTGACAGCATTACGAGTTTAAGACCAAAAATACATCCAAGGGCAGACACAAGACAGATGGGGAAGGGGGCACTGCCCGAACCGTGACGAGAGGAAACAGCCACTCGTGACTCCTCAGGGTGGTCACGTGGCTGTATTGTAAGGATCCTTACAGTTCAGAGATGCACACAAGGCCAGGGATTTAGCTCAGTGGTGCTGCCACCTGCCTCGCAAGCACAAGGTCCCGAGTTCGATCCCCGGTACCAAAAAAAGAAAAGAGATACACACTAGAAAATAGATAAAATTATGAGGTTTACTTGGAATTAATCGGTAAGTAGTGATGGAGTGGGTGTGTTTAGATGGAACAAGACCAAACATAAGCCAGTATGGTGGTGCACGCCTGGAATTCCAGCACTCAGGAGGCTGAGGCAGGAAGATCGCTGCAGATCACTTCGGACCTGGAGTGCGGCCAGCCGAGGCACAGAGCTCACGGCCCACCCAAAACTGGCTCCAAGGCCTCTGTGATGTTTCCTCAGGGGCCCAGGCAGACAGTGGCCCGAGGGGTGAGTTTTCATCACTGGGACTGGGCGCTGGGGAAGGATTTACTTTTAGGAAATCAAGGATTTTCTTGGGTTTCTGAAGACACTAAATAAGCACTACAGATATTTTTTTCTCAAGATTCTCTTTCCCGGGCCAGGAATTTAGCTCAGTGGTTCCAGTGCCTGCCTCACAAGAGCAAGGTCCAGAATTCGATCCCTGGTACCAAAGAAAAAACCAAAAAACAACAACAACAACAACGAAAGATTCTCTTTCCCCTTTCCCTCCCACAGAAAAATGGGATTTGTAAGGAAAAAAAAAATCATAGTCTCAAAATACTATATCTAGAATTTTTACAACTTTGATGTTTTTATAAGTTCAAATTCAAATGAGGCAAAACTGAAGACTTCCAAAAGTATGTAAAAGATGCAGAAATAAAAAGATTTATTTTATATGCCAAGATTTTTTCGTATTTCTCAAGGAAACTGATGAAACATGTATTTTCTACTAAAGCTCAAAAAAATAAAGCCAGGCGTGATGTCACGCACCTGTTGAAATCCCAGCACTTAGGAGGCTGAGGCAGGAGCATCATCAGGAAGTTGAGGCCAGCCTGGGCTACCTCGTGAGTTCAAGGCCAGCCTAAACTGCATAGCGAGACCCTGTCTCAAAAAACCCGACAGACACCAAACAATCAAAAGACACATAAAAACAGTCACAACAAAAACCCTTCAAAAAGCAGACTTTAACCTGCTTTTTATCAAACCAGCCATGCCAAGGGTTAGAGAGCCAGGCCGGAAATTCTCAAAGCTCTGTAAAGAGGAGGACGTGTCCATCCTGAAGGATGGCGGGAGTTTGAGGTCTGACTTCACCATTTCAGCACAGATTCTTTTTCCTCCAAGCTCGCCTGGCCTTGGACTTCTGGTGTCCAGAGCCACAGGAAATGTCTGCTTTCTCGCAGCAGCCTCAGGCCGAGGCAGACGGTGACCCGGGGCCTGGCTAGCGTGGCCTCCTCCTGCCCCTCACGCCTCCCCCTCTGCCCAAATCACCGCTCTCTCTTACTGCTTCACCCACCACCCTCTCCCTGGTCTGCGACTTCCGGGCCTGCCTTGTCTCCATCTCCTCACGTGAGGTTGGCCGAGACCTGAGAGATCTGTCAGCGCACACCCACACCGGAAGTGCACACCCACACCAGAAGCGCACACACCCACACTCGTGTCTCACCAGCAAGTACAGATCAGCACTTCGGCTGAGTGACTGGAAAACGCTGCGAGGGTGCGTGCGTGTGTGCGTGCGTGCGTGAAAGGCCTGAGTTATGGCAATTATGAACGGGATGTGATTTTTTAGCACATTCACGTATGTGTGGTAACTCTGAGACGGCCTAAATAAAATTAAGGAAATTAAAAAGTGACTCATAAGTGTCAGTACCTGGGATTTTTCCTTATGTCGTCCAACTGGCCAACCACATGAGAAACGTTGGTGCGGATCATTTTGAAAGCAATTTCTTCCTCCCCCATGATTTCAAACCTAGTTGTCCGAACATATTGATCGAGTTGAACTATTTGTTTTACAGGGATGTGAAACGAAATATCAACAGGAGAAGCATTCTGACAACTTTAGCGTACTCAACATCCAGAGGGGCTAACTCAGTACGGCTGACAGAATCCCACAGGGATTTCAGAATACTTCACAGATAAAACACCGCGCAGTCACAGCAGCTGGCCTTGGCACCGTTCCACACGGGACAGAGGGGCGCAGACTTGCCTGTACTTGTTTTTGTCCTTGTAGGCCTTGTGGATTTTGTCAGTCACCGGCTTACAGTTGGTCACCAGACTCTTGGTCACCGGGGGCTGTGAGAAAGCACAGGAGGATCAGACACAGGTCGGGGACAGAGCGAGAGGCCACGAGGGGGTGCTCAGCACAAGTGCAGAGCTCAGGTGGGCCCCGAACACCCAGGACCAGGACAGAAGCTAATGCAATCGTTTTTAAAATCACACCGGTACACTGCAGCTCCTGCACTCAGGAGGCTGAGGCAGGAGGATCACCACAAGTTCAAGGCCAGCCTGGGCTACATAGTGAGACTTTCTCTCTCAAAAAAAAAAAAAACTTAGTAAGGTGTTACAATTTGTTTTTCAAAAAGAAAATTAATTTCTAACACAAAATATAACACATTGGTCTACGAGATTCATAAGTTAATTATGATGTGTTTTTTGGTAATGGAGATTTTTGGGCCTTCAACCTGAGCTACATCCCCTATCCCTGTTTTCATTTTTTATTTTCAGACAGGCTCTTTCTAAATTAGTAACATTTTACTTTGATTGCAAGAGCAAAAGCTATTCATTACAGAAAATACCTGTGAAAGACAGTGACATCAGAGTGTGTGCATTATTCCCGCTGGCCTCTGGGATGTGTCACAGGGCTCACACGTGGGCATGGGGTTTCACAGTCCAGGCCCCTGTGTGACAGCGCTGCACTTCCCTAGCTGGGCATTTCTCCACCTGTCTGCAAATCCCACTGAACCAGCGCTAACCCTGCACAGACCCTGGCTCTGTGTCTAAGATGCGTGCGTCTCTGATAACCAGCGGCCTTCCAGCGGCCTCTGCCCGGCCTTGCAGACAGTGTGCGCCCAGCCTGCTGCCCGGAGGTCTAGAATGCGCAGTCCCGCCTCATCGACCTCGCCTGCTTGGGTGACATCAGCCAGTGAGAGCACGGAACGCCCTGCACCTGCAGCTCGGCATTGCACCTGGCAAGGGGACCATGAGTGAAACAGGGAGTCTGGGCCCTAGGGCTGCACTCACCAGGTTGGGGTCGTAGTAGGACTCCTGGGTGGGCGGCACGCTGGGCAGCCGAGTGATGTTAGCAGGAAGCACTTTTGAGCAATTTATGAACATGTGTTCCAGACCAGTTAGATCCTAACAGCAAAATAAAAGGATAAACCTGTTACCTGCATTACAAGCAATGACTGTGGTTTTTAAAATCAAAATTATGTACAATCTACCAAAGATGGTTTAAATGTTACCCTCAAAGAATTTCTTTGATATAAAGTTTTTTTATGAGTGGTTTTTTGACCCAGGGTCTCGCTACATAGTCCAGGCTGTCTTCAAACATGCAGCGATCCTCCTGCCTCAGCCTCCCGAGTGCTGGGATTCCAGCCGTGCGCCAACACGCTGGCATGAGGTATGATTCTTAAGCATAAAGATATCCAACGAGAGCAGAAGGAGACAATGCAGACAGACGCCTCATCCTCCCGCATCCCGGAGAAGCAGGGACAGGGCTGTGGGACACCCCTTCCCCCACATGCAGGTCCCCTGCGCCTGGCTCCTCCCTGGTGAATACGGGCTCAAACCCCACTGAAAGGCCACAGAAAGTAATCTCGCTGGGCCAGGTGGTACATGCCTATTATCCCCGAACTCAGGAGGCTGAGGCAGGAGGATCACTGTGAGTTCGAGGCCAGCATGGACTACACAACAAGACAGTGTCTCAAAAAATAAACAAAAAAATTTTCACAAAATACAAACATCTAATTTGGTTCTAGTTCTGGCACAATGGACTTGTGTTGCACACCCATGTTAAGTACAAGGAGTCCTCAAGATCATGGTCCGCTGAAACCTGCCGAAGAGGGGCCACCGTGGGTCACCTCGGTCCGGGAAATGGGACCGGGCGGACCAGGAAGCGGCCCACCTGCAGGCTCAGTGGCAGGTCGTGCACCCTGGTGGCCAGCGTGCGGATCTCGCGGTCCGACAGGACGCCCGAGTGGTCCGTGTCCACCTCGTCGAAGACCTGGGATACGTTCAGCGGCCGCACTGCGCTCATGAGGTAGTAGAAGTAGGAGAAGGCGAACTGCATGTCCTCGGAGTGGCGCACCTTGTGGAAGGACGTCTTGTCGAACTCCTCGGGGAACCTGTGGGACGGGGGCAGTGAGAGCCGGGCGCAGACGCGGCCGGGGCTGGCGAGGCTCTCCACTCACATGTCCTGCAGCTCCTGCATGACCAGGCGGTCGATCATGTGCGGCATGTGTGCGGGGACCTTCCGGGATGCAAAGCCAAACTTGCTGTTGAGGATTCTGTTCACATAGCGCAGCGAGTCCGCGAATGTGTCCTTGAGCTGGCGGCCAGTGTGGCTGCCGTCGGTGAGGTAGGCCAGCTGGGTCTTCAGAGCTGCCTCCTCCTGGGGGGGGACGGCTTTCTTAACAAGAGGCGAGCACCGAGTTATGCTGGGCTCAGTGGGGCTCGCCTGTCATCCCAGCACTCGGGAGGCTGAGGCAGGAGGATCACCACGAGTTAAGGCCAGCCTGGGCTCCACAGTGAGTTCAAGGCCAGCGTGAGCTACACAGTGAGAGCCTGTCTCAAGAGGCAAAAACAAAAGCTGTCTGTACAGTAATACTTACAGTATTATTTGTAACTTCAAAGTGCCAGAAATAACCTGCAGCTGTGAAATGCACAGTGATGCTGCTCACATCCTGCTAAACCCGAGGTGGCCCAGGGACCCAAGCGTAGTGTAACCCCTGCGGCCAAGGGTGAGTGAACCTGTACGTGCCCCTGCAGACACTGCACGGACACCCCGCACCGGAGGGCACATTTCCCCATTTCCACAATCTGCCCCTCCGGCCTAGGGTCGTGCTTGTAATTTTCTTTCCCCCGAAAGGAGACCAAAGGTGGAAGCCCAGACCACACCACTGGCCTGGCCGTCAAGAGGCCAGCGCTCAGGGCCCTGCCTTTGTCGCCTAAGCAGCTCTCCTCCTCCGGCCTCCTGGTCCCCAGCTCCAGGACGATGCTATCTGCCCGACTGTGACGGTGGTCTCGAGTCCCCCAGCATTTCCTTCTGTGACAGCACAGATGACACTGGGCCCAAAGGAGACCGGGCCTGGCTCTGCCCCACTGCAGTGCGGGAGAGGCCGGGCCTCATGGGCACCTGGGGCTGCAGCTCCAGAAAAGCTGGGAGGTGGACAGGCCCACCTGCGCCTGAGGCCTGTGCCCCCCAAACCCTGCCCAGGTGCTTCCACAGCTGACTGGGGACAGCAGCACGAAGTGCTCCTAGCGGGTATTACCAGGGCTGTGGGAAAGCAAGGTGGATGAAATCCTGTAAGAGGAGCCGAAGCAGCTGGGGGCAGCTGTGACAGCGCTGTCGCTCACGAGGTTATTGACTCCCCTCATGAGAAGACGAGGCGGCATCTAACTTACCTCAAGGAGATCTTGGAAGTACTTTCTCTTCTCCCATGGCAGGAATCCCAGGTCACTTCCGGCATGCTGGTGCAGCTTCCTCCCGGGCACGACGCCCTTGGTGTCTATGGGGTCCTCGGGGTGCGCCTCCTTTTGGCTTTCCCCTTCTTCCTGGGCAGCTCTCTTTTCTTCCATCACACGGTTTTCTGGCAGAATGTCTGGAGGCGCAGGCTTTTCTAGGAACACGCTGGGGGCCTGAGGTTCCGACTTAAACCGTGCTTTGGTCCCTGAGACCAGTGGTGGACTGGAGTCCGGGCTGTGCCTGACCCCTTGCGCCGTCCCTGCTGGAAAGGTCGGCCGACGGGGATTCTGCACACCTCCGACGCTGCGCGCCAGCTTCTCCTCCAGGGCCTCCACATTGTCCTTCGCTCTGGCTGTTGTTGCAGCTGCACTAACCGCTGCTTCCGGGAGGCTCAGGAGCAAGGACCGCAGCAAGGCCGCTTTGGACGCATTATAGCCTTTCAGAGTGATGTCGCCCTGCGCCAGCTGCGTGTCCAGCAGCCTGAGCCGCGCCTGGGCCTCGCGGGGGAGTAGGGAGAGGTTGGCCCGGGGGACACTCGGCTCCTGGGGTCGCTCCGCGGTATCTCCTCCATGCCGCCTGACCTTGGGGAAGCGCTTCTCTTCAGGAATATCCTCAAAAAGGACCTCGGCCTCGGGGAGAGGCGTGGCGGGGCTCCCGGGCTCAGGGGGCCTCTGGGTGGTGGCGTTCGGCCTCAGGCCCTCCCTCGTGTCCACCTCGACCTCCAGCTGCAGCCGGAACTCCCGGTCTGTGGCGCTCTGCAGCGTGAGGTTCAGGTAGAGCGTGGTGGCGTTCATGCCACCGTGCAGCAGCAGGTGCACCGTCTTCCACTTGTTGGCGATGGACGCGTGCCGCACCACCGGGCTGTCGCCGTAGGAGCCCTCCACGGCTCTTTTGGCGATTTCTGCAAAGCTGAAGTAAGGCAGCCGCTCGCCCTTGGGAAGAGCGTAGTGAGTCCGGTTCGGGAGAAGGCTCACCTTGTACAACTCATGAAAATGATCTGGAGAAACATAAACAAACGAGGTTTCTCAGAAAATAAAGCGGGCACTGCCACTCCCTTCCTGGTAGCTGTGTGCCTGAGTTTTCACTAAACTGACTCCAGGGGACAGCTGCTTCCATGGTCTGAGCTGCCTCGGTCCTCGCTCGTCACCCATAGGCACTTCCTTACCCGCCAGTGTGGAGCCCAGAATCAGTGCCGGACTCATGTCTACCGAGAGGGACTTTCCGTCCAAATCAGCCCGTAACTGAGCCATCGAGAGGACCCGACATTCTCAACACCCCTCAGCCCTCAGGAGGGCCGGGCCCCCCATCACTGCTCCCAGGCGGAACCTCTGCTTTGTCACCAGAGCCCTCAGACCGGAGCGGGCCTGGTTCTCCAGAGAGCAGGTCCCTCTCTAGGCCGAACTGACCACAGGCGGAGAAGGCCCGAGGGCCACGCCCCATGCCTCTGCCCCGGCCTCCCCCGACCTCTTGCAGCCACTATACCTTGGCCACAGTCGCCTGCGTCGAACCCGCAGGCCAGGACGTTGCAGGCCTGGTCGCAGAACTTGTCCGCCAGCCAGGAGTTGGCGCAGCCCTGGTTGCAGTAGGAGATGCTGCTGAGGCCGCCCCCGAACTGCCAGGGCTGCCCACCGCCGACGCTGCCCGCGCCTGCGCCACCGCCCGCGTAGCGGCTGCCTCCGCTGCTGCCTGAGGGGACACAGAGGCTCACTGGCACGCGAGCGTGGGCAGCAGGCCCTCGCTGCTTCCTGGCTGTGCCAGACTGACACAGGGGCTGCCGTCTGCAGTCTGAGCTCAGCCCATCATTCAGAAGAGTCCATGGCTCTCAGACCACCCGGCCGGCCGGCACTGCCGTGCTCGGGGCTGCGTGCACGTGCGTGCGTGCGAGTGGACAGTTACGGAGAAGCGCCTACAGGGAGACACGGCTGCAGAGACATGGCTAACAGAACTGCGACGTGACACAAAAACCTAAATACGTGAACGGACACAGGCACCGGCCCCACTGTGTGTGCGGCCCTGGGAGCTGAACCCAGGGCCTTCACACTCACTCACATCCCAGCCCCTCTCCCCCTTAGAGACAGGGTCTCACTGAGTCTCTAAGCTGTGCAGGCTGGGCCTGAACTTGCGGTCCCCCTGCCTCGGCCTCCCCAGTGGCCACCACGCCCAGCCAGAGCTTCACATTTGAGTGGTGAGGAAAGGCGTTTTCCAGCGGGAAATGGGAGCAACGCGGGCGGCCACCACCTGCAGGGTGTGCAGCCAGGGGCCCCGCACCGCACCGCACAGCCGTACCCGAGCAGTCGCCGCCATCCCAGTCGCAGGCCGAGTTGTTGCAGGCCTTGTCGCAGTAGCCGTCCTTAACCCACGAGCCCGGGCAGCCCTCGGCACAGTTCGGCACGGGCCACGTCAAGTAAACCTGCAACACAACCGAGGAGGAACAGGGACCTCTGATGCCTTTTGCTCTTGAACGAAAATACCTTAAAACAAGAAAGTAAGCCAGGCATGGTGGCGCTCGTCTGTGATTCCAGCATTCAGGAGGCTGAGGCAGGAGGATCGCCTTGGCTACAGCCTCGGCTACGCAGTGAAACCCCTGTTCCCAAAAACCAAAATGGGGGGGGTGGAGGGAGAGGGGGAGAGGGAAGGGGGGAGGCGGCGGCTCCCAGGGCCTCTGGGGAGGCTGAAGTCCCCTGGGGCTGGCTGTGCTCCCTGAGGGCTCTGGGTCGCCCCAGCCAGTAGCACAGCCCTGCTGCAGGAGGGATGGGCAGCACTTCCGGCCTCTGTCACTCAGGAGGAACGCTGAGCAGTTCTCCCAGCTCGGCGTCTCCCACTCGCTCAGACTCGGAACTCAAACTGCACGGTGTCACGCGCGGGTGCGAGGCCCACACACTTTCTGCAGCAACACCAGGAACTCCCCGCGTGAGTGCGCCACCGGGTCTCCAGGCAGAGAGATGGAGATGAACCCAGCCTCCCCCCTCCACTCCTCAGCCTTCGGTAAATCAATCACTGTCTTTCTGTCTTTATGGCACTGGGATGGAACCCAGGGCCTCCTGTAGGCGGGGAGGAGCTCTGCCCCTGAGCTACAGCCCTGGCCTTTTTTTCCTTTCTTTTTTTGGAGACAAGGTATTGTTATGCTGCTCTGGCTGACCTTGAACTCACTGTGTACCCCAGGCTGGCCTGGAACATGCAGCGATCCCCCTGCCTCAGCCTCCCGAGTGCTGGCATCACAGGCCTGTGCCATGACGCCTGCTCTATGCCCTCATCTTTAACCCTTGGGCTTCGAGCTCTGCACACTTCCTGTCCACCTCTGAACCCAGCAGCGCCCACCCGCCCTGGGCACCCGCTCACCTTCTGCCCCTTGGAGTGGCTGTAGAAGTCGTCGGGCCACACATCCTTGCCGAACATGACATCGTCGTTCAGGTAGATGAACTTCTGTGACAGCCCCTCGATGCGGTGGATGTGGCTCTCGATGGCCGGGGAGCTGAAGCTGGGCAGGTGGCTCAGGTTCCGGAAGACTTCCTGCGAGGCGGGGAGGGCGGAGCTTCACACCACCACCGGACAGAGCCCCAGGCCCCGCCCCTCGGAGGAGCAGAAGGGAGTGGCAGGCGGCGCACCTGGTGGGTGACGATGGCCACGCGAGGGTTGTCCAGGTTCAGCCAGGACGGGATCTGGCCATTGGTGACGATGAAGATGTTGCGGACCCACGGCGCGTGCCTCTCGATGGAGCGCAGCGAGTACCTCAGCTCCTCGTTGTCCTCGAAGCGGCTGGCGGAGATGTCTTCATCCTGCTTGGACTGAGCGACAAGGCACCTCAGGTCACACCCCCCACACACCGCCCTCTGCCCCTGGGGTGCTCACGCTGACTTCAAGGAGGGAGGCCAATCTCAGGACAGGACAGAGAGGAGGCGCACGCCGATGATCCCCACACTGGGAGGCAGGAGGATCTCTGCAGCACACCTGGCTGATGGTGCTGAGGTCCCACAGCAGGTAGGCGGGGCTCAGCGTGAGCTCCTTGCCGTCGATGGTCATGTTCTTCTTCGTCTGCTTGCTCAGCTCCTGGAAGCCCTTGGGGTTGTGCAGCTGCAGGAGCGCGACGCTGGCCTCGGAATACAGCTGCAGCTGCGGGGTGGGGGCATCAGGAAGCCAGCCGGCCCGGAACACCCAACTGCCCACACTGGGGCGCCTGTCCCCCGCGGAGGGGGCGGAGGCCGGGATGCCTCAGGTCCACACTGCCAAGTGCAGCCCAAGCGCCCGCCACATGAAATCACCCCAACTTTCCCATGTTGACTCCATTTCTTTTCCTTTTTCTTTTCCTTGCAGTACTGGGGATTGAACCCAGGGCCTTTGCACTGAGCTACATTCCCAGCCCATTTTTTAATTTTAAGACAGGGTCTTGCTAAGTTACCAAGTTTCCCAGGCTGGGCTCCAACACACTTCTGCCTCAGCCTCCCAGAGTGCTGAGCCGACAGGCGCGTGCAGCCACAGGCGACTCATTTGCCTTCCACTGTCTTGCATTGGGACAAAACCCATGTGCTGGCTCACAGCTGGGGACTTGCTCTAGCATCCGACCTGTCTGCTTACCCGGGGACACCTGCAGGGGAAACGGTGGCGTTTGACCAGCCCGCGCCGGCTGCGTGTTGGGCGCTGGGCAGGGCGGCCCGAGGGCTTCCATGGAAACCGCTGGGGGGGGGGCAGCGCCACCACGCACGCCCACCCCGGCCCTGAATGACGTTTATCCAAGCCCTGCACATCGGAAGCTTCTCAAAGCCCACACGACCCCCACGGCCAGCCCTCAGCACTGCAAGGACGCCAAGGGGACAGAGACGCAGCCAGGCTCAGCCTGACCGACAGGGCCAGCTGACGCGAAGGGCAGAGAAGACAACCGGAGCCACGCGGGCTCAGGGTGAGACCCGGGCTAGGCGAGCGGTGGGCGGGACGGGAACGCTGCCCGAACCAGGAGAAACCCACGGCCAGGATTAGAGTGCAAGCCGTCCGTGTTCTGCAAGGTTGGGAAAAGCACTGAAGCTGGGCGTGGTGGCGCCCAGGTAACCTCAGCACTTGGGAGGCTGAGACAGAGGCAGGAGGGTCCCCAGGAGTCCAAGGCCAGCAAGGCCCTGCCTCCAAAAGAGATCAGAGTCTCAGAAAGACCAGAGTCCCTTCTGCGAATTGCTGGGGGCCGGAAGTGTCTCTTTTTGGATTCTGGAATATTTCTCTATGCATTACGGGACACCTCAGAGCCCAAGTCATCCCCAATCTAACTTATGCTTCGTACACACACGGTGAAGCTACTTTTATACAATACCTACAGCTTCCCTGTGAGGTCGGGTGTGGAATTCTCCACTGTGCCTCACTGACACTCAGAACACCTGGGATTCTGGAGCGATCTGGATTCCGGTCTGTATGGCACAGGCCCTGGGCGGACTCCAGGGGCAGTGTGCAGGGGCCCGTGCTGACCCCACCCCGCCTGCACTGCCCTCCCCGCCTAAGCAATAGGATGCAGATGCCAGGCCTGCGGGTGCACACCTGGATCCCAGATCCCAGACTCTGGAGGCTGAGGCAGGAGGGTCCCAAGCCCAGTGTGGGCTCCACAGTGGGACCCTAGCTCAAACAAACAAACATCGAAACAGAACCAAAGAATCGGGACCCATCAAAGCAAAGCTTTACATCATTCGGGCACTGCAGCGCCTGTGACCCAGGCAAGGCCTCAGGGGTAGGGCAGGTCAGCTGCAGCACCTTCAGCACAAGCGTCCCGTGGGTCCAGGGGCCGGGATGGCACCTATGGGAGGGGGGTCAGGCCTCCAGGAGGCCATGCTGGGCCCTGCTTCCCTCCACAGGGGTCGCAGGCGCGGAAACAGGAGCGAAGCCATGGGGGTGGGTGTCCTCCCCAGGGACCCAACCAGGATACCGCAAGGCCAGGCCAGCCTGGGCCCAACTGGTTTCCCTGCCTGCTTGGCCTCTCCAGTCCATCCCCACCACCCCAGCCCCTCCGAGACCCCAGAACAGACTGGGCTGTGTCCTCCTCCTGCCCTGATCCTGGGATGCATGCCAGGCTCCTTCAGGGACCTCTCCCGACTCCCACCTCCCTCCCAGCTGGGCGGTGCAGTGCTCTGGCCCCTAGGAGGTGCTGCCTCAGTTTCCCAAAATCTCGAGCACTTCCGAGCCCTGACCTTCGCCCAGGCTGGGCCGGTCCCTTCCACCCACCCCTCCTGCCTGGGAAGACAGCTGCTCGGTTCTGCAAAACCCTGCCAGCTCCAAAAAAACGTCCTGTCCCCAGGGGCTCTCACAGTGCTTTGTTTAAAAAAATCTTCCTGTTCCTCGACTGCAATACTAAAAAAAAAAAATCTTAGCAGGGCGTGGTGGTGCCTGCCAGTTGTCCCAGCACTCAGGAGGCTGAGGCAGGGGCATTGCAGCAAGTTGGAGGCCAGCCTGGGCTACACAGTGAGACCCTGCCTCAAGTGATCATACCCCAGCTAGGCCTGGTTACAGTTCCCAGCACCCTGGGAGCCAGGCCTGGAAGATTCGCTCCAGGAGACTGGAGATAAGGGGGCAGGGTGGAGCCCCAGGCAGAGCTTGGGTCAAAGTACTGTGGACAGCTGAGCCAGTTAGAAAATTAAGGCAGCCCGGCCGCTGGGCGGGGCTCAGCACAGGGCTCAGCACAGGGCTCAGCACAGAGCTCAGCACAGAGCTCAGCACAGAGCTCAGCACAGAGAGGACTGTGGCCTGAGCTCCTTCACTGAAGGCTGGGCTTCTGAAAGAGGAGCGGCCATGGGGGGGGGGGGGGGGGGAGTGGCCATGGCGGGGCTCCAGCCACTGATGTTCTAAACCCGAATAGCATCAACTGCCTGGGCAGGGATCAAGACCTTCCACCCCAAGCCTTCCCCTTCCTGGAAACCCTTGTTCCTTCCTCCTAAGCTTGCTGCAGGACTTGATCCCTATTTGATTGGCGATACTTGTAACCTTATTGATCAGTTTTTCCCACCTTGTACCCACCTCACCTCAATAAAACACCTTTGGGAAGCGGGGTGAGCAGGCAGCCCACTGGTGAGAGGCTCTGTCTCTCTTTTAGACCAAAGCTGTCTTTCTCAATAAATTCTTCCCACTTCCGACCTCTGTTGTTCCTAGAATGCATTCTTTGATTTTAGAGAACCCAAACTCGGAGTTTTGGACATCCAGCGGGTTGGGAGTTATTATTTCCCTTGGGTTATGTGGGGCCCTGTATCACCCCTGTGCCCTATATAAAAGGCCACCTTCCTGCTCTTCCTCCTCCCCAGCTGGTGCTGACATCCCCAGGGCAAAAACTGGGACAAAGAGCAAATTCAACCCCGCAGGGCTGAGTGCTGCTGTTACTTCAACACATAAAGAAGGAAGTTAGGGAGGAAAACAGGAAAAAAAAAAAAAGCCCAGGTGCCATTCATGCCATTTCTGTTTTTTGAGACAGGGTCTCGCTGTGTAGTCCAGGCTGGCCTCGAACTTGCCTCAGCTTCCTGAGTGCTGGGATGACAAGATGAGATGCCTCCTCGCATCTTAAAACAATGAAAACAGATGGGAAAGGAGGCCAGAAGGAACTGTGCAGGGCCACAGGGAATCCCTAAGAGGAGAAGGGAACAGCACCAGCCCCCTAGACATCTTCACCACGGCCAGCCCCCGACTTCCTGACAATGATGGGGGGAGGGGGAGGGGGAGGGCCAGGGGATCCGACAGCTGGGCTGGGTGGGACCCTGCGGGTGCACAGAGACCGGAGAGCTGCACACGAAGCTCAGGACGCAGCTGCAGCAGAACAGGATGGGGCGGCACCAGGACTGTGCCCTGAACACAGGGACAGGGCTCCGAAGCAGCACAGCGAAGAGTGCAGTTCCACCGTCAGCCTGGGCGCCAGGCCTGAGGGGAGAGGAGCGGCCTCCTGGGGGCTTAGGTGAGATCCTCACCAGCAAACCCGGCTCCCAGCAGGCGGCAGGCTCTCTCTCTCTCTGTGAACCAGCTGATCTCCCGCACCAGGGGTCCAGGGGCTGTGTACACACCCGCCTAACATCAGGTCCCTGACTCGGTCACAGACACTCACCTGGACCCTCAGCCCCTGGGGTACCTACGTGGGCCTAACTCCTTCCCAGTCAGCCCATCCACAACTGATGTGCCAAACCTGGCTTTCCCAGCCGGCGGATAGAATCTCCCCGATTCTGTCTCTGTTTACTGGAATAAACTTTTCCTTTCCTCACAAAAAGCCTATTTAAGGGGCTGGGGATTTAGCTCAGTGGTTCTGCCACCTGCCTCGAAAGTGCAAGGACCTGAGTTCGACCCCCGGTACCAAAAAAAAAAAAATATATATATATATATATATATGTATACATACACACACACACACACAGAGGCACGCACACACGCACGCACACACTATAAAAAGCCTATTTAAATGAGTGGTTTCACGTGCACTGTATATAACAAATGTCAGCTCCAAACACATTAGTGCCTCAGCTGGTGTTTTGTTTTTGGAGACAGGGTCTCACTATGTACTCTCCAGGCTGGTCTCAAACTCCCAGAGATCCTCCTGCCTCAGCCTCCAGTGCTAGGATTGTGGGTGCGCACCTTACACCCGGCTGCTCAGTCAGCAGTGAATGGATAAGAGGTCCCCTCACCGCCCACACCCATCTGAAGCATCCCCTCCCATGAGCGGAAGCTTCCGAAAAGGCCGGGGTGCTGTCTGTGCCCGAACTCCTCTGTGAGCTCTGCCCCTCCTCCGCCGCCTCCTTGGCCTCCATGCCCCCTCTGCTGGTGCCAACGCCGCATGTCTAAGGTGGCAAACTCACACAACATGCACTAGAGGTTTGTGGGCGGAACCTGTGACGTGGCTTCCCTCAGGAAACCAGCGAGCCAACTAGGAGTCTTAGCTTTTGCCCAAATTGAGAGCACAAAGTAGCCAGAGTGGAGATGCTTGCCTAATCAGAAGGCCGAGGCAGGAGGATCTCTAAGGCCAGCATGGGCAACTTAGCAAGACCCTATCTCAAAATAAGAAACAAAAGGCCTGCGGCTGCAGTTCAATGGCACAGCGCTTGCAACAGAGGAAGGAGCAAAGGTCTTCTCTAAGATCCATCCTTGGACAGCAGATCGTGCGGAACAAAGTTCCCCTTGGCCCAACTTCGGGCAAACGGGCTGGAGGGAGGGTCCTGAGGGAGGGGCGCGTGGCCCCTGGACACCCCGGCTCTCTCACCAGCCGGATTCTGGCAGCCAGGCTCTCGGGCAGCTTGGTTCTCAGCTGACTCGTCTCTTTGAAGGTCGGCGGGAATCCGCTCAGGAAAGCCAGGTCCTGCATCAGCACCAGCCCGGGCACTTCTCTATCGGTCGTCTGCAGGAGGGAGGGAGGAGGAGCTGCCTCGGGCACCCGGAAGGAGCTGGCTTCCCTCTCAGCTCCCAAGACCACAAGACGAGGGCGGGCCTCAAACGTGCAGCCTTATCACCCGTGCCACAGTGAATGATGAAATTAAAAATGAAGAACTTTTGGGCCGGGGATGTAGCTCAGTGGTGCGCGCCTGCCCAAAGTGCAAGGTCCTGAGTTCCATCCCCGGTACCAAAAAAAACAAAAGTTAAAAATAAAGAACTTTTAATTTCCAAGGCTCCCTCAATGTCCTGAATTCAATTCAAAATGTTTTCAGCAATTTTTGTCAAAAAAACAAAAACATCACAGTTCTTCCCTGTCTACCTCATTCAGCGGATCTGCTACACTGCACTTCTGGCTGCTCCCCAAGGTAAAATGACCACGAGGAGGAGACATGTGAATCCACTCAGGGCAGGAGGCAGCCAGGGCAGTGCAATGAAGGACACTCCCGAAAGCGGGCTCTGGAGCTGCTGCAGGGAGTGTCGCGGACACGGGAAGAGCAGCGGGGAGCACTCTGAGGGAGATCACGGCAGTGTGCCTCACGCTGAAGAGTTTCTAACAACCCTAAACATTCGGCGTAGTTCAGTCACTCCTAGCCTGGTGCAGACCCACAGCAGAGGTCACTCCCACGTACCAGGTAGCCCCTCCAGGCCGTCTGCTTACTGCTTCCTCTCAGCAGTCCCGCGTGTGCGTCTTCCACTGCAAGAAAGGGGCAACCTGAAGCCGACTGCGCCAGCACAGCGCACGGTCTCGGGAAAAGTGGCTAGAGCAGGCAAAGCGAACCCGCTCAGCACAGGGAGGCAGTGGGAGTCGGGGCGCCCACATCACCAAAGGCTCCGGGCACCTCGCACGGGCACCGCCTCCCCAAGCTGGGTGCCATCGTCCTGCTCTAATAGAAACAAAAAGGTGAGACAACAGTGCGCTACCAAAGACCCTGCGCAGGCAGCAGGAGTGCGAATGACTTACGGGCGGAATCGAGTTGAGCTGGACCCTGAGAAGGAGCCACAGATGCAGAAGACGGCAACCACAGGCGCAGAAGCACGCAGATGCATTCGAGAGAAAGATCGAGGACAAGAAACTCCCAGGCCCTGGCCGCCTGTTCACAGGAGCCACACAGACATCCCGGGTAACTCAGAAGGGAGAGGTTAGCCAGAGGCTCAGCAAACGGGCAGCTAGCCAGCTGCGTCTCACCAACAGCGGGCCAAGGAGGCCGTGCTGCTGACTGTGGCCTGGGGAGGTGGCTGTCACCCCAGGCCGGGGTCAAGGCCACTCTAGAAACAGCGCTGGAGCTGGCGGGACAGGGCTGTAGCTCAAGGATAGGGTGCCGAGTGTGCAAGGTCCTGGGTTCGAGCCCCAGGGTGGCAGTGGAGTGTACACATGCACACACACAGGCTGGAGAAGAAGTTCTGAAATACTGTTTTAAGAGAAGCACCAGGCTGCAACTACTGTGGAAATCAGTGTGGAGATACCTCAAGGAACTAGGACTGGCAGTCCCATTTGACCCTGCTATTCCCCTGCTGGGTATCTTCCCCAAAGAATTAAAAGAATCATACCACAGAGATATATGTGCACCCATGTTTATAGCAGCACAGTTTGTAATAGCTAAAGCTTGGAAACAGCCCAAGTGCCCATCAACAAGAGACTGGATAAAGCAGATGTGGTTTTTTTTTCTATAAAATGGAGTACTACTCAGCCATAAAGACTGACAAACTAGAGACATTTATAGCTACATGGATGCATATTGAGGCCATACTCTTAAATGAAATAGGACACACTTGTAAATACCGAATAGTTTCTCTGGTGGGAGAAACTCAAAGTGTAAATAAGGATTAAAATGATTAAAATGAATAATTGATAATTTGAAATAGAAAGAAAACATCCAAAGGAGTAGGGGTGGTGAGAGGGGAAGGGGAAAGGAAAGAAGGGAAAGGAAAAATTATGAGAAAAAAAAATGGAAACGAAGTCTATGTGAATAGGGAAGGGTGCACAGGTAATGGGGAAAGATACATCATGAACAGGTACAAGCACCCAATGATAAATGTAAGCGTATTGTGTACTTACAATGTACCAATAAAAGAATTTAAGGAAAAGAAAAAGAAGCACCAGGCATCAGGAGTATGACTGCATTCCAAAATAAATGTATCACTCTCAGGCTGTCTCTCCCCATGGATGGCGTGGGCCCTGCGTGATGGACAGGGAACTAACGCCGAATGCTAACAATCCCGGCACAGCCCTGATGGCACTCGAGTCGCCCCACTGGTGACAGGCGATTGGGCTGGAGCCTGGCTGGGTGCGCTGTGACCCAGCCGCCCTGCCCCAGGCTACGGATCATTGAGCCGGGACAGGTCAGGTCAGGCCGGGAGGTGGAGAGTCGGATCACCCGGGACCAGCCCAAAGGTTCTCAAGCTCCTGGCCATGTGGGGCAATGCGTCCAGTCCAGCAAAATAAAATCCACACACACAGGCAAGAGCTTCAGCTTGGATCCAGGAGCTGCCGATGCCGGCTTAGACCCGAGGAGGAGCCCGAGCTCTCATTCGGGGGGACTCGGGGCTATAGGCTACAGTGTGTCCCTTGGACAACTAAATTTCCACCCCACTTTCCTGCTTTCAGATCAAGGACAGTGACATCCCCAACCCAGCACAGCAGGAAACCCTGTGTGCGGCCTCCAAACGTTAGGAGCCCGGCCAGGATTTAGCTCAGTGGCGCTGCACCTGTCTGGCAAGCACAAGGCCCTGAGTTTGATCGCTGGTACTGAAAACAAAACACAACACAACAACAAAACAAACGTCCGGGGCCCACACTGCTCACCGTCCCCACGCTGGGGCGCGGCTGTTACCCTGACCCTCCCGGAACCTAGGCCACACTGTCTCCCGCCCCAGGGCCTTTGCACTGACAGCCGCACGCCCCAACTCTCTCCTATGCAGCTCCTCACCTTGCTCATTCTCGCCAAGCCCATCCTCCCGGGGGACCGCCTGCCCCCACTTGTCACCTCCTTCCCACTTCCTGCTCGGTTTTCATCTTCTACAAACTACACCACGGGCCTGTGCACTGTGTAAAGCACTGGTTTGTCGCGTGGAACCTGGACAAGGCACAGGGCGGACGCACCTTGCTGTTCCTGCCTTGTCGCCCACACCGCGGGCAGCACTGCGCACGCGCGCATGAGAACTGACATCCTGGAAGCAGAACCTGGGGAGCACAAGGCTCACTTCCGGCTGACCCCGGGGCGGAGGCCCAGACCCAGGCCCTGCGCATGCCCAGCCCAGGGACGCAGGCATAGTGGAAAACCAGGCATAGTGGAAAACCGTCACGTGGCCACGCCCCTGTCGTCTCCTAGCAACACTTCTTTAGGCTTGAGTCCTTTGGCCCATTCAGAACTCCGCTGTCCCGCCTCCGTGGCGTGACCTAAGCGGCCTGGGAAGGCGCTTACCGTCCCTCGTGCTGTCGAAGACGACCACAGACACGTTGGTGGAAGGGTTCTTGGGCTTGGCCACGTGGAAGAGATCACTGGCCGCGCGCAAGGCGGGGTGCAGGGCCGGCAGGTCCTTCAGGGAGCTGTGGGCCGGCAGCGCGGGGTCCAGGACCAGCATGGGGACCTTGACGCAGTGGGTCAGCAGGCACTCCAGCGGCTGCTCGCTGCGGGGACACGGCGCATGGCATGGGCCTGAGTCCCTCCACACCGTGACCGCTACCTAGCCTTGCTCGCGACCCGATTTGGGCCATGCTTTTCTGCAACTTATATAGTTTTAAATCACAATATTTTGATATTTAGAAATTTTATCTCAAAAATAAAAGTTAGGAGCTGGGTGAGGTGATGTGCATCTGTAACCCCAGCACTTGGGAGGCTGAGGCAGGAGGATCGCCACCAGTTTGAGGCCAGCCCAGGCTATATAGTGTTTGAGGCCAGCCTGAACTACACAGTGAGACCCAGTCAAAAAAAGACTCAGAGAACAAAACAAAAACAGCGATTTCTGCTCTTCTGAGAGAGAATCTCGTTTTAAGGCTTATCTGAGGTTAGATAAGGCTTATCTCCTTCAAACTGCAGGAGAGGAGTCTGATTCTTGTCACTGGGCCACCCCTCCCCGGGACCTAAGTGCACTCAGCCCAACAGCTTCCAGGGGTGCGGGACGCAGGGCACTGTATAGAAACGATGGGCAGAGACCCGGGGCTAAGTCGGGTTGAAAGGAGCCAGAGCACAACGACCAGGACAGAACACGCGCCTCTCCTGGAAGCCACACGGCTGGGGGCAGCCCAGGCACCAGAGCCCCAGTGCGCCTGCGCAGGACTTGCCGGCTTCCCGCCTGAGCATGCGCTCCAGCTGGGAAACCTGCTGAGAAGGGCTGGACCTGCAAGCAGTGAACCCAAACCCGTGTGCCCGAGAACAGGTGACGTCCAGGTGCACCTTGCTTCGGCTCCTACGCCCGAGCGAGACTCAAGCCTCACCTCTTCCTCATGGGTTCTGTCGTGTTCTTGCCCAGGATTTCTCTAAGGAGAAACAAACAGCACATTACACACGCAGGCCCAGTGCAGACTCAGGCGGGGACAGGAATCGCTGCGACCCTGACAGTGCCTGCTGGTATGAGCCTCACAGCAGGCAATCAGCACCCTGGCAGGCCCGGAACCCCCACACGGAGAATCTGTTGCACACTGAGGAGCTGCCAGGCTTCAGACTTGGGGTGCCTGCAGATGCAGACGCAGAGGGGTTCAGGGCTCTCTGAGGAATCAGAGGCAGGAGAGAAAAATAAAGTCCAGCGCCAAGGAGACAAGGAAAACCATCATGTTAAAAATGAAAACTGACAGAGGGAGAAAGGAAAGGAAAAGGAAAAAAAAGAAAAAAATACTGCCAGGCATGGTGCTGCACACCAGTAATCCCAGCACTCAGGAGGCTGAGGCAGGAGGATCACCACGAGTTCGAGGCCAAACTGGCCTACATAGTGAGTTCAAGGTCAGCCTGGACTACACAGCAAGACTCCATCTCAAAGGACAATGAAATAAGATAAAATCCACTTGGGCCGAGGATTTAGCTCAGTGGTTCTGCCGCCTGCCTCGAAAGCACAAGTTCCTGAGTTCGATCCCCGGTACCAAAAAAAGAAAAAAAAAAAAATCCACTTTACCTCATGGCCTTCTGCTCCTCCTCCATCTGCTGCCGGACCTGCTGTAGCTCCTTGAGCAGCTCCAGGTCTGTGCCGTTCACCCAGGTGTACACCACATCGATGGGCACTGGCAGGCAGAGCCTAGGGCAGGGACGGTGAGCCTTTCAGAGCTCTCAGTGACACAAAAGCCTGCTCTGAGCCAACACCCTCTGTGCGCCCTGAGGTAGCCTGGTCACCGAGGTACTTTCTGCTCCACCACCCTCCACCACCGCAGGGAGCGGAAACACTCACTGCATCAAATAAGATAAAAAAGGAGAGGGCCCAGGTGGTTTTTTCGAAGTCTGAATGACAAAGAAGAATCTGAAACAAAAATTCACCAAGAGCACTTCCTAGAGAGGTGTGGTGCCTGCACCTGTCATCCCAGCACTCTGGGAGACTGAGGCAGGAAGACTACAAGTTCTAGTCCAGCCCGGGCATCTTAGTGACTTAGCAGGACCATGTCTCAAAATAAAAAGAGAGATGGCCGTGGCGGTGCATACCTATGATCTAAGCACCCAGGAGGCAGAGGCAGGACTGCTGTGAGTTTAAGGCCAGCCCAGACCACAGAGCAAGACCTTGTCTGAAAAAACCAAAAATAAATAAATAAAAAGGGGCCAAGAATGTGGATCCATGAGAAGGCCTTACACGCGGTCCCCAGTCCTGGGAGAAAAGCAAACAAACCAGTGTCCCTCTGAGGGAAGCTGCGGCTGTCCGGGAAAAGGCCTCTATGTTTTATTCTTCCATATGGCTTGGACAGTTTTCAGCCACAGCCATAGACAGGGGCGCCTCAGTTCACGAACGCTTTTGTGTACACTTTAGTTTGAAAACAGACAAATCTTGCATTGGGTGATGAACACGATCCTGGGCGGGCGTCTTCTCCAAAGCTGGAGAACAGTTCGTGAACTGAGCCGCCCCTGTCCTGCTTTGATGATGTGAAAAACCCAGGCGATCATCACTAGGAAAAGTGAAAAGGAGCAGAGTCTCACTTCATCTGCAGGAAGAGGGTGGTGGGGCGATCACTCCGGGCCTGGCTGTGCGGGAGGAGAGCCCCGAGGTCCGGAGCTGCCTGCCAGCTGCCGCTCCAGGGTCACCCGGGGGGACGTGAGCTGTGTGCCCCACACCACAGGCGGCACAACAGGCTGCACCTGCCCGGCTCGGTGACTCTTTGGGAATCAGGGTTTCGACCGTCGAGTGGCAAGGACCCCGCAGACGGGCCCTGGGGGCCCCTGACCCCAACATTTCAACATCAGAGCCTGGACTCACTGCCAGGGCAGACGGCGGACACCCTGCAGCCTCACCGGCTCTGGAAGGACCTCCCGGCGACATTGTCTCTGTACGAGTCGAACAGGACATGGTACTGGTCCCGGCTCCACTCAAGCACCACCTGGGATGGAGAGAAGAGAAGATGGTGGTTTCCATGCATCCGGAACCATAAGAACCAACGAAGGAGCCAGCGGAGTGGGGCGCGCATGTCATCCCAGCACTCGGTAGGCTGAGGCAGGAGGGTTGCTGCTTCCAGTTCCAGGCCAGCCTGGGCTACACAGTGTGACTGATACAGACAGCCAAGTTAGGTAGAATATTATAGGTGGTTGGCGGGGCTGGGCCCTCGGGGAAGTCGTGCAGGGCTGTGGCTGGAGGCCATCGGAAGGAAATGAGTCACAGTGGCCAGTTGCATGCTTCCCTGAGGGATGGACAGCTTGAGATCTTGGGCTTTCCCTGTAGACCGTTATCTCATGGGAGGTGAGCGTCCTCTCCCACCAGAGGATAGCTTATGGCCCAAGGTCAAGGATGTCACCCACACACCCTCGTTGCTGTTGGGTCACTGTTACCTAAGCGACTGCTTGTAACCTCACTGGCTGATCACAGCTCTCACCCGCGTGCTGCCCACCCCACGTGACTTTGCTCTGCAGAGCTTCCTTTGAGGAGTGGGCTCCTTGGCAACCCGTGTGGCTCTCCTCCTGTCTCAGGAGCTGTTCCCGTTCCCCAACACATTTTTCTACTCTTAACCTCCGTGCTCCTTAGAATTCGTTCTTCAGCTTGAGGAAACACAAACTTGGCGTGCTGACATCTAGCAGGTTGGGAGCTACATCTATTTCCCCTATATCAAGACCGTGGCTCAAAGAAATATATAAAATAAAAAGGAGTGGCATGGGGTGGCTGCAGACGGCGACCCCGTGGCCATGGAGGGTGCAGTCCACGCTGGGAGAAGCCGGCCTGGTCAGGAAGCTGTGCTGGCCCTGGTGGGGGAGCCAGATGCTTCTCGCCGCCGCACCGGGACCCGAGGAGCAGACAGGCCTGGCCCAGCGCTCTGGGGACTGCACCGAAAGCTGCTAGTGACACCCCAGTGTCTGCACCTCAGCTCTCCCAGCTCCCCGGGAGGCGTCCCTCTCACCAGGGGACGCTCACTGCCTATGGGCAGTGAGCAACTTCCCTCGGTGCCTCACCCCCTGGCCCTTGCGCAGCCCCTCCCAGGCCCTCTCCTCCTCCAGCTCCCTCACCCAGTCCCATGCCACAAGCCACACACTCACCGAGTGTTTCTGACAGGCTCTCACCATGTAGCCCAGGCTGGCCTCCAACTCATGGTGATCCTCCTGCCTCAGCCTCCCAAGTGCTGAAATAAATGACTTCTCCCCTGCGCCGGCACTGGCTGAGAATTTCTGCCTCTCAGAACCCTCCCTGTGCCTGTCTGACACGTCCTGAAAGCCTGCACCAGCGGGCAGGCAACCTGCACACTTGGGTGGGCTCCGTGCTACCTCCCTCTGGGACCTGGTGCCCTGCCCGAGGACATTTTCTCCCGGCGGCCAGGGTAGGGAGAAGAGACATGAGCACTGCGCCCTGACTGCTGCAGCTGCCCTTCTGGGTGTCCACACGCAGGCCGCAGACCAGGGAGCCGGCACCCCGCACCTGGACATGGGAACACGGCGGCTCACACGACAAGCCCGCCTACCTCTGCCTCCTTCGGTCAGCCAGGGTGCAATCCCCGCTTGGCCCAGGCCACCTGCACCCCTAAGAATAAGGGACAGAGCCAGGCGTGGTGATGCATCCTGTCATCTAGCACTCAGGAAGCTGAGGCAGGAGGATCACAGTGAGTCCAAGGCCAGCCTGAACACACAGTGAGACCCTGTCTCAAAAAAGCCAAAATAAGCAAGGAAATAAAAACAGAGCGGGCACACGGCTGTCAGCCCAGCCCGAGCACAGACTGCATCTCGCTGGGCCAGTGTGACCAGCTCTGTGACATTTCTGCAGGGTCACTTCTCCCTGCCTGTCAGAGCTGTGTGAATCACACCCAGCCAACTGAGCACCGTCATGAGATGGGGTGACACCACGGACCGCACCCCGGGTCCCAGACAGCGAGGGGCGCGAGGGATCGGCACACTCTCCCCCTGCAGTTCTGCGGCCCAGAGTGAAGCAAAGGCTGCATTCGCTCCCGGCAGTCCCCAGGGATTTGGAGCTGTCTCCTGAGGGCCTCCTGCTTCAGCCTCCGTGAGCGCCGAGCCAGGACACACGACACTCAGTAGTGTCAGCATCGACCGAACAACTCCTCCCACCCGGCACCAGCAAAGCGCCTGGGGCGCCAGATGCCCGTCCTCCTCTCTTCCTGGGCTCACTGCAGTCCCAGAATACAATGTCAGTGCCAGCAAGTATTCATTCAACAAACACTCACTGAACAGGACAGGTCACTGAACAGGACAGGTCACTGAACAGGACAGGTAGGGTGTGGGGTAACATATGAGCTGTCTCTCTTGCTCACTTTGGTTGGGGGTACTTGAGACAAGGTCTCTCTATGTAGCCCAGGCTGGCCTTGAACTCACAGCAATCCTCCTGCCTCAGCTTCCCAGATGCTGGATTACAGGCGCGCACCACCAAGCCCAGCTTCTGGTTTAGTAGTTTTAAAACATTATCTGTTTAGGAACTGGGTTTGGTGGGAACCAGTGGCTGCCTCGGGCGAGGACACACTCGAGATAAGGAGATAACACGCGAAGAAGGAACTACACAAATGCTGTACACAAATCCTGCGGGCTTCTCCTCGGAAAGAGAAACTAGTGCTGAGGGAGAAAGCTAAGCTAAGCTAACCGGGCCGGGTCTAGTTCCCAGCCCTCTTCTCACTCAACAGAAGGATCTCACTGGTCTCAAATGCCAGGACCAGGAGGGAGGCTGAGGCAGGAGGATCGCCGCGAGCTCGAGGCCAGCCTGGGCTGTGTAGGGAGACCCTGTCTCAAAGACACACGGACGTTAAAAAGGAGGCAGCGGGTAGCGCGGTGAATTCTCAGCACACCCGTGACCCGGAGCCCACGCCGGCCACCTGCTGCCGCCCCGCCACAGCGGCCTTGCCCTCGCTGGTCCCAGGCCGGCCCGTGCGCGGCTGCAAACGGCAGTCACAGTGGAGACGCACAGGGGGACCCCGGGAACCCGGTCCGGGCTGAGAGGAGAGCAGGGGGGACAGAGACGGAGGGCGGGAGCCGAGGAAGGAGGCGCAGCGGCGCGGACCCGGATCGGGCCCTCGGGAGGTCCGCGTCGGCCCGTGCGGCTGCCCGGCGCGTGCACTGCGCGCACTCACCTCTCCGAACTGCAGCGCGGACACGAGGGTGACCACGACGCCCACGAAGCACACGTAGAGCCCGTACCTGTGCGACAGGCAGGTGTAGGTCTGCCGCTGCAGCAGCTTCAGCAGCATCGCCCCACCGCCCGCGCGCAGGGCCCCTCCGGGCCGCCCCGGCTGCCGCTTCCGGGAGCCGAGCCCACGCCCTGGCCCGGCGGCGGCACCACCTGGGTCCGCGGCGAGGGGCGGCGGCGCAGCGCCCCCTGGCGGGCGGAGGGGCGAGGGCAAGGACGCGAGCCCTTGTGTGCACATGCGCGGCCGCCGAGGTGTGCCCCAGCGCCCCCTGCCGGGCGGAGAAGCAAGGGCGGGGGGGGGGGCCTCTCGTCTGCGCGTGCGCGGCGAGCTCGGCGCGGCCCGGTTCCGCGCTCCGGGTTGGAGCAGCCCAGCCGAGTCAGCGCCGCGACCCAGGAGTACAGCGGAGCTGCAGCCGCCTCCGGGCTGGGGATTTAGCTCAGTGGTGTAGCGCCTGCCTGGCAAGCGCGAAGCTCTGGGTTCGATTCCTGGTACCAAAAAAGAAAAGTGGAAAAAAAAGACCAAAAAAAAGCCCCTAAAAAAAAAAAAACCCTTTTGTGAAACAGATTTTCTAAGAGGCGGCGCTGTGTGGAGCTCCTTTCCTCCAGCCCTGAAATTCTTTTGGAAGAAGACAGCTAATACACCAAAAATAGACCTCTGTTATTCTTTCACTCAACATGTAATTTTGCTTTGTTTTGGTTATTTATTCATTAGTATTTTTAATTTTTATTTTTTGCTTTGTTTTGGTTATTTATTCATTGGTATTTTTTATTTTTATTTTTTGCTTTGTTTTGTTTTGAGGTAGGGTCTCGCTGTGCAGCCCAGGCTGGCCTCGAACTCCCTGCGATCCTCCTGCCTCAGCCTCCCTGGCGCTGAGATTACAGGCCTCCGACACCCGTGGCTAAGTGCGTTTATTGCACACCCGTCCCAGCACCCGGATGAACGGGACAAGGACTAACCTATAAGAGCAGGCCGTGCGCAGGGTGGTCAGCGCCAGGACCAAGCCCAAGGGCCCTTCAGCCGGGCGGCCGGCCCTGCACGCTGAGGAAACGGCGACAGAAGCGGGACTGTCCGGAGTCTGCGTCCTCTTGTCGCAGGAAATATGAAATGTCACATCGCCCAACCCGTTATGATACCCCGAGTTCTTGTTCTCTAGAACTCGAAGAATGAGTCCTAGGAATGACGGAGGTTAAAAGGAGGAAGGTATTTATTGACAGGAAAGCTCCTAGGGGCAGGAGGGGTCCCAAGTGGGTAGCCCAAGGACCCTACTTCACAGGGAAGTTTTATAGGGTAAAGCCCACAAGGGTACAACGTGGGCCACGGCCATGAAGATCCAGTAAGGTTACAAGTACAGTCACTTAGGGGACGGTGGTCGGGTTGGGAAGCGAGTCACACAGCCAGCGTTCACGGACCTTCAGCAAGGGTGGGTCGGGGACATTTCCCGGGGAGGCTGGGTTAAGACCTCGGCCCCACCCGGTGACCGACACCTGCTTGGGTTACCAGTCACCGCTCCTGTCCCCAGGGGAAGCCAGGGTGTGCCGTTTCCCTCCTTCACCGCTTTCGCTCCCCCGTGCGGACTCCTCCCGGGCGGCCTTCGCTTGCCCATCTGCAACCCCAGCCCTGTCCTGCCAGTGCTTCTACCAGCGCTGGGTTCTGAGTTCTAGAAAGTGTTACGGAAATAGGGAAAAATGAAATGGTTTAAATGCAAATGAATTATCTGCTGCCTGGTGCCAGCTCAGAGCTCAGCTTCGAGGGGGCAGAAGGGGAGACACGGACCCTGCGGGAGCCTCGCGGGACAGGACAGGCGCACGCGAGGACACTGCACCGAACAGGGCACCCGGAACGTGACCGCTGAGTGAGGCCGCGTGGGCGCCGGGCAGGGCCGGCCGGGCGGAGGGGGCGGACAGCACAGCGGGGTTGGCGTCCGGGAGCGCCGGCCTCGACTTGGGCCTGGAGTGGAAAGGCTTGGGCGCCACTCTGCAGGTCCGCAAACAAACCGCTCTCTCCCTGGGACCGGCTGCCTTTCCCGCCCACCAAGACCAATACTAGGGCAAGGCCAACCCTGAGATTATATAGGGTCCAGGGTAACACGTCATCCGGGTACCCGGCCACCGCCCTGCCTCCCCATTGGCTCAGCGCCACCCCAGCGAACGCGCCTGTAATCCTATTGGTCGCTCGTAGTTTTGTCCCGCCCTGCACCAGCCCCTGGAGTTTGCTCTCTTTACTCCCCTGTGAGTGGAGGCCCAGGAAACCCACTTCTGGTCCCCTCCTGTCTGTGTTTCTCAGGGGCTTTTCTCTCAGTAAGATTTGCTACTCTAAACTTGTGTCGTTCCTCAGATTCATTCTTTGATTTTGGGGAACACGAACTTGGCGAATCGGACATCTAGTAAGTTTGGGAGTTCCATCTATTTCCCCTATATCACCACCACTCGGGAGGCTGAGGCAGGAGGATTCAAGAGCAAGCCCAGCCTGAGCAATTTCATGAACGAAGGAGACCCTGTGTCATAATGAAAAGAGCCGGGGATGCGGCGCAGTGTGAGGGCCCTGGGTCCAATCCCCAGTACTGAAAAAAAAAGTTAAATAAAATAAAGGATGTCATCCTGAAGACAGCACAGAATCTTAGTGCAATCCATGACGTGTACACGATGTGATTGCTTACAAATCAGAATCACAGGATCTGTTGCGAGTTTCAGATAAGCAGTGTTTTTATGTGTATCAGGGACAGGTGGATGCCTGAAATCACCTAACGGCCCTGTGGGATTTCTGTCTGTCCAGATCTCAAGCCTTGGTGGTCAGTCCCAGGGAGGACATGCCGAAGGCCGCTGCCCAAAGCTGAGGCAGGAGGGTTGCAAGTTCGAGCCCAGCCCGGGCAACTTGGTGACTTGATGAGACGCGTCTCAGAAATAAAAAATGTAGACTGGATGTGGTGCTGCGTGCCTGTAACCCCAGCTACTTCAGAGGCTGAGCAGCAAGATCCCAACTTTGACAAGGCCAGCCTGGGCAATTAAGAGACCCTGCCTCGACATTAAAAAAAAAATTGTTATAAGTGGGTGAAAGAGCTCATCGGTAGAAAACTTGTCTGGCATGCATGATGTTCTGGGTTTGATCCCCAGTACCAGAAATTAAAAATAATAATTGATGAAGAATCTTAAGTCAGCAAATGGAAATAAAAACAGAAACATTACCCGTGATCCTCAATAGGCAGTAAGATCTTTTGTTTTTGTTTTTTGGGGCGGACAGGGTCTCACTATGTAGTCCAGGCCGGCCTCAAGCTCACGGCAATCCTCCTGCATCAGCCTCCCTCCAGAGAGCTGGGATCACAGACCTGTGCAACCCCACCTGGCAATAGTGAGGTTTTGAGCTGTGGTTTTTTGTTGAATTTGGTTTTGATTTGATTAGAAGCATGTCTTGAAACAGAGGCCATGTTTCCAGAGAATTCTCAAAGTTAATCAGCAGCAAATCTGCACATTCTGAAGTGAAAATAACCCTAGGAAGGAGTTTGACCTACTACCAGCATGCTCAAGGGGGGAGATGTGAACCCACTAACACTATTTCTGCTTCATCTCAGTTGCAGTTTTCATGCTGCAACTTTATTTTATTATTATTTTTTTGTGGTGCTGGCTATTAAACCTTGAGCCTTTGCACTGAGCCACATTCCCACCCCAACTTTTTAGCTTGTTATTATTTTATTTTGTGACAAGGTCTCCTTTTGTAGTTCAGCCTGGCCTCAAAAGCCAAGAGATGCTCCTGCCTCAGCCTCCCAAGTGCTGAGTGCCTGGCGTTTGTGTCTGGCTTCTTTTGCTTAGCATGCTGTTTCCTGGGTCCTGCTGATATAGAGGGAATTCATGCAACTCCCAAACCTGCTAGATATCTGAAATGCGAGTTCCTGTTCTCTAAAATGGAAGAATGAATTCTAGGAAAAACGGAGGCTAAGTAAGAGTAGGAAAAATTTACTGAAATGTAACTTCTAAGAGAGACAAAAGGGGAACAGAAAAGGGGGTTGCCCACTCACCCTGCTTCTCAAAGGTATTTTATGGGACAAAGCCATGAGGTGAGACAGGTTCAAGGTGGAACAAAACTATAGTCAACTAGTAAGATGCCAAGTACAGTGGCTTAGGTAATAATATTGGTCCAATGAGAAATCACAAGGAGGACATGAGGTGGGACAAAACCATGATCAACCAATAAGATTACAAGTATGGTCGCTCAGGTAATATTGATTAGATGGGGACCCAATGGGAAAGCAAGTCACGGAGCACGTGTACAAGGATTTGGGGTAGGGGGTGGGTCAGGGACCTTTCCAGGAAGGGGTGGGTTATGGCCGTGGTCCCTGCCCAGGTGACTGACACCTATCTATCACTGCTATTCCTCCCTGGGGAACCAGGAGGGTGTGTCAGTTTCTGGCCTTCAGTGAGTGTGTCTCCATTGTCCTTCGTGCTGCCTCCCTGGCTCCTGAGGGCGGCCCTGTCTAGCGGCCTACAGGAATCTAACTAACTTACCTATCTGCGATACTGCCCGTGGCCTGTCCCTGTTTCTTTTTTCTGCTGAGTAGTATTTCACAGTATGCCCACCACTCGTCCTTTATCGGACCCAGTGAGGAACTCCAGTTGTTTCCGTCTCAGCCGCTATGAAACCCCAGGAGCGCTTTTCAAGGGCCTGGATTTACGCTTCTCTTGGGACACCTAGGACTTGCTGGGTCATGTGATAAATCCCCGTTACCTTTGCTTTGGTTTGGTTTGTAGCACTGGGCCTTGAACCCAGGCCTTCACACTGAACTACAACCCAGCCCTTTTGATTTTTTTTTTTTCTTTTGAGGCAGGGTCTCGTTATGTTGCTACCTTGCCCAGGCTGGGCTCAAACTTGGTGACCCTCCTGTCTCAGCCTCCCAGGGTGCTGGGATTCCAGGCCTGTGCTTCGTGCCTCGTTTCATGTCAACTGTTTAAGAAATCGCCACTTCTCAGAGCTGCCACAGCACTTGGCGTCCCCATGGCAATGCACGAGGGTCCTTGGCTTTGTGCAGCATGTTAATTTCCCACATTCTGGTGTGAGGACTTCAGCGACTCAGCGCGGCTGCGATCTGCATCTGCTCATGACATCGCTGTCACTTCTACATCTCTGATGAGCCTCTATTCAGTTCTTTGCCC